GTTGTTTTCGTTGTGCCCCTATCGATGTAAAACATAATGATACCACCAATTAGAGAACATTAAATTATCGACCGGACCAAATTCAATACCGGAGAATTCCAAATGCTTCCATTCTCTCTTATTATTATTATTATTATTCAAATTATAACAAACGATCTTCTAGTGCTTCCACATTTTCCATAGTGATCTGGCTTTACATTTAGTACAAATTTTAAAATATTACTAATATGTCTAATATAATTTTCACAAATGAATTCATGAGTCGATCTAAGCTAAATCATCATTGAAAACTTAGATACACAGGACTATCATTTCTTCCTAGTATGGTTCTCCTCAAAACTACATACACATCCATAATCCTATACTCAGGACTCGAACCCACGATCTGCGACCTCGCACTCGAACGCTTAACCTCAAATACCCCTTATATATAAACTACATTACATTGAAAAAAGACAACGCTTACCATATATAAATAACTATCTTTACGACTACTTGTTGTTTCATTCATATATAATGGAAAATATAAAAGATACATATCTAAATTGACTAATTCATCGGTTTTACCAAATCCAATACCGAAAAATTTCAAATGTTCCCATTCTCTATGATTATTAGTATTTAGATTATAACAAACATTAAATTGTAACCATTTCACTTCATTATTATCATAATTTACAGACCATTGAATATGATATTCATCATATTTATTTAATGGTAATGAATATTCCATAGTAATACAATTGAGATTTGGAATAATAAACAATATTATAATGAATAATAGTAAATAGATAATAGACATTTTTAACGGAGAATAGATTAGCTGATGTTTGAGGTTGGTTTCTGGTTTCTTCTAAGCATGATAAGAATTTTCATTGGCTTTTATAGAGTTGTTGTGTCACGATAAGAATAATGAGTGGTAACATTTTTGGGATCTATTTAAGGACCAATAGTGTGCGTATATTTTTATTGTATAGTTGGTAAGTAACTAAACTACTCATATTCATGTCTCTCTTATCATAAGCTTTATTTTAACCTATGAACTGTTATTATATGATTTTCCATTATTGAATTATTCCTTATCTATTAATCACCACCTCCCACATTCACAGCCTCATTTAGCTAAATGTTGTACAAATGTTATTTTCTATTTTATGCTACGTTGTGGTCCGTTTGATTGGTATATAAACAGAGTATGTCTGAAATAAATGATTCATATTGCAGAGGCTGAGACTGGTGTTCTTCACTTAACTGGCTGGGCTAGGCGGAAAGTGGGACCAATCAGGACTCTAGGCTGCTCGCACGTGTTTTACGCGCCCCTGGTCCGATCGATAATTCTCTGCTTCTGATTAGCGGCTTTCGGCCATGATCCACTCCCCACCCTGCGAGATCCGAACCCAGGACCTATCAGTCTCGCGCCAGGAGCTTAACCAACTAGACCCCTGTCGTAGATGAAAACTGCTGAGGAGTCCCATACTAGGACGAAACGGCCGTCCAGTGCTTCCAGGTTTTCAATGGTGGTTTAGCTTCAATTGACTCATGATTTCAACCAGTGAAATTTCTAAGGATCTCGACAAAACCCATTCTGATAATAGTAATTTAGTTTAACCTTTAATGAGTCTAATTAGCATTTGAAAAGCTGTTTTCTTTTCTTTTCTCTTTTTTTTGTAATCTAATCCTGAAAATGTAATACACACACACACACGAACACACATAATTGTTTGAATGGTTATTTTAAATGATCCTATGAAGACTAAACATATATGATTAGTTTAAATGGTTCAATTAATTGGGATGGATTAATATAGGGAGTTTGTTGGAGTTGATCTAAAGTTTGTGCTGATGATTTCAATCAGAAGAACGACCAGCTCATCAAGATCAAAGAACAAAACTCCATCAAAATCATCCAACTGAGATTTAAATCTTCTCCACCATCTTATGTAATTTATAGATCCCATAACTGCATGTTGTGATTCATTGAATAATGAATTTAATTATTAGTTATCTTATTCATAGCTTCATTTCATTACTTCGTTAAATCGTTCTCAACTATATTCAATACATTTTTGAATTTTATTAATACGAGGGTTTCTTGGAGATTGAATGATCTTTATCGTTTACATAGAAGACTGATCGCAGTTATCTCATAAATGGAATCCTGAAAGCACTAAACATCTAATTCTTAATGTAACTAGTACTGTACTCGTTAGCTGCCTGAATCAACAACCATTTTAGACATCAAATTTATAACCTGTCTCATTCACAAGCGCTTTATATCTAGACCACTGAACAGGAATTCAATTGCGTACAAGCCAACCAATTCATGATATTGGGCGATCATCTACCACTGTATGCGGAGAGTAAATGTCTTACAACCAACACGAGTAAACTTCACTGGCCACAGCATCTCAATAGAATTCCAGGAATCAAAACTTAATGAGAGAGCTGGCTCGTAATTTCTGCTTTTCAGTTGTTGTCTAGCTAAGATCAGACCGTGATCAAAGCTCTAAAGACTTCGAATTTGAAATAATAATGTTATAATGAAACATAATATCACTTGATTCACAAGCTTTATAGGCAAAGATGGATAGTCGCTAACAGTGGAATCCAGGACGCGCGTTTCGTTCTATTTGGGACTCGCCAATGAGAAGATTCACGCAAACAATACGAAGTGAATTTAAATTCACCCCAGTGAACAAACAAGTGGCTATCAGGACTCAGTTGCTAAGTGGATAGCGCAATGGTACCGAGTTTGAGTCCCAGATTGAACATAAACTCTGAGATGCAGGTACATTCAACTGACGAGTCCTAGATAGGATGAAATGCGCGTCCTGGACTCCACTGCCAGCCACTATCCATCTTAGCCTGTAATGCTTGTGAATTAAGGCAATATTGAGGCAACACACACAGTATGCACATATGCCAATAACAGACTGATCAATCGCAGTCTAAAATCTCAATTGAAAAATTCAAGTAAACAATACCAAGTGAATTTATAGTATCACTTAAATTGTATTAATTTCAATTTCACTTTAAATTATATACTGAACAATGAAGAATCAAGATGAAAGACTTACTGAAAAGAAATATTCATTTGCTCCACATCGTTTTCTAAATATAATTTCTTTTTTGATTGAGATCATGAACCGGTTGATGTTAGACCACCATTGAAAACCTGGGAGCACTGGGTGGCCGCTTCGCCCTATTGTGGGAACACTCAGCAGTGCGCATCCACGACCCCACTCACGGGATTCGGACCCAAGGCCTTCAGTCTCGCGCGCGAACGCCTAAGCTACTAGACCACTGAGCGGGCAATCAGTGGTGTTAGTGCCTAACATCAACCGTTCCACGAAATCGAGCGACCATCTTCCATTGTACTGAGGTAGATACCTGTCTTCACCCGAAATGGATTAGCCCCACCGGTCACGGCTTCTCACTAGAACTCCGAGAATTCCCTCACGAAGCTAGTCAATAGTGAGCACATGTTAATTACCTGTGATCCAGTAGATTAGGCGTTCGCGCGCAAGAGTGACGTCACGGGTTTGAAGCCCGTGAGTGGGATCGTAGATGCGCACCTAATAATCTCCACAATCCTTATACTGGTATAATTTATTTCACGAATCTATAAATATTTAGTTTATTTTAATATTATATCTTCTATGATTACATATAATATGGTGTATGCTACTGATGTCGACTTCATATGATATAATGAGATATAATATAATAATAATATATATTATAAGATGTAAGTAGTACGTATCATCAAACTAAAATGAAATGCCTGATGATAGAAACTTTAGAAAATCAAAGAGAAAAGAACGAGAACAGATGATGTTTAGTATGGAAACGACGAGACAACGAAGTCTGAGACAATTGATGACTATTTTGAAAATCAAGCATTTACTGTTGTGTTCTCAGATTTTATCAAGATATTTTATAATTTTATATTCAAATAAAATTGGTTCCCCCCCCTCCACACACGCTTGTATGTATATTTATCAGAATAAGATTTATCATAGATAGACAAAGGAGAATTCATAATCTATTGACATACAATTACAATCAGACCGACAAACATGTAAAGTACAAGTACACCTCATGTAAACAACTGAATGATGTTACATCGATAAAGTTACTCAATTCTATCAGACTTCATATGGACGTGATTTATGTGAGGACGACAAAGATTTCTGTTATGTCGGAAGTGAATTCAGCCACAATATGACAACACAACTGTACCACAATACAGAAACTGTGTGTATTGTTTGGAGGAAATCAACATCTCACACAGAATGAGAATAGTCAGGAAGTGATATATTGAGTGTGTGTGTATGCATGTGGAAGAGACAGAGACTGGAGATGTGGTGGAGTGGAAATGATGTTGGTGAACTCGACTAATTTTTGAAGTGAAACAATACACGTCGAATGTTGATGGTGGAGTGAGTTTGTTTTGATTATAACTGGTGATTGAAATTTTTAGTACTGATGATGATGATGAATTGTGTGTTTGTCGAACTCAACTGTAGAATCTAATTCATCAATGAATTAGACAGTTCGAGTGGGTAGTAGGTTTTGACCAGAAGGAATTACTTTGATGATGTGAGACATGTGTTTAAGGTAATATCGAGGCAATACTTACAGTATGCACATATGCCAATAGAAGACTGATCAGTTACAATCCTAAGTATCAATAGAAAGTTTTAAGTAAACAATACCAAGTGAATTTAGACTTCAACCCAATTTCACAAGCTACTGGCTATCGGGATTTCGTAACTAAGTGAATAACGCGATGGCATTTGAAGCGTACAGTACTGAGTTTGAGTCGCAGAGTGAACGTTAACTCTGAGATGCAGGTAAATCCAGCCAAATAGTCGCAAATAAGACAAACACATGTCCTGGATCCCACTACTAACCACTATCCATCTTTACTGATAATAAATAGCTCATTTTATTTTTTATAATAATATAGCATACATATATATTATAATAATAATGACAACATACAAGATACAATGTATTCATTTTCACCTAAACACATACAGAACAATTTCATTAAACCGGTTATTAAATTAATTATAAAATTGATTTTAGTTTTTCTTTTTTTTGTTGCCTATAGCAACACACTGAAAAATTCGCATTCTTTGAAGAAGAAAAGAAAAAAAGAAGAAAAAAAGAAAGAAAAACATGAGCTTATATATTTCCGTTATGAATTATGATAAACGATTTCCTTTTTTTTAAATATTTTTATCGTGTCTATTTTCTTTCAAAAGGTTACATGTTCACATGGTTAAGTTCAGGTTACATAATGAAAAGGGAAAAAATTTTTTTTCATAAAAAAAAACAACAACACAAAACTGAATTACATTTAAACAAAACAACATAGAAACCAATTCACTAGTAAGATGATCACTTGAACACATTGAATTGTCACGTTCATTCGAAATCATAGTCAAGTGTAATAAAGTAGTGACTAGAAAAGCAAAGATGTATGATCTTTATTTTTTTTATTTTTGAAATTTGGGTAACAAATAGACACACCACACACACACACACACGCAGAGAGAAACAATGAAGAAGAAGAAGTAGAAAAAGAATGTTAGTCGTCAAGTTCCTATAGAATTGACACTGTTTCATTATTTTTATATTATCATGCATAGATTTGATTATGTAATGAGAACATTTACCTAGAATGGATATTTTGATATTGAAATGTAAACATAAAATGAATGTTGAAATATTAATTTATATTTCTTATATGATTGATTATAATAGTTCATATCCCATGATGTATTATTAAACCATGTTTGATTACCAATATTATATTCATTATTGATTGTTGATGAAGTTACAGATGATGATGGAGCTGTTGATTTATGTCCTGATGATATAGTCGTTGATAAAGAGTCCACTGTTGATGATGACGACGATGATGATGATAATAGTTTAGAATCATTTTCATAACATGATACTCGGAAAAACAAATAATATAACTGACCAGGTTCATCATATTTTGTTTGTTGATATGTTAAATTTGTTGCCGCTTCAATATGTGCACTTAATAGTGTACGTTCACGTGTTTGATTTGTATTATTTTTAGCCCAATTCGGTGTTAAGTAAACAACTCCATCTTCTGTACGATGATGAACTGGTGTATTTGGTGCTTTGTCTAAAAGATGATAGTGACAATTCGATTGCTGAACCTGAATTGTTTATACAAAAATGTAAAAGAAAAATATAAATAAATGCTAATAGATTTAATAAAATGGAATACATTTAAGTATAAAGAGTGAGGTTAAACGCTATAAATACATTTTTGATACTTCGTCAATTGTTCAAGATTCTTCAGTGTTGACATTTTGTGTATGAGTAGAAAGTCATCCTACCAGTATTAATGTGTTGTGCACTACTTATGCGGATAGACACAACTAGTACGTAGCTAGAATTGAGAGTAGGATGCTCACCCGTATTAAAGTGAAATAAGGAGAAGAGGAAGGAGAACGAAGAGCAATCCGAATAACAATAGGATGGGTAGAACGATGAAGTATGTAAAGGACAACTGAAGGAGGATATGCAAATGCTATATTTAATGCACAGTTTTCATATTTTACAAAGATACCGTTTGATTTTGCATAAAACAATATACTATTTTACCCTGACCTGGGTTTTCGTTCACTATATTAGTGGTAGTATAAGTGTAGTATCTGCTACTTATGTCTGTCTACATAAGTAGTATGTAACACCAATCAGAAGAGGAATGCATGGCAGCAGAAGGCTATGTGAGTTGATTTGAAGAAAAAAAACGGAAATAGAAATGAATTGTAACTTTGAAGAATCATATAGTGTAAACGACAAATGATAGAAATTCGCAAATGAAGTATTGAGTGTGTGGTTTTCATATTCTACCAAGAGACTCTGTAATTATACATTTAAATATAATCGCTTGTCTCCTACCTGTGTTCTCGTTCATTACAGTAGTAGTAGTAGTAATAACATTTATTCAGTTTTCTGTCATGTTTTCATCTATGTATTTTTTTCAGGTAAATATCGTTTAATTGATTAAAGTTAAGACTAAATTTCCCCGTTATTCATTAGATCCTCTTCTAGGAGAAAAAGATACAGGCGGTTATCAATACGAATAGACTGGCTATCCAGTTTCGTTCCATAAATCCCTGTGTATATGTATATTCTCAAAACAACTGACAACCAATATCAATGTCATAATTTTCAATACGAAGGTCAAGACAGTCACTTATACTGTACGGAGCTGAAGCTTCCACAACTACCACAAATATCATCAAAAAGATACAAACATTTATAAACAGTTATCCATGCGAGATACTATTCAATGTTCGTTGTTGACCGGAAGCCTACTGTAGGATATAACAAACCAGCTTCCAGATGAGGAGGAAATTAGCAAGAGTCTATGGAGTTGGCGGATAGGACATACATTAAGGAAATCATCAAACTGCATCACAAACCAACTGCTTACTATCTGGAATCGTAAAGGGAAGTTGAAGAGAGAAAGACCAAAGAACTCAACAAGTCAGGAATTGTAAGCCAACATGAAAAGAATCAATATCAACTACAAACAAGATTGTTCAGGATATGATTGAATAGAGAACGCTGGTGGTCAGCCTATGCTCGAAACAAAATTTCGAACATAACTACCTTATTTATCACTATCTAAATTGATTATAATCTAAATAGATCAGAGAATAAATAATAATAATAATAATAAATCCCGAATACATGTCATTCACATACTACACTTGAAATAAGAATCAAATAGATTGTCATTTTAAATAAATCATCTGAAGAAACCTTCCACAATGAAAAACATGGACACATTACTGTTAAGTCAATTACAATGAACAAAGAAAGAAAGAAAGAAAGAAAGAAGGAAGAAAATAAAAAGAGAAAAAAACAATATTTAATTTGAATTTTGTAAAAAAAAATAATCACCATAACAACTCCATACCAGAAATTCTATGTCTACTTGATCAATGGTGTTCTTTGCTTTCTTTTTAAAACTTGTCATTTTCAGAATAAGAATTACTAAATAGTTCATTGATATTCAGTCGTTATTTTTTAGGGATTTAGAGATTCATTATTATTATTTTTATTATAAGATTGATAATTATAAATGGCAATGAAGAATTAAAGGTAGATAATGGTGAAATTGATAGTGAAACAATGTAGGATTTGATCAGCCCTAATGGGTTGGTGTCTGACGAAATCTCAGCACGGATTTGAAAAGCTCGATTGGCTTTTGCTAACTTACGTCACTTATGGTAAAGGCAAGATATCTGTCTATCAAAAAAAAGGAACCAGTATACTACGCGGTAGTTTGTTCTGTTTTACTTTACAGTTGCAAAACGTGGACATTAAGAGTAGGAGATACTCGTAAGCTACTAGTATTTGATCACAGATGTCTTGAAAATATTGCTTGCATCCGCTGGGATCATTGGGTAAGTGATAGTGAATTTAGACGCAGGGTATTAGGGAATGATGGTAAATCAGTTGATGAGTTTGTGAATCTTCATCGACTCAGATGGTTGGGCCACGTGCTGCGCATGCCCAAACACTAACTACCACGATGTGCAATGCTAACCGGTGTTTGAGATGGTTGGAAGAGAGTTAGGGGTGGTAAACCAAGACGTAGCATCAGTCATTGAAGTCACTAACTTCTAGTCTTAGCCATGTTGGTAGATGCAGAATACTTGGTTGGGGTCCACGTGACTATCGTAACCAATGGTTAGATACTGTGTGTGATATGATTGAGAACCGATCCCAGTGGCGTATGTGTATACATTCTCTGTCTTCCCTTAAACTAAGAGATTAAAATCGCTTCATATCTTTCTTCCTGTATTATATCCTTAGACACTATCCTTCTTTCATATATTACTATGAGTGAATTGACTACTCATATGAATTTGGTATTCATCTTGTTGTGTTAATGAGGTATGGCGATTTGGACCGATGCATATATGTTATCGAATTAATAAAAGCTAAGCAGCACTAAATACTTGTCTTATGCTTCTTGGAGTCTTCTCAGTCGTAGGCACCTATGATCCGAACTTAATCATATCAGAGTAAAAAACAAATTACCTTTGATGATGGTTACTTACTGTGGTGTACACTACTTATATCTGTAGACATAAGTATTATGTAATACCAGTCAGAAGTGGAATGCCCGGAAGCAGGAAGTTGATAAGATCGAATTGACGATAACAGGAATGTAAAAAGAGAGTAGTTATAATAACAACAGGAATGAAGGAATGATGAAGTTTGTAAGAGATCTTTTTTGGAAGATGTGCAAATGACGTATTCAATGTATGGTTTTCAGATCTTAGCAAATCACACTGTAATAATGCATTAAACAATAAGATGCTTGTCCTCACTTAAGTGTTTGTTCACAACAGTACTACTAAAGTCAAAGTACTGTGCTTGCAATAATGCTTGAAGATCTTACGTTAAGAAGTGGTTGTGCGCTTCTGGAGGATCGCGATGTTCAATTCTCTATGTTTTTTGCTAATTCTTCTGCAAAAGTCATAAAGACATTTCACTCAAGAATATATTCATTTAGAAGTGATCACGAGTGTATAAAATCCAGAAGAATGCCTTTATCACAGTTACGTTTTCTGAGCTGAACGATTTACCTGCCAATTTTACCATTACCACTGGGATCAAGATCTATCTGTTCTGCATTCAAAGAAAAGTGAGCTTTCTAAAACGGTTGTCGGAGAGCATAATAGAGACTTCGTAATTAAACCATTTAGTTCAGGTAAAGTAATATTACAATAATATACCAACTAATGTCATCATACGGAATATACTTGTATTTTAATAGTAATTATTAAATATATAATTATATATATAAGTTAAACCATCATTGAAAACCTGGTAGCACTGAATGGCCATTTTTTAGTGTCAGAAATGGGTCGTCCAGTGAATCAAGGTTTTCACTAGTCCTCTAACTTGGTTTGGTTCATGACTACAATGGAATTCAACAGTCTCCACAACCCCGTACTAACAGTAAAATATTTACAATCATTTATTTGAATAAACTGAATCTGTAAAATCAATCTCACTTACTTGATGCCAGTCAACAACACGAAGCATTATCCTTGACCCCGTCACACGGTATGATTCAGGCGATGGAAGACTAACAACTAAATATTCCACAGTATCAGCAAACATAGCACCATGAGGACAATTTAATTTAGAATCACTACATCTTATTCGACAAGATCTAGATTGTGTAATGATAATAATAAACGAACCGTCTTTTTAAAGTAATTAACAAATTTCCATGAATTCTAAGCACAATTAAAAACCAAAGTTCATTTTACTTTAAATGTTTTAAACAAACAAGGAATAGATTAACTGTCAGGACATCTTTTAACTAGTTACATAAAGCAACATAACTGATAAAGAGTAAGAAACATTCCATAGTTAGCAACATGAGATAATCTTAGTTATACACCTGTTGAAAACTAGGATACATTAGAACCCCTAAATTCCCTGGTACGGCCGAGAGTGGAGAGCTTTCGTCCTCTCTCCCGCTCTCGAAATACTCTCACATGGCCACGAGTATACAGCCACTTCCAGGGAAGTCCTACTCACCGCCTTCTCACGGCAGTGTTTTTTATTGAATTAGGAGAACGAAAAGCGAATGTCCGGTGCTTTAACCGGGCTGATGAACACAGAGGATCCAGCTAAGTAAGTTTAAAAACCCCAATTTCGAACCACTGGCACACATGGGCCCTAGGATTCTGAGATAAAGAATCGCGCATGAACCTATTGTTGGTCATTGGCTACCATGGGACTATATCGCTTAAAGTTGCCTCACTGACTTATGGACTAGAATTCTAGGTCAGGGGCTCAGGAATTGGCCTACTAATAAAACCATCTGCTTCGGTTCGAGCGCTCTGGCAGTATCTCAGCCCTCACACAAGTTCAACAATGGATTGTTTCGCACATAGATTTGGTGCTTTATGTACCTATGTTTATGTGTTTGCACAAACTATACATTAAATAGCTTTTTCCTACTAGTACGGGACTAGTCGATGTTACTCTTCCACTACTCAAACGAGAGATCTAACCTAACCTGAACAGTTTCATTCTCGTTTTAAATTTTTGAGTAGTGCAGGTAAATGAATTCAGTTAAAATTTAACTCAAGAAATTCATACATTTCTGGAACAGAGAAAAATTTAGACTATCAAATCAAAATTCATTGGTTTACTACATGGAATAATTATAGCTGGTATAAGTTACTCTCGTTCATTTCAAGTAATTAGAATGCGTTACCTCTTTTCTTTAAACAGTATATCGATATAACTGATTATAACTAAAGTGATTTTGTCTCGACCGATTGTTGCTACCATGACGTGGTGGTTGGGCTTGCCTATCGTGATGAAGCGACCGGGCTATACTGGCTGGGACAACGTTTCTCTATGTCCTACCGTGTCAGACAGGTCGGTTGAAGAGCGGTAAGACTAAAAGCAACAAATCCAAGGTGCGAAGGCGAAGTCGTACCGCCGACTGCACAGAGGTGTGACAGAAGTAGTGTTTCCTTCAGACAACCAGTTAAACAGCGATGCTGCCTTCCCACAAGGAAGGGTGGGGTTAAAAAATTTCGACCCTAAAAATGCACACCTCGCCTTATCCCACAGATTCAAATCGCTTCATATCTTTCCACGAAATAATTCTTTCCTCCTGTACTATGTTCTTATATGCAATCTTTCTTTTATGTATTACAACCATTGACTTAACTACTTCTATGAATCCGGTGTTCATCTTGCTGTGCTAATGCGGTATGGCAGCTTGAACCGATGCATATATGTACCTAGTCCGACGTTGTAGCTGATTGACTGACTGACTGAAAGTGATTTTGTGACTATGAGATAGTAGGTATTTATTCTCATTTGTTTAATTTTATTTTAAGCATTGAACTTACCTAGATTTTTTGTCGTAAACATAATTTTTCGGACATCTTTGTTGTACACATGTGTAATTACCTGGAAGATTTAAACAAACTTCATCTGATCTACAAGGATTGCCTAAATTGCACTCATCTATATCTGAAATGAGAAAACACACAGAGAAAATGAGTCAGCAAAATAGAAAAAAAGTGTAATTGAATTATCCGCAGAGATGAAGTACGTAAACTAAAAGTGAAGAAATGTGGTAAATAGTTTACTCCTCTAGTGATATGATTTTCCCGTTAAAAATTACCTGAACTCTCACACTGAAAATCACGTGTAGATCTAAGCTAGACCATTTATGAAAACATTACGGCATTGGACGGCCATTATATCCTAGTACAGGACTCCTCAGCAGTACGTTCGCGCGCGAGAGCGAAGTTCATGGGATTGATTCTCGCGTGTGGGATCATGGATTTACAATGCTGAGGAGTCCCATACTGGAATAAAACGGCCGTTCAGTGCATCTAGGTTTTCAGTGGTGGTCTAGCTTAGGTTGTCTTGTAATTTCAACTGTGAAAATACTATAATCACCACAAATTCATTTTACTAATTATCCTTAATTATCGGCAAAACTATAATTTATCGACGAGCCAATGAAATTTAAGATACCAAGTCATGAGTTTTGGTGTGGAATTCATTAATTCTTAGAGTTTAATAGCCTTTCGGCATCATGATTAATGTTAACTCGCGATGAAAACCATAAGTCTAATTCCAAACACTAAATTTTAACTCTAAGCATTACTACTAAATTCTGTTAGTCCAGCTATTTGATGTTTTGTGAGTAAGTTCGTTCTAGCACATTACAGTGGTGAATAATAACAATTTGCTCAATGGTTTGCCATAAAACTTTCAGTTTTTTTTAAGTAGGTGCACACTTTATTATATATTTCCGAGTCATGATAATGATCCTTCCGCAGGTTTACCTACGGTAACCTTGTTATGACTTTTACTTCCTCTAAATATTCAAATTAGGTCAACTTAGCATTAGTTGAACGACAAAGGCACTACAACGATACTATTCCAACGACCTCACTAAACTATTCAATCGGTAGTAGCAACTGGAGGTGTGGTTAATAATCGGAATTAGAGTCAACATCCCACTGCTAGCCACTATCCATCTTTGCTTATAAAAGCTTGTGAATTAAGGCAATATCAAGGCATACACACAGTATGCAGATATGCCAATAATAGACTGATTAAATGCAGTTTTAAACCTTAATGGGAAGATACAAGCAAAATAATACCAAGTGAAAGTAATAAACATCTTTTGGTATGTTTTAATATTAAGATGAACACTTTCATATAAAGAAGTAAAACTTTATTTAATTTAGTACTTAGCTATAACTGATCTTACCTCTGCATAAATTTGTTTTACGATCTATTTCATAGCCTATTGGACATTCACAACGATAAGCTCCATATGTATTTACACAATTATATTGACATGGACTTGAACCAAATGATGGATTACATTCATCAATATCTATTCAATTTATAAATTAAAAAATATAATGAATCAATGCATATATATTATGAATATTTGAGGATGTTTATATCTGCTGAAAGACTAATAATCTAAAAGCTCAAGATGGATTTTCTCCAGTTCTTCAGAGAAACTGTGACTAGGGTAGTTTAATCTTGTCTGTTGTAAGGCAGTTACTCACAGAAGACAACGGTGGACAGTCGCATAATATCGTTGATTAGTTGACGTTAGGCATTAACACTATCAGATGCTGGTTCAGTGGTTTAGAGGTCAAGCGTTCACGCGCGAGACAAAAGATCATGGTTTCGAGTCTCATGTGCGGGACCGTGGGTGTGCACCGCTGAGAAGTTCCATACTAGGATGAGACGGCCGTCCAATGTCTCCAAGTTTTCAGTGATAGTCTAACATGTACCTATTCATGATGTCAATCTAAACTCAACAATCTCCACAACCCTATAGCTGATAAAGCATACATTACAATCGATCATGTTGATAACGTTTACAAAGTATACAAAGACTTTGAAAACCATAATAAATTCATTCAATAGATGGGATATAGAGATTGGATCGAATTTAATTTTCGAGATATAGTGGAACAATTAAAATTTGACTCAAGAAGCATAGATTTTCCTTGCAAGAAGTGAAGTAAACGAAGACTTGGTGGAGAAAACTAATTTACTGTTCAATGCACAATCAAACAGTGCTTTGGTAAAATGTGTAAATCATACATCCAATATATAATTTGCACGTCTTCTTTCAGTTTAACATCCTTCATGATTCTTCCAATTTTGTTTTGATTCTGATTCTCTTCGGTTCTCTTCAGCTCAATATTCTTTTGACAAACATTCCACTTCTGATTAGTGTTACATAATACTTACATCTGTCAACATAAGTAGCATACACCATAGAAGTATACTTGGTTAGTAACTAAACATTAAATTATTCTAATTGTTAAAAAATTCTGTGGAAATGCTATAGTCTCCACAAATCCCCTTACCGATAATAGTCATGTGTACACTAGTGACTAGCTTCAAGATGTAACTTCTGGAGTTCTAGTGAGAAGCGGTGATCAGTGGATGTGAGACAATCATCCATCTCAGACAATGAATGAAGCGTTGCGCAAGATTATAAATCCATTGAAGTTGGACATTAATATCGTTGGGTCCTGGCTCTGTGGTCTAAAAGTTAAGTGTTCGCCCGCAAAACCGAGGGTCCCGGGTTTGAGCCTCACGTGCGGGATCGTGAATGCGCGGGGCTGAAAAATCCCATACTAGGAAAAAACAGTCATCTAGTGCTTCTAGTTTTTCAATAGTGATTTAACTTATTCCTTTAACCAAAGTCACCATCCACTGGTTCTTGTAAATAATCGTGAGCTTTGAACACGATTATTTAGCTCTATACAAACGCACTTCCTAATTAGTCTTAGTCTTTATCTATCACATATATCGCTGTTCAAGCATAGAAACATGGATTGAATAGTAAATTGAACTATAGAGCACACAAATTATTGTTTCCAGGCTTGATGACTTATTTCAAGTTATGAATGAATATTTAATTTTTACCCCCCCCCCCAAATTTACCTATACAGCCTTTTTCTCGATTCCATTGAAATCCTTCATTACAGAACAAATCACGTCGATCTGAAAATTAAGAAATTTGTACATTGAGCAATGTTTTATCAATAAACAAAATAATTATGCTCTATAAGTGTTGCTGAAGTGAACAAGAACACGAGTGGGGACAATCGGATGTATTGGACACGAAATTACAGAGCATCTCAATAAAATCTGAGAATCATATAGTAAATAGTTAATTTGCAAAATATCAATCCATTGTCTCAGATAACATTGTTCATGCATTTTCATACCAATTGCGTTCCGTTCCCATTCCTTCCTTATCGATCTTCTACTGAAATGCATTCTATGCCTGACTAGCCTTATATACTACTTATGTGGATATAGTAATCCACACTACATTACTACTAAGATTTGACTTGATAGTTTCGAATAGATTGAGCATCGAAAAGATTACTAACAATAGAAATAATATATTTATAATATCCTAATGAGCAAAAAATTAAATTACTGATGTTTCGTCACTTAGTGTTAACGACTTCTTCGGAGAATAAAAACAACACATTGATACAAGTTTAAATAGTACAAAGAACACAATAGTTTTTTAGTATAATCAAAATAAAGATAGATTTAATCATGTTAATATTATTGTCATTTCTGTCAAGTTTATGTTTTATGTGAGACATAGCTGAGTGTAATTGTATGTGTTTATGTTAGTGGATATGATAAATGTGATATTTGTGGAACAGTAAGGTTAGAAATATGTGTGTATTTGTAAATGGTATTGTGATGTGTACTATTGATGTTGACAGATATAAGTAGTATGTATCATCAATCGAAAGTGAAATACCTGATGGTAGAAGGTTAATAAGATCAAGGAAAAAAGAACAAGAGCAAAGAATGATTGGTGTGGAAACGAAGGAACAATAAAGTCTGAGACGATTAATTGATATTTTGAAAATGAAGTATTTACGGTATGGTTCACAAATTTTAATAAGAGATTCTGTAATTTTGTATTCAACTACATTCAGTTAGCCACACTGGTGTTCGCGTTCACTACAGTATAAGAGTTTAACAGAATTAAATTTGTGAATATTTGTATAAACGGCCTATATTTGATGGCCTTTCTTCTTGTAGAACGCGTTAGGATTTAGCAAAAACAGAAAAGGCTTAAGCCGCTCATCTCTTATTACATTTGAAAAAAACCTTCTTGAATTATTGTGACATTATTCATATTGATTTTGATGATTGCTAAAGAGAGCATGTACTGCTATTTCTGATTCTAAAATTATTCGGAGGTCTTTTTGGGTAGTTTCGATGTTCTTTGGCACGGGTCTCGATTTCACCACAAGACTCTTCAATATATAATACATCACGATCTACACACACACACACACAAACACAATTATGTGTCGAAGTGATAGGAATTTTATCTTGTATTTGAACTAAAGTATTTCGAAAAATGTTCATTGTTATGTAGAATGTTTTTATTCTATATGACTCAAAGATTCATTGTAGTACTTCCGTTGTATCATGATGACATAATAGAACTAGAGTACCAATCTATGATATTTCATTAAAGGTATTCTTACTTAATAATAGATCATTTTCTCTTAGTACATGATTCAATAATATTGAAAGGAAAATAGTGAGCTTGTAAGGGGCTATTTATACTCATCTGCTGTGTTTGTTTCTCTTTTCCCTACGTAACGATTATGATGGATTATCTTAATCAATTTAAAGATAATGAAAGGTCTACATTGAATCTATGTGTGAAGCTGAAATCAATGTATCAGTTTTCTGTAAGTGGTTAGATTTAGATATATATTAGAATTCCTTTTCACTAAATAGTCTCAAAATGACAGTTTAATAAGTTCATTTTCATGTTTGAAAGTGAATCAGATATGATTAATTGGCTTAGAGAAGTTTCTAAGAAAATTCTTGTATTTTTTTCAATAGTTGAGATCGGCATTGCTGAGGAATCTCACAGTAGGACGAAACAACCGTCCAGTGCTCCCAGGTTTTCCATGGTTGTCTAGCTTTAATTGACTCATGATCTCAACTATTAAAATTACTATAATATCCATAGAATGAAACTCTTCTGAGTCAAATAAATTAGCATGGCCACTCCATCTATTTATTTCTATAAAGTTCCTTCGAAAGTAAATGGGGTTGAATTCAAGGGATTTAATGATTAAACTAATAGCGAATAGACGCTTGTTAAATAAATTATCATTAACTACCAAACCATTGATAAAGTATAGACGTCTGTCATTTGGAATACTATGATGTAATGATACATCATAGCTTACCATTATTCCATTTTCGTTGATGATTATTTTGAACTGGATTCCGGATACTACTTAGATATTAAGATAAACAGTATGTTGGAGTGTTTGTGAAATCCATAATGTGTCTTAACTGTAGATGCCTAGATTTCACTAATAGTCAACTAGAAAACAATTATACTCCATCTAGCAAACATTCCATCATTCTTACAGTCTTTATAGTTCTACTAGGTTCTTTGATTCTTAGATTTATTATCCACTTCAATCTTTAACTTTATTAGCTTGATTTGGTTCTTCGAATATCCAACAGTTAAAACTAGTATTGTTTCAAAGAAAACTGTATAAGTTTATGTTATCTGTACAGAAGTTTAGTTTAAGACTATAATATGACTGATTATAATGTGACCTGAGTTCATTGTTAAAGATTTCGTTGTTTAATAAGTTGTTTTCAGCACTTTCAACCAACCTTTCGTTCATTTTGTCAAGACGTACTGTATAGAACAGTGTAATTTTCATCAACTCTAAATTTCACTATATTTTGGTCCACCCCTCCACGAAAGGTAACAGGCGTATGTAAGTGAGCAAGTAAGTGTGATACAGGATTGAGCTATACTGTTTAGGTCGCAATGTAAAAGCATGGATGGTGTCTGATTCTCCTGAAAAGGGGCATAAAATTACCCTCTCTGAGGATATATTCACTAGGTATTTTTCTAGCTGTGCTGTACTAACATGTTCATGGAAGATATATATTTTTTTTAAAAACTGCAGGCGATCGAAATGAAATCTTTGGTGAAACCTTTACTCAAATATACAGGAAACCCTTTAAATAACCTGGGAAATGTCCAAAAATGTCGGGAAAATCACTTATTGAATGTTGGAAATTTCGTGTATAACCTTCGTCAGAAATTGACACAGCATCACCATTCATCAGCCTGTTCTGTATATCAACTGTGGCAATTCAGTTTAAGACTCACCAAGTTATTGTAACCTTAAATGAGTGTCTTCTTACAGAAAACCATGAAGTTGAATGATGCATTTATCACTTAGTGATGAATCAAAACTTTACAACCATATTGATGTAAATAAACAGTCTTTTATCTGTTCAGTGATTAGTATATGATAAAAGAATCCATATGTATACGACCATGCAACTATTTGATATTAGTATAACTCCCTTATCTCTAATGTCCTAATATGTCAATCCGTTTTCAACTTGACTAGATTTTCAGAATAATAAACTTTATTAAAACTAATCTCAAATGTCTTGTAACCTACTGTCACATCCTTGAGTTCCAGCTTCTTGACCATTTGAACAACGACAACTGTACGTTCCAGGTTCATTTACACATTTTGATCCAAGGGGACACTGAGAAATTCCGATAGCACATTCATCAATATCAACACATTCAATAATATTTGATTCAGGTGTACCCATCGCACGGTATCCTTGTGGGCATGCAGGTTGGCAACGAAAACTGCCTGGTATATTTACACATCGTTCATTTTCACTACATTGGTAAGCTCCAGATAGACATTCGTCAATATCTGAATTTTAACATTTGTCATTAAATTAGAAATTTTAATATTTTACATATGAATTTATTGGATGGCATAATAGAACTGCCCTGAACCTACCCATATTGTTTGTGTCAGGATAAAATATCTAACATGTCTCCAATTTATTCAAAAGTCTATTACTGAAATAAGTTATGAATTATGAACAAATTTGAACGGACTTGAAAGTGTTATTCATGTCTAGTCACTTATACGGTATACGAATCCTACTTTTGACAATGAAATCTGGAAGTATTTGGTATGTCTGCTAGTAATAACCCCAGTCCAAGTCTATACGGCAACTTGAATACAAGATAAAAGGGGCGAATTACGAAAAGAACGCTGTACTCTAAGGTTAGTTTGTGTACAGAATATGAAGGTATTAATAGAATTACATACGAGCCTTAGCTTTTGGAATTTTATTGGACTATAATAAATATAACAGTAGTATGGGTATATATCCAGTCCAAAACATGGGAGGTGACTCTTCACTTCCTAGATGTTTCTGAGAGTCTTTTATCGTATATCTATTGTATAAAGTGTTTCCAATGGTTTTCTGGAACCTTATGAACTTTTCGGAGGAATACTTTGGAATTACCCAAAAGTATTCTAATGAAATCTTGAATTTGCTAGGTTGATAAGATAATCATAAATGTGAAAACATCCTAAGGAGTCTAGACTAAATGCATCAAAACTTTAGAAGACAGACTATTTATTCAACATGTACAATATAAAAGCTACACTTACTAGTATTTGCAAATGTAAGAATGCATAAAGTTGACGAGTAATCTTTGTATGTAAAATAAAGTGAGGTATTTGTGAGATTCTACCTTTAAACTAAGGTTTGTAGGATTTACTAGAATATTATTGTACATGGCCGGACAGCTTGATTGAAGAACGGTAAGACTAGAAGCAACAAGCCCAAAGTCCGAAGGCGAAGTCGTACTGCTGACTGTACGGACGTGTGATGGCAATAAGGTGTTTCTTCCAGACAGCCAGCTTAACGGCGATGCTGCCACAAGGAGGGGTGGGGTTAGAAAAGTTCGACCCTAAAAATGCACACCTCATCTTATCCCATGGATATCCGTTTGTTGCGGTAGGGTCTGAAGAAGTACTGAGCTAACACAAAAATCACTCACAAAATGGTCGTGTGTGACCGACCTCATGCAGTTGTCTTTTGGGTACTGCGGTCACGGTCTCAGGTCACCAAGACCACGTTTAGTCCAATTTCTTTTTCAGGTACCTCTGGAAGAAGTCTTCCATGGTGTGAGCAACCGGAAAGTGAGAACTGCCCTCATACTTCTAACAGAACTCAAGGTTTGATAAACCTTCTGTAGCGTACATCAAACTCGAAACATAGTCTGGACACATGAAATATAAACTTAAAGTCTATTTTATTTGCCAAATGATTCACACTTGAATAATCAGTTTTAAGCATTTATAGATAAATAAAAACCTGTTTTTAAGATTGTTTTAAAAAGTAGTATCTTACCTTGACATATTTCACCTACTCGTTTGTAACCTGGTAAACAAATACATTGATAACCTCCGAAGGTGTTCACACATGTATGAGGTCCACAAATACCTGGTCCATTTTGACATTCATCAATATCTTTTAATTATTTTTAACAGAGTTAGATTGCAAAAAAAAACACAAATATAATTAGTAACAGATTAGAGGATATTTTTTTCGGGGGGGGGGAACAAGTATCATATGTTTTATCAGTTAGAAAATCCATATGAGGTATTTTATATGAATCATAAAACTAATTGCAATTTTATAAGCATAGGAACTACATAATGGAATAAAATATTAATATAACTATTCTGAGAGAATCTCCGACTGGAGCCCCTCTGGGGTTACTGCCGATCCCAAGTTTGGATAAAGGAGGAGGGTTGAGCATAGGGAAGGGAACCTGATGATAACTGAATAAGCTCTAATACTCCTCTGATTATGTATACTTGGTAAATAAAAAGAATGGGAGTGTTACTGTCTCATCATCAATGGAAATCCACTCACATTAAACAGTTTGTTTTACATTAAGTTTAACTAATAATGAATATATACTATTAATAAAATAAGTAACAAGACAGCTTAAAAAGGCAAATGATAACTACTACCGCTCCTTTAATTAGCTTAGTAGAGTATATAGTGAAATTTGCACATGGCTGGCAAAAGAAAATGTATTCTATTCTACAACGAAGACGATATAGCATAAAAGCGAAATTAAAAGATAGGGGTTAATTCCTTCCCATGTGAATTCCATTTGAAACATACATGAGAATTTGTTCTTCTTCCTTGTGTACGAAGTAAGCTTTCAAATAAATCATTTCATTAATGATTCAATGGATAATAGGTACTCTTTCATGATTACCTAATTCTATCAGACTGTGAATCTTCAAGAAGTTTGAAGCAGTTGTTTAGCAGATAACAAAAATGCCAGAGCTTTGCATCTAAAGGAAATATATATTCAGTCGCTCGTTTTACCCTGGTCAACTTCAGGGTCAATATAATTTGATGAATGTTCATTTTTGTGTCCCAAACTTATTATTATTATTACACTTGCTAATCTTTTTGAGAAGTTTATTCAGCATCCAGCCCGATCTACTAATTCTTTCCTAATTCATATTATTCTACACATTACGTAATTTCTGTTTTGTAATTATACTGTTCTCTCTCTCTCTCTCACCCCATGTTAACCATATTCCGATCATTTATCTGAAAATTTCATTTCATTTTAATAGTTGAGATCACGAGATCATGGTGATCAAGCTTTGATTGACTCGTGATCTCAACTATTAAAATTACTATATAATATCCACAATAACCCTTCTGAATTTCATTTCATTAATGAATTGATTCAAGTTAGTCATCCAAATTATTAACGAGTTCACTTGATTTGATTTAATATGTCAAACAATCCTTCATTTACGTGTTACAATTAAAGCTAAATCATGATGTGAAACCTAGAATCACTAAACGGCCATTTTGTTCTAATATGGGACTCTTCAACAGTTTGCCTCCACGAACCCACACAGCGTGATTCGAACTCAGAACATATCGGTCTGGCGCATGAACGCTTAACTTCTAGATCACTGTGCCAGCCGGCATCCAACGATGTTAATGTCTAACTTCAATCAAACCAATTTGGATATATGATTGTAAAACCTGATGAGAAATTATTGAAAAGAATATCCTTCGTTCATATAATTGTGTTTTAGTAGAATGGGAATTTTTCAACAATATAAGTTTCTAAAAAATATCATGAATTTAATTCTTGCAATTTCTCAGTATACATTGTTAAATGTAACTACAAGCTAAACATAAATTGACCTTTTCTTCTTCTTCATTGAATGCGTTTGTTGAAGCATTAATATCTTTCGCTGAGGTAGGAAATAGTGATTATGAACCTTGGAAAATCAGAAAGCTAACCATAACAATCATGTACATTCTAGTGTCGTAGAGTTTTCAACGATAGGTTCTGAATTATATCATTCTATTTTCTAACTGTCTAACATTGGGAATAAAAATGTTAGGACCATTTTAAATGTTCCTCAAGGTTATCGGTACATTATAATTTCTTCCAATTGATCTTTAAGCATCATTTGTCATTAGTTCATAATCAGAAATATGAGAACTAGCTTCTTTTCATTTAATCCAGTATGATTTATAACACATTCAAGATCTTGATGGCGTTTTGTTCTCTGAGCTGGATGGTTTGGTCGTGGAGCTTTCATCGTTCTTCTGAACGCCATCATCACCATAAACTACATTCAAGATTATATAACATGGTATTCACGCTGTTGTTAAAAGTAATGCCTAAGTGGTTATCATTCTGATTGTTTTCATACACATTTGGTTAATTTAGTAAAGTATCCATATAAAATTCTAAAACAAACTCATATGAAAAGATGATGAGTTGAGATCTAACTGATAGTTACATCTTCTTTTCTGGCTTTTTTTTAATCTTTAAAATAAATTCCTAAATGATATTCATCAATAGCATGTTTATTACCTTCACAACGATCCATTATAGGATTTTCTTTCAAACCGGGTCCACAAACATGTTTACATTCATAACTTCCATGAGTATTAATACATCTTTGTCCATATGGGCAAATAGTTTCATTATTTCCACTTATAGCGCATTCATCAATATCAATACAAGAATGTCCATCAACTGATAAGCGATAACCTTTATGACATGTACATGTATAGTAAGGTACAGTATTTTTACATACATGATCACATTTATTCAAATTTGGAAAAGCGCATTCATCTACATCTGAAAAATGAGAATAAAATACAAAACATTCATTATTTCAACTACAAATCATTTACTATTGAAAACATGGAATCAATGGATGGATGTGTGTGCAATCGTAGATGGGAACTGTTGAGGAATCTCATGCTAAGACGAAACAACCATTCAATTCTTCCAAGTTTTCAATGATAGTTTAATATTGATTGTTTACTGGCCTCAATGAAAACCTAACAATCTCCACAACTCTATATTGATATTTATTAATTTTGGTGAGTTAATCAGTGTTAGGTAGATAAAAATAGAATAGAAGGAAATCAATTGCATTAAAATGTGATTATTTTATAATCAATTTGTTATTTTCCACTTGAAAGTTTTGATGTTAAGTCATTTTATCATATCTGGTAATCAGTCTAAATCTGAGTAAATCGACAAGTCCCATATATTATTCAACTACTATAATGTTTCAGTAACATTAAACAAGAAAAACTAAAGTAGACAATGAACACTTAACGTTAGCGTTTTTTTAGCCAGTTAGTTTTCTACGGGATGGGGCCGCTAACACCATGCCTAACTTTCCTCCTTTACTCGGGCTTGGGACCGGCAGTAACTCTAGAAAAGCTACATGCTGAGAATCAGATGCAGATGTAAAGGCGATGATTGGCAAAGCAAGGGCCGTATTCCTACATCTGAAGAACATATGGAACTCAAAACAACTGTCTGTCAACCAATATCAAAGTCACAATCTTCAATACGAACGTCAACATAATCCGTTCTACTGTACAGAACTGAAACTTGGAGAACTTCTACAACCATCATTAGGATGGTACAAGTATTTATAAATAGTTGTCTACGCAAGATACTCAACATTCGTTGACCAGATACTATCAGCAACAGTCTTCTCTGGGAGAGAACAAACCAGCTTTCAGATGAAGATGAAATTCGGAAAAGATGATGGAAATGGAAAGGACATACATTATGCAAATCATCATACTGCATCACGAGGCAAGTGCTAACTTGGAATCCTCAAAGGAAGCATAAAAGAGAAAGACCAAAGTACGTATTACGTTAGGAAGCAGATTTAAAAAGAATAAATAACAACTGAAAAGAGCTGGAAAGGAGTGCCCAGGACGGTGTTGGATGGAGTATGCTGGTGGGCGGCCCATACTTTTCCACGAGGAGTAACAGGCGTAAGTAAGTAAGAACACTTAACGCCCAGATTATATTATACTGTTTATAACTATGGTTTGTAAGAAAAAAATTAGATCAAATGATGTTAAATATGACATTTACCTTTACAATAATCTCGTCTTCTTTGTAATCTAATACTTGTTCCAGTGATTCTAGCTTGATTCAATTCAAAACCAGATGGACAAACATCTGGACCAATAGGTTTTTTTATGATACTTTCAGCGTAAAACTCAACTTGTCCAGTTTGTAAATTTACTTTATTTTCTATTCCATTGATATGAAGTTCTTGAGTTAAATAAGTTTGTCTTCTTTCTGGACCAATTTGGATTGTAGAAATCCATGAATAAGGTTCCATTTGTGATTTTTCTCTCTCTAAATTATAAACTGTGAATGCTCTGGACGAATGGCTATGAAGACTACCTAATGAGAAAGAATAATAAGGAAATGAGAATATAATCTTTTAGAACAATATCTAAAGAGGGATTGTCAATTACGAATATGTGTTATCACATATTTTCTAGTTGTTTTTGCTAAATCAAACCCAAATTATTTATCAGAAGGGGGTTTTGTTGAAATCTTAGTAATTTTTTAATTTCAACTCATGAGTTAATTAAAGCTAGACCACTATTGAAAACATGGAAGCACTGGACGGCCGTTTCATCCTCGTACGGGACTCCCATGGATTGGTTGAAGTTAGACATCAATATCGTTGGATGCCAGCTGGCTCAGTGACCTAGAAGTTAAGCGTTCGTGCTTGAGACCGATAGGGTTCGAATCTCGCTGGGCGGGTTCGTGGATGCACACTGCTGACGAGTCCCGCAGTGGGAGGGAACGGACGTCCAGTGCTTATGAGTGTTTAAAGATTGAAAAAATTAACAACATCGGCCATTAATAACACGGCCTGAAATGTGTCTAGATAGAAGATACATAATTATGAGTCAGTCAGCTACAAAGTAGGGCCAGGCACATATATGCATCGGTCCAAGTTGGCATACCGCATAAGCACAACAAGACGAACACCGGATTCATAGTAGTAGTTAATTCAGTGGTGGTAATACATAAAAGAATGATTGAATATAAGGATATAGTACAGGAAGAAAGATTTAGTACATAGAAAGATATGAAGCGATTTTAATTTCATAGTTTAAGGGAAGACAGAGAGTGTATACACCGACGCCACTGTGATCCATTCTGACCCATATCACACACAGTCTCCAACAATTGGTTACGATAGTCACGTGGATCCCAATTAAGTAGTCTGCATCTGCCGACATGGCCCATTCCAGAAGTTAGTGACTTCAAGCACTGGTGCCACGTTTTCGTTTGGCCGCCCCCCTAACTTTCTTCCAACAGTCTCCAATACAAGTCAGCATTGTGCGTCTTGGTAATCGGTGTTCAGGTATACGCAACACGTGGCCCAACCATCTCAATCGATGAAGATTCAGAACCTCAACAACTGATTTACCATCATTCTCTAATACCCTGCGTTTAACCTGAGTGAATCTTAGACGCATTGAAATAATTTAATAATAATTATCGTAAGTAGTTCGTTAGTTTTTATGCAAAACAAAGTTACTTACCTTTTTGAGGACTTAATTGTACCAAGTTTTCATGAAAATCATGTAATTCAACTTCAGGACTTGAAGTTGTTTTAGAATCAATTAAAGACAATGTACAAGATCCAGATAAATAAATATCCGTTGTCAAATAGACAACAGATTCACTTGAAGATGACATAATTGAATCATTTGATCTTAATAAACGTTGGCTCATTTGTATTGTATTGCCATCAGCAAATTGACCAACTGATTCCCATGTGATTCCGTTTAATGCACCCATAATTGTATGACCATTAGATGCACCAGATACCTATACATTTCAAAGAAAATGTACAGAATAAATGTTCAGATACTTTACTTAACTACTATTCTGTATTGAAAGATTTTGATATGTGATTATACAATATTTTAACAACAAATCGTTGTTCTTCAATCTATTAGACTTTTGAATACATATTCCTGGTATAAACCAAAACCCAGAGGGTTTATAAAATCTGATCATATCTACTACACAAACGATAGTAGATGTTACTGGCATACGTCATTACAAAATAACTATAAAAAGCAACTAGAAACTTAGATCCCCACAATAAGGGGTGGAGTTATAAAAGGTCAACCGTTAAGACACACACCTTGCCTTATCCCACGGATATCCGTCTCCGGCGGTAAGGTCTCAACAAGTACGGAGCGAACACGAAAACTACCCATAAAAAGGTCATATGTGACCAACCTCAGTCCCGTTGTTGGTATTCATGACAGAATTTTGATCAGTCCTTGTTGACTTATATCAGTGTTGTGTTTTCCGCTCCTAGACACAAGTCATATATTTAGAAATATTAGAAAAAAAATTTCCATACCAAGATCATTTAGTCAAGATATACTTACGATGGAAAACACCGATCAAAATTTTGTCCTGGATACAAACCATTACTAAAATCAAGAAATATTAACATAATTGACAAATTTATGAATCTTTCTAATCGAACGCAATGACTCACCTCTTTTGCTGCATACCAAATGCCAGGAAGATAAATTTCAGTTAAAGCTTGTAAACATTGACTACGTTCTATTGGTACATTAGTTAAATGGAATTCGTAATTAGTAGAACGATTTGAAGTAGACCAATTAGCATTAAGATGAATTGTTCCAATGTCCTGATTATTCAATCGGCCTCGAATAGTTCCAGTTAACAGTCCTTTGTTAACACTATGTAGAGTATCTTTTAAATTTCAAGATTTCAGACAGTAAAAAAAATTATGTTAGATTAACAAAAATACTGCTAGTTACGGAAAAACGAACAGTGAATATCATTAAATGATAAAATGAAATTCAGATGGTAGGCTCAAAGTGACATATATTCGTCTTTTGGCGATGTATACTGTAGGCAGGGCTACCAAGTGCCCCGGTACGGCCGAGAGTGAAGAGAGTCCGCTCCCCCTCTCGAAATGCTCTCATATGGTCAAGTGTATATAGCTTCTGCCAGGAAAGTCCTACTCACTGCCTTCTCGTGGTGGGCGTGTTGTTTACGAAATTGAGCGGATGTCCGGCGCTTTAACCGGGTTGGTGGACACAGAGAGTCCACCTAGGGGAGTTGGAAAACCCTGATTCCAAACTGATGGTGTACATGGGCTTTAGGATTCTGAGGGAACAAATGGCGTATGAACCAATCGTTGGTCACCGGCTACCATGGGACTGCATCTCCTTACGTTGCTCCACTGCTTTTTGGATTACACCTTCGGGTCGAAGGCTCCGGGTGTGGCACCCTATGAAAACCAATTGCTTCGGTTTGAGCACCCGGGCAGTATCACGGCCCTCACATATATCAAATGAGATTTGTGTGGCGCATATGTATTTGGTGCCTCCTTGTACCAATATCTATGTGTTAAAATAAATAAATAAACTGTGGGCAGAACTCCTTAATTACGGAGTTTACATTATTGTTCTTGTTAGGATATGCAGAAAAATATACCAATAATTATCATGTTAAGTCTAATGTTGTCCTTGGACGTTAAATGAACATTCCCTATTGGTCGATATTTGTTCACCTGTTAAATATTGTACAAAATGTTATTTTCTATTTTATGGTACGATGTGGTCTGCTTGATTGGTATATAAACAGAGTATGTCTGAAATACAGTGATTCATAACTCAGAGGCTGAGACTTGTGTTCTGGACTCAACTGGCTGGGCTAGAGAGGGAAGCAGGACCAATCGAGACTATAGGTCGTTTGTGCGTGTTTTACGTGTCATTGATCCGATCGATAATATATACGCTGCTCATCTAATCTGCAGTCACACATTACAACAGTTCTAGACTTCAAAATCATCACTTACCTTCATTTAAAGTGTAGAGTGTATTCGTTTGCAGAACTTCCAACTCCTAACTCAATGATTAAAAGCAGAGTACTTAAACTACTGCTATATATTGGTTCATAGCTTGTTTCAGTAAAATTTGATTATGTTTTATATACCTAAATATATGATTCTATTGTACAATAAAAGTACTCACAAAGTTGCCAAATATAGAATGATTATATTTTCACCCTCTATAATGACAATATATAAGCATTCACTGTTTAAGTAGTGAATAACTACTACTATAATTTATGTTTGACCTTTGAGCGACACTAAAGTGGCCTTGATAGTGTCTACCCAATTACTAGGGCTAAATGAAAGTTATAAACCTGTGTAAACAATAAGGATTATGATTTATAGTTGATGGTTGAAGTTAAGAATTAAATTAAGAGTTTTCATCACGAATCGACATCAGCTAAAATACGAAAATGGCTATTTAGCCAAATGTATGAATGAATTTCGCGCCAAAATCTAAGACTTGTTTTCCTAAATCTGATTGGTTCATCCGTAAATTATAGTCTCTCTGTAAATACATTAAAATAGTCGGTTAACAATGAGTAACATTAATCAATTCATTTGATGATAAACTAAGACAGATTTTTTGGTATAAAACATGTTTCCATCATACAACTAAAATCCTACCTTGACATTTATCTAGTTTATATTCAAGTGTACAATCTTGAATTTCTTCAGCTGGACCTGGACATCCATGGGTTGACTCATTTTCAGGAGATAAAAGTGTACATGTTCGTTCACGACGTTTTATTCCACTTTTTTCTGAAGTTTGACCAACTAATGAGCAGTCAGGTTCACATTCTGACCAAGAAGACCATTCTGACCAAGTTGAAATTAGTCCAGGTTCATTGTTTGGACAAAATTCTGAACTACCACGTTTTTGTGTTTCACATGTTCTTATTTCTTTCGCTGATCCTCGGCATAGACGTCCACCAAACTGAGGTTGTGGTTGAGTACATTCACGTTCTCTAGTCTGCAGTCCAACACCACAAGTACGTGAACAGGCTGACCATGATGACCAGTTCGACCAATCACCATGAACTAAAGAGGAAAGTATTGTTTTTTTTCAGAAATCTTTAACAACTAATAATTAAATATATTCACAAATAACCAAAAGAATTATTCAGTAAAATATCTTTGCATAGACGAAAAATTCTGTTAAGGAGACATTGGGAACCAAACATGTGAATGTTTCTGTTTTATTGAGTTTTAGATATGAATAAAATCAAACTCTTTAGAACATACTTGGACACGGTTCTGACTGACACTCAGAAGTTTCTGTACTTCCTGTTGGCGGACAATCTTCACCTCCATATGCTGGAACCGGACTATCACATATACGAGTACGACGACGTTGACCTCCACCACAGCTATGTGAACAATGAGACCAAGAGCTCCATGTTCCCCATCCTCCATTTATTGGACAAGGGCCACGGTTACAAGCACGTACCTACATTCGGAAAAATTTTGGAACAGCGAGCTTTTGTTAATTATCAAAACTTTTAAAATAAATCATTATATGTTTTGGATTTATTATTTTTAAAGATAATTTAGATGTACATCTCTAAGTTCAATTGCTTTTGCATGACAGGTTACATTGGCTGCACACAGCAAATACTCTTTAAACTCATTTCAGTACATTTCCTGTCATTTCTAATAATGAGAACCCCACATAATCAGTGGCTTGATACAGGAATATCTCACTAACTTTGGTCATGCTGACTCAAAGAACTTGTTATTCAAACTAATCAACATGGTCAAAAGAATGGGATCAAAGGTAAGTCAAATTTCTGTGGCGTTGAAAATTCACCATTCCAAATCTAAATTCGATATGCTAAAACAATACGTACAACCCTATAATCTTTCTATAATCCTAAAACCTCTTCCAGGATTATTTTGTCCCTTGTTTCTTATTTTTGTAGTTCCCTTATTTGTTTTAGCAACCCGTTGTTACTAATTGTTATTCATTTCCCAATATAACTTTTACATTGTTCATTTCTTCTTTATATCTGTTAAGTGAACAGTTTATGTGTCAAATTTATGGTCCGTAAGATTATTTTCATCCTCCTATTCTTCTTTGACTTGTCACTCATTATGTAACCCTCTTTTGATATTTGGAATTTCGAATCACTTTATGATGCAATTTCTTTTTTAATTTCCCTATAGACATATATATTTATCAAACCACTGTAGACGATAATCAACAACTTAAGTAAATGATTTTTGTTGTAACTTGTGGGTTGGTGCCCCTATCAATATATAACGTAATGATACCGCCAATTAGAGTGCAGTGAATTATCGATAGTACCAATGACGCATAAAACCCGTACGAGCAGTCTAGAGTCCTTATCGGTCCTGCTTCCTGCTTAGATCTAGCTGCCTGTTGAGGCCAGAACACCAATCTCAGTCTCTGCAATATGAATCGCTGATTTCAAACATACTGGGTTTATATACCAACCAGATAGACCGCATCGTACCATAAAATAGGAAACAACATCTGTACAAGATTTAGCCAAGTGTGGCTGTGAATGTGGGAGATGGTGTTTGATAGACTGGGTAGAACTCAAGAATGGTAAATCGCATTATGGTAGCCTGTATGTCAAAATAAAGCATATGATAAGAGGGACATGAATATGCAAAGTTTAGTTACTTAACAACTATACAATAAAAAAAATATATGTATAGTATTAGTTCAGAAATAGATTCCAATAATTACCATTCATTATTCTCATCGGGGTATAACAATTTCTTAGAGAAAATTTTCTATACTGAATTCCCTTTATTCAATGACACAATGGGTCAGCTTCACTTATTTACTCCTTTCTCATAGTCCATACAAAACATAAAACTGTTTAAATAATACTAATTACCAATATGGGGTTGTGCAGATTGTTGAGGTTTTGATCGAGATCATGAATCAATCAATGTTGAACTGCTATTGAAAACCTGAGCACTGCTGAGAAGTCCCATACTTGAACAAAACAGCCGTCCAGTGTTTCCAGGTTTTCAATGGTGGTCTAACATTGATCGATTTATGAGCTCAATCATAATACTAACTATTACGATTAAACTTGACACTGATTAATCATTTCATAATAAATAATGTGGTGATTAAATTCTACAGATAATGTTGCAATATGATCACTGGTCTAAGTGATTCAATAATGGTTGTTTTATATTTTGGCATAAGTTGATGGTTGAAAGTAACTTCTCATCATGGAACTAAACTATTTCGGAAATGATGTTTGTAAGGATGGAATGTTTTGGTTTATTCAAGAGTACTTTTAAGAAGAAGAGGAAGACCAAAGAACACATTACACCGGGAAATGGAAATAGACATGAGAAAAATGAATAAGAATTGGATGGAGCTAGAAAAGAAGGCCCAGGATAGAATGGGTTGGAGTATGCTGGTCGACGGCCTATGCTCCATTAGGAGTAACAGGCGTAAGTAAGTAAGTAACTTTTAAGAATTATCAGAGTTATAACGGAGTAACACATACACGTTGATAAATGAAACACTAATAACATTGTTCAAACAAATAACAGAATGGTTACTTCATTGCTTGAGGTTGTTAATAAAACTCCTTTACAAAATATATAGTTATTTAAGAGTAATAATGAATATGTTAAATATTTTGTATACTCAAAAATGGATCAATAATCTTTGATACATCGTTGTTATTTCTATTGAACCTACCATCAAGTCTTGCCCTGGACATGATCTGCCACCATTTGACGGTGTTGGATTATCACATGTTCGTTTACGATTTTGAGTTCCTCCTATTCCACAGGTTGATGAACAATCAGACCAAGGAGACCATGGTGACCAACTACCAGAGACTGGACATGGTGGAAGACCTTCACACATCACATCTTCAACAGCTTCACCAACACATGACTTAATAAAGACAAATAAAATTCAAGGAATACATGATTTTCATGTACTCAAGTACAAATTCATGATTTGACAAGCACTGGAATACGCAATTGTGAACATTAAGAGAAACATTTGTTTAATAAATCTGTTAACTGATTAGATATGACAAATGTGGTTGCAAACTGTTATAACTTCACACAGTCAATCACATCATATTAATGAAATACTCATTTAGTGAGTTCGAATAATTGTTAAGTAATTTGAAGATTATCAAGATAAAACTCCAGCACATTATATAGACAATTACATTGCTATTGAAAGAGAAATAGTATCATAGATCCTACAAATTATGGTATCAGAAGATTGATTAATTCATTCTTGTCATCTACAACAACGTTTCTCCTCATACTTCAGAGATATACTGTAAGTAGGAAACTGTAAAATCCAAGAATTTCATTTTGTTCCCGCAAATTTTTCATTGTTAAAATAATCTTTAAATTACTAGAGGAATATCATCAGAAATAGTGAAAACACATAGGACAACAGACTTTGAACATACATGATAGTAACTGTGTCGTTTGTATCTCCCCTCACCAGTAAAAACTTACAGAGAATCCCGTTTTATTACACTAAACTAATCATTTTGACTCACACAAATTTTTCACGACACACTAGAGATCATCTTTTAAATGAAACTCAAACAGTGATGTTAAGTATTAAGTATTGTCGATCTATAGTCTATAAGTAATATGTTGAAAAAAGCCAAAAGATCATTGATAATGTAAATGACCATTTCCAGAACAGTGATGTATATAATTTCCTATCTAAATATTGATATTACAACTGAAAATTGATTTCTATTCATACCCATTTTCATAGTGGTAAACGAATGAATTGAATTTGGTGAGCTATTTGAAACTAAACTATAGATTGGTCATATTTAGGGAGAAAGCATGCTAGGATTCACGCGTGAGACTGATAGGTCCTGGGTTTGAATGTCGCGAGGAGCGGGGTCGTGGATGCGCACTGCCGAGGAGTCCCATACTAGGACGAAACGGCAATCCAGTGCTTCCAGGTTTTCCATGGTTGTCTAGCTCCAATTGACTCATGAATTCAGCTAGTGAGATTCAATTTTATTTCATTGAAATCAGAAATGACTATAAATTATTCAGTGAATTCATGAACTCCCACTAATTCGTGTAGCGACAAGATATGCAATGAACACCTAACCCTCCTTATTACCTTAACTAATACTAAAGTGAACCAAACTATCTTGCTGTTTCAGTTTATTTTAATTTACTTCCCAGTTTGCATCCGGAACTGATATCAGTCAAGCAAATATTGTAAACTAGAAGTTACTGGACTCTTGTTTCATTCTAGCTCTAGACGTCTCAGTAGTGTTCATCCACAGTCTAACCGGAGATCAACCATGAGACCTTCAGGTATGGCCATGAGAGCATAATCTTTAGACTACTGAATCAACATGAAATGGTTTACGTTTCCAACTTCGTTTTAATATTTAGAATCTCAGTCAAATGATATTATAATAAACTATTTCATATTTTATTCAAACCATCATTAATAAAAGTATAAGGTGATAAATATAATGCTTAAAAAAATTTCCACACTACTTAAATATTACTTGAACAAATCACAAATATTAGAGTAACATATAACCTACCCTTCCACCATTGCTTGGAGGTGGACTATCACAACGTCTTCGTCTTTGAGATAAACCTACACCACATGTGGCTGTACAAGCAGACCAAGGTGTCCAACTACCCCATTCACCATCAGTAGGACAAAATTTTACTAAACATGGACGAATATCAATATTTTCTTCCGTACAATGAGCACCTCCATATTTTGGAGCTGGATTAGTACATGTTCGAGTTCTATATAAAAATATATAAATATTTGGAAATAAATCAGTTATTTAACTTGTAGATTTAAACAAAAAATGCAATGTACCTAATCTGAAATGAATATTCAGAACTATAAATAATAATTCGTTAATTATATTGAATAGCCCTCCTATCGCATACACATGAACAAATCCACGTAAAGACAGTCAATGTGGCAGAAGTCTCTGCATCAGTAGGCCTCAGCATATACAAAAGGAATACCAAGGTTCTTAAATTCAAAACGGAGAACAGCAATCCAATCACTCTTGATGGTGAAACGCTGGAATATGTAGAATCCTTCACATACCTGGGAAGCATCATCGATGAACAAGGAGGATCAGATGCAGACGTAAAGGTGAGGATTGGCAAAGCAAGGACAGCATTCCTATAGTTGAAGAACATATGGAACTCAAAACAACTGTATGTCAACCAATATCAAAGTGAGAATCTTGAATACGAATGTCGAGGCAGTTCTACTGTACGGAGATGAGACTTGGAGAACTACAACAACCATCATCAAGAAGGTGCAAGTATTTATAAATAGTTGTCTACGCAAGATACTCAACATTCATCGGCCAGATACCATCAGTAACAGACTAATGTCGGAGAGAAAAAATTAGCTCCCAGATGAAAAGGAAATTAGGAAAAGATGATGGAAATGGATAGGCCATACATGCGAGAAATCACCAAACTGCATCACGAGGAAGTCCAAAGAACACATTACGTTGGGAAATAGAACCAGATACGTAAAGGATGAATAACAACTGGAAGGAGCTTGAAAGGATTGCTCAGGACAGGGTTGTATGGAGAATGCTGGTGAGCGGCCTATGCTCCTTCACGAGGAGTAACGGGCGTAACTAGAACTAGAATTATATTGGACACAATTTTATCACAAACTAACCATATGTTTACGCTATTAATTTACTTCAAGTGACCATTAGAAATGTATATTTTAGTGTATGCCTGTTAGATTTTCTAAAACTTTTATCTAATAGAATAAGAAACAGAAGGGATCATGAGTTGAAAAATTACAAACTTAGAGAAAACTATGATTCCATAATAACTCACCTTGATTGGGTTCCATGTCCACATGTTTGACTACATTCTGACCATTGAGACCATTCCGACCATCTACCATCTAATTGAACTTGTAAAAAGGCAGGTGGTGAGAAATCTTCACCCAAACTTGAAGAAGCAACGCAATGATATAGACCATCATCATCTGATGAGACTCCAACAATCCTGAAATATTATGGTATCAAATAAATCAATGGTAAACAAAATAACAAAATACTTGACAAAAGACTATCACTTCTTAGAAACTAGTAATGTTACAATCGATCCAATAAATCATAGAGAAAAGTAAGTAAGTCACTGACTTGTTTCTTCGAAAGATTTGTGCACAAAAATTATTAATTGAACACAGTCTCTGTCGTAATCTATTTTTCCAACAGTGTACAATTACAACTTTATGTGAGATGAAACCAAGAATAAAACCCATCAGGTTCCGAATAAGAATCATACAATTACCCAGATCTCTCTGGTTTTCAAACATTCTTCAGTTCATATCGTCCTGTGACGTAAACTTATCCTCAAATAAGCACTGAATTGTTCAATAAAACTATAGATTGAGACAATTAGTGACGACATTTAGATAAGTAAACCATCCAATTTCTTTGAAAATAATCATCAAGTTATAGCAGTAAGGTATACAACAAATACTGGCAAGTGATTGGATGATGCTGCGTACTACATGAAACGTTTTAAATAAATATGATTGAACCCCTATCGAATACATTTCGATCACTAAAGTATTTTTTTCTTATTATCATTTAGTTACCTTAAAGAGCCATTATTAACAAGTGAACGATGTCCACGAAGAATTATTTGTTGTTTATCTTTATACCATGTAATAGTTGGTTTAGGTTGACCTTCTGCAAGACATTCCATAACGACTACACTTCCAATCTGAGCTGTCATATTATTTGGATGATTAACAAGATATGGTTTACCTAAAAGGAAAATAAAGGAAGAAAATTAATAGTCGTTAATTGAATTTCTGAATCTGTTTTCAATGATTCCCAAATTTCTATGCTGAACAAACCACATTTTTAGCGTTTTCGTGCACATAAGTGAATTTAAACTTCACCTCAATTGAACCAAAATTAGCAAAAGAAACTAAATCCCTGCTGCTCAACAACGACACAAACTTCACTAAATACACGAAGCTTCAAATTCAGTCTACAGGAACTCATCAATTTATGCCTAACAACATACTTTCATTTCAACAACAAAATCTACGAACAAACGAAAGGGACACCAATGGGATCACCAATATCAGGATTGATCGCAGAGGCAGTGATGCAAAGACTAGAAGCCGCTATATTACCAGTGATCAAACCAAAAATTTGGATTCGCTATGTAGGCGACACCTTCGTCATCGTCAAAAAGAATGAACTAGAAAACACTTACAACCTGATCAACAACGTCTTCGATGACATCAAGTTCACCATGGAACAGGAGTCAAACAACCAACTAGCATTCTTGGATATATTGATCACTAGAACCGACACAGGAAAACTGGAAACTCAAGTATATAGGAAACCGACCCATACGGATCAAATTCTCAACTACAATAGCAACAACCCCAGAGCTCACAAAATAAACGGCGTACATAGTTTGTTCAAGAGGGCGAGGACACACTGCAGCACACTAGCAGCACGAAGAAATGAAGAGAAATACCTAAAGGATGTATTTCAGAAGAACGGATACTCCATCAACTTAATCAAAAAATACCAACCGCACGCAGCATTAGAACTCAAGTCAAGCACAAAAATCAACAAAAGGATCACCCTACCATATATACAAGGAATATCAGAAACCGCGACGAGACTGCTGAAAACCTTCGGAATAGGTGTGGCACACAAACCAACAAAATCACTACAATCAATCTTATGCAGACCAAAAGATGAAATAACAAAGGAAAACAAATCAAACATCATCTACAAAATAAATTGTGCCAGCTGCGAAAAACACTACATCGGACAAAGCGGACGCCCCCTTCACCTTCGCCTACATGAACATCAATTAGCAGTCAAACGGCATGATATCTCTTCACTTATATCAATACACGTGGACAACTGCGGACACTCATTCGATTGGAAAAATGTGGAAATCTTAGACAGAGGAAACTCCAAAAACACCAGAGAATTTTCAGATGCCTGGCACTCAGGTCAATCAGCAATCAACAAGCATATTGAAATCAATCCAATTTATCAACCAATCAGAAAAATCATGCCCAAACATAAGAACAAAAATCAAAACAATGGGAGACACAACCAAAACAAAGAAGTAAACAACGACAAATTTAAGGTCAATAAGAACCAATCAACGTTGAGGTGCACAGAACAAGCTTTGAGACACATATGGGGAAATTCAAACACTTCACTTCTATCTGAAGTTTGTGCTGATGATGTCGTTCAGAAGAACGATGAAAGCTCCACGACCAAACCATCCAGCTCAGAGAACAAAACTCCACCAAAAACTTCACCCCATCGCACAAGCAGGTGGCTATTAGGACTCAATAGGTAAGTGGATAAAGCGTTAGCGTTTGAATCGAACGGTACTGGGTTCGAGTCCCTGAGTGAACATCAACTCTGAGATGCAGGTACATTCAACTTACGAGTCCCAAATAGGACAAAACGCGCCTCCTGAATTCCACTGCTAGCCTCTATCCATCTTTGCTTATAACAACTGTTTTATATTTACTCAAAAAGTAAATGTTTTACTAATTAAATGAAGTATGAAATAACTTACTTTCTACAACTAAACGAAGTTCACCAAGATCTTCACCAACTGGATTTGCAGCTATACATTGATATGTTCCTGTATCTTTAGCCTAATTCAAAGAGAAAACACCAATTATTTAAAAGTAAATTATCACAACGGATGGAAATATGTTCTAATCAAACCAGCAAGAACTTAATAAAATGTTTACTGGTATAGAAGGACATGAAGATTATTGAATTTATTGTTTTATTATCATGGATTGAGTTTTAAAATGTTGCCTAATAGATGCCAAATCAGTTACATGAAAGTTAAGTGTTTATCGAAAGTTATGACAATCCTGAGTTCTATCCCTGACAAGCAAATGAATGTGTGCCACTGGTTTCCCATACAGAGAACATACATCAGTTCAGTTCTTTATGTTTGTCATTGAAATGTCAGTTAACCTGTTATGTAAAACCACAAACCTGCCAACTTACACTTATGTATATATGAGATGATGGTGGAGATTTGTAGCTCAGGTGGATGATTTTGATGGAGTTTTGTTCCCTAAGCTGGATGGTTTAATCGTGGAGCTTTCATCGTTTTTCTGAACGACATAATCAGCACAAACTTCAGATAGTGTTAACAAATCTCTTTGCATTTATAATAACATTTTGGGGTTAACCACACCATTAAACCTTAAGTACCAATCTAGAGGAACGAACTGATAACATGCTAAAAGTTATCCTACTTATAAAAAAAGTGTTGATGCTTAGTAAGAGTAAAAATTTATTTTCAACTTGTGAAATACTTTCTACAAGTTTCATTTATTGCTCTGTGGCTAGTAGTCAGGTTTTTCACTAGTTCACATTACGGAATGAAGACATGTGTAACACTGAACGACTTCCGAGGACTACGACGGAGCCTTAAGAGGCCATAATGGAGCAGAAGAGTTTCCATTCAGTCAGAACGTGATGGAGCTTTCTAGAATATATAACGTGAATGAATTATAATGATGTGATAACAAACGCTAATATCTATAAATACACATGATTATCTGTACATTTTGATTCTTAATCAACAAACACTTCTCCACCAATCTGTCTTCCGATTTTGTGACTGTAGAGTTCTATACGTTCGAGTGCCGTAGTTGTTAACCGTATCCTGCGTTAATCAAGTAGCTAATATAGCACACTTCTTTTAAAATGTAAAACATACTGCTTCCTTAAAGAATTGAACCTAGAACCATCATATTTACCAGCGAACAATAGATCTTTAGATTATCAAGTCGAAATTAGATGGTTTACGTTTCTAACTTCAATAGTTGAGATCATGAGTCAATTGAAGCTAGATTACCATGGAATACCTGGAAGCATTGGACGGCTGTTTCGTCCTATTTTGAAACTCCTCAGCAGTGTGCATTTACGACCTCAGTCTCACGCGCGAGCGCTTAACCACTAGACCACTGACCATTGACTCATGATCTCAACCATTGAAATTACTATAATATCCACAAAACCCCTCTGAAAATGTAATAGAACTTAGGTATTTTCTATTGGATACAAAATGTATTACTTACTTTTGCCATTTTTATAACAAGACTTGAACCTCTATCTAGAATACGAAAACGACTTGAATTGGAAATTATATTTCCATCTTTTAACCATATAACTGAATCAGCATCACCGCTAACTTCACAACGAAGACGTGTTGTATCACTTTCTCTAGGCGGTTCATCGGACTGATATACATGCACTTTAGGACGAGCTATATCAAATAAAAGTACATATATGTAAATATATATTATGTACATTCAATATTAAAATTTCTAGAAAATATTTATAAATGAAGTAAACCTATCAAACTATATAATACAATGCAGTTGCATTTCTATATCCCCTTTTATTTGAAGTTTTCATTTGACCTATTAACTGTTGTTATATGTTATTACTAGTTAATTATGTACTGTTTGTTCCCCCCCTCTACTACTCATGGTTTTGTTTTGCTTTAATATATGATTTCGAATCCCGCGAGGCGGGGTCGTCGATGCGCACTTCTGAGGTGTCTCACAATAGGACGAAACGGCCATCTAGTGCTTCCAGGTTTTCTATGGTTGTCTAGCTTCAACTGACTCATGATCTTAGCTGTTTAAATTACTACAATCTCCACAAAACCCTTTCTGATTTCTTATTTGTTGTACGAAGTGATTTGGTATTTTAAATATATTACTGTATTCATTTCAAATGATAATTGAATTGGGTACAATGGAGAATTAGGCAGTTACTAGTTATTGTCTTCTGATTGGCTTCTTGGTTAAAAGGGGTTCGTGAACCGATAAGCAGTGAGATTTATAAGTCAGTATGAAAATTCGTGAAATATGTCATCAGTTCAACTGACGTGATATCGATTAGAATCTATGGCCATAGTAAAATGAACGTTTCACAACAACAAAAAAACACGCTTCCTACTGCCCCTACTTAGAATTAGATATTTAGGGTGAATGTTATGAGTTAAATGTTAGAGTTTTCATGACTGACTTGTATCAGCTATTGGGCAAAAGTGTTTTATAGCATTATGGACGAATGAAGTTTGAGCAAATATACAATAGGCACTATCTGCTAGTATCACCTGGTCAAGCCTTGTTTGAGGATTAAGGGTTTGATGTTAGGATTTAGGGATATTGTCAGTTTACCTGTTTTTTTACATATTTAACAGAAAGATTTAAGCATTTGATGCGATCAATGTCATTATTTTTAGCGTACGGTGGCTAAAGCAATTCTTTGTTATCATTTTCAATGTTCTAAACACTAATGGAACATATTTCTACTGTTTGCTACACGTGGTACAAAATTTCATGTTCTCAACTTTAAAATGACTTATCACAATGATATGCTTTCACTTTAAAACTTACTTTTGACTTTCAATTCAAAATCGTACTCAACATTTCCAGCATCATTCTTTGCTACACATGTATATCGACCAGCTTGGTCAGTTCTTAATGGGCCAAGTACCAGTGAACCAACTCCATTTTTACTTGGATTACCTACAAGAAAATAGAAATAGAAAGAATTATAAATAAGATAGAATTAATATACTTGGGAAATTTGATGTATAAGATAATGTTATGGGTTTGAAAAATATATATTGAATGATCAGTATCGGAATTTATGAAGTTTTAGTATTTTCACAGTTGAATTAACAAGTCTATTTAAGATAGACTACCATTGAAAACCTGAAATCACTGGAAAGTCGTTTCATCATAGTATGAGATTTCCCAACAGTGAGTATTCATTGTCCCACATGTGGGACTTGAACTCAGGACGTTCGCTCTCTCTTGCGAACGCTTAACCTCTACTCCACTGAGCCGAGATCCAACGGTGTTAATATCTAACTTCAATCGATCCATGATCATCTATTGTCTGAGGTGGAAAACTGTCGCACGTCTGATATGGATTGGACTCCACTGATCACGGCTTCTCACAAGAACTCCAGGAGTTACATCTTGAATCTAGTTATTATCAATGCTTCCAGGTTTTCAATTGTGGGGATCGACTTGTGAATTCAACTGTTAAAATATATTGAATTGTCAGTTGCAGTTCAATCATGTTTGCTTCTTAACACAACTGTCTGTACTGATAATAGTTCAAAGATTAGATATTCATCTTCATCATCTCGCGTTCACGCACGAGACCGATAGATCCTAGGTCCGAATCTCGCAAGACGTGATCGTTTTTTTGGGGAGTCCCATGTTAGGACGAAACGGCCGTTCAGTGATTCCAGGTTTTCCATGATGGTCTAGCTTTATTGAACTCATGCCGTTAACTATTAATATTAGTTCACTTGTTACCACCTGAATTCAGATGTAAATAAGTCATCAAGCGTAAAATTAGCCGTCTTTTAGTTAAACTTATGTCTTTCTGTATAACATCTTGTTAGTCAACATGGAAACTACTGGATAGGTAACCTGTTTTTACACGTTTTTTTAATGAAATATATTCTTTAATAAGATTATACGTACTTGGAATAATATTTCCATTATGCATCCAACGAATTTCTGGTTTGGGATGTCCATTAGCAATACAACGAAATTGTATCCATCTTGCTTCATAAGCTTCAGTGGTTTGATTAGGTGTTCTTTCAAATTCCGGTTTAGCTTTAAAAAGAAAAATCATTCAATAAAATTCATTGATTAAAAAAATTTTTTTTACAAAGATGACTGTTATTGATTATTGATTGGTTATTGATTATTATCACTAATAAAGGTTCAATTTCACTAAAATCAAATTAGAGTCACAAGATTATGTAAACGTATTTTAGTGAAAGGATTGTTATGAACTATTCTCTTTTCTTTAAGATTTAAGTAGTATATTTTATCTAACATACTTATTGGGTTCGGATCGCTTATGTAATTCCAGTTTATATAAGGTATTCACAAAACAGGACAATATGATACTGTAGTGTGTAGTGGCTGTGTTTCATTAACCAATCATCCTCGTAACCGTTATTGTATAAACCTCAACGGTGTTTAAAATTAGAAGGTGAAGAGATGCAGAAACTATAGTTTATTAGCAGATAGCTCAGATCACGAAGCGGAGAGGTGAATGAGTGTGTCAGTGAGTCGAGTGAATAGGATTAAAATGTACATGTATATACATAGGAAAATGAATGAATCATCGAATCAATTAAGCGACTAATAGTAAAGCTAGCAGAATGAATTTATGAGTGTAGGGAGTAAGCAATGCTCAAGCATACATAATCATACATTCACAACAATAATAAAGGTACAATGATATAAATACGGATGACTCTGTCCGTCAAATAACTTAACAAAAGATCTTAACCGAATTAAATGTGAATAAACTCAATTGCATGTGAGCTGCTATAAGTGAACGAGAACAGAAGTGGTAACAACTAAATGTATTACAGCACAAAATTACAGAATCTTTTAGTAAAATCTAAGAACCATACACTAAATAGTTCATTTGCAAAATGTCAATCCACTGTATCAAACTTGAGTGATTTTTCTTTAACACACCCATCACTCTCTGCTCTTATTCTCTTCTCTTCATTTTTTTAAGCTTCTACCGCCAGGTATTTCACTTTCCGCATTAGTAGTACATACCACAATACAATTTAGGTTGAAAATGATAGATGGCTACGTCTAGATTAACTGCATAGATCTTTTTTTTCAATAATCTCTGATCATTCATTTCCATACAGTATGAATGATATGATATGAAGTCTTCCTTATTGTACTTGGATTGTTAAAGTTGGGACTAAAACACTAATCTTTTTGTCCACAAATATTATACTGATCTTCAAAATATCTGTACGTATCGTATTACACACCAAGAGTATCTTCCTGATGAATAAACACTGACTTTTCCCTACTACATGAACCTTCTTAAGTGTTCGTAGGATCATTTATGACAAAACTTGACAGATAATGATCCATGACTGATTTATTACATCAGTTTGACTTTACTTTTAAAAGATTTTTGACTGTCTTGTTTCGCTTATTATTAGATGATCAGAAGTTGCCGTTTATGATTATGGTTGCTTACCAAAATGCAAAATCATTATATAGGAACGACTCTAGAATACATTAAGACAGTAGTAATCCATGAAACAATGAGATACCCAGTGAGTTTGTCCCTTAAAGACTCTCAGCGATTTTTTTGAAAAGATGAATAGAAGATAGGAGAAGTGTATTGTTACAAATAGGAGTAGGCGTACTCTCAAGTATATAAGTCTAATATACCATACATTTTCTAAAATAACTTCACCGTTTATCAACATAGGTTAATTCAACATAACATTGACTGTTAACTTCATCAAACTGATGAATAATAGTTACGGTTTCCAAGATCTGATCCATGACATTTTATGATCATTTAAATACTTATTATTAACATCACACTAATAAAAACTTCTTACTGAAAATTGTCAGAAAAGTAGAATCCATAGCCATTTCTTGTCCAGGAGAACGAGCAACACACGAGTATGTTCCACCATCTGACGGCTAATTTTTTAAAAATAAATATTAAAATAACATTTGAATTACTTGAACATTAATAGTGTAATTAAATATATATAGACTTATCACCATGGAGATTTAAGATCATTAAATAAAGATCTTGAAAAAGTAATGAGTGAATTTAATTCATTAAATAAGTAAGATTAGTTCAGCGAAGAGTTCTCCCCTTATCGGTGAATTCATTTTCAAAGCTGTACAATCTCAATTATACATATATTTATTTTTACGGGATGATAATAATACTGATAATAAACTTCTGTTAGACATGGTGACTATGAGGTTAAATAAACAAAGGTACTTTATCCAAAAGAATATTATCTGGCGTGGCTAAAAAGAGGAGATAATGACTCAATAAGAAGTTCAATAAACGAAAACCTTACGAACACAGGTCACTCAATCAAGACAGACTCTGTGTTCAAAGTCATCTATAAGGTAAGTGGAAGTCTTTCAAAGACAGTTAGATTATATCTTCTTTGCATTGCCGAAGCATTAGCTATACATCTGGAAAAACCAGAATTGTGTGTGCAAAAGAGATTGGTACAATCACTTCTTCTACCATGATTTTAATGTCTTAGAATTTTTTTTCATACTCTTCCTCCTTTATAGCCATTTGCTTCCCTTTCCATCTACTCCCTAAATATTCTACCCCCCCCCCAACTGCTTTATTTCTGTTTCTATGATCGTCACGATCACATTTCATCTCAATTTCAACATTTTATCTTATCATGCTGAGCCATCCTTTCCCAATGATAATTTCCCTATCTATCATTTGAGAAGTACTTAAGCCATTAACAATCAAACGATAATTAAACTTTCCTTGTTTAAAAAAAATTTTTTAATACCTTTGTTTATTTAACCTCATTATCACCATGTCTAACAGAAGTTTATTATCAGTATTATTATCATCCTTCTCTAGGAGAGAACAAACCAGCTTCCAGCTGAACAAGAAATTCGGAATAGACGATGGAAATGGATAGGACATGCATTACTCAAATCATCAAACTACATCACGAGACAAGCCCTGACTTGGAATCATGAATGGAAGCGGAAAAGAGGAAGGCCAAAGAACACATTGCGTCGGATAATAGAAGCAGATATGAAAAGGATGAATAACAACTGGAAGGAGCTTGAAAGGATTGCTCAGGACAGGGTTGTATGGAGAATGCTGGTGAGTGGCCTATGCTCCTTCATGAGGAGTGACAGGCGTAAGTAAGTAATTATTATCATCCTGCAAAATAAGTATATGTAAATTTGTGATTGTACAGCTTTGAAAATGAATTCGCCGATAACAGGGGAACTTTTCACTGAACTAATATTTCTTATTTAATGTCTTAATCAGTGAATTTAATTCATTCACTCCCAACATTACAGAACAAAAGCTCGTTATATGACAATGTTACATGAATACTGCATAAATGAATAGACAAATTTTAAAACATGCGAACGAAAGCCATATCCCTTTAAATTGTTATAAGTGGTAGTGTTATACCATGCCAAGTCATTAATTTTAACGGTTTTATAAACCTTTTCGTGCTAGTATGAACATTTACACACAATTCACATTGAAAATGAAGGATCCTATCTTGAATGTTTTCCGTTTTAAAGTGCTTTATCAGTAGAGACTTCAAATAGTGGAGAAGATTTGTAACGCAGGTGGGTGATTTTGAAAGAGTTTTGTTCTCTGAACTGGACGGTTTGCTTGTGGAGATTTCATCGTTATTCTGAACAACATTATCAACACAAAATTCAGGTAGAAGTATTTCTCCACATGTAGTTCATAGGTTATCCTGTACATCTCGATGTTGATTGATTCTTGTTGACCTTAAACTTGTCATTGTTTACTTCATTGTTTTGGTTGTATCTCCCATTGGTTTGATTTTTGTTCCTATGTTTGTACATAATTTTCCTGATCGGTTGATAAATTGGATCGACTTCAATGCGCTTGTTGATTGCTGATTGACCTGAATGCCAAGCTTTTAAAAATTCTTTAGTGTTTTTCGAATTTCCTCTATCCAAGTTTTCTACATTTCTCCAGTCAAATGAGTGTCGGCAGCTCACTTCAAATAGCTCATGATAATAATGTAGGTTAGTAAAAATAAACTAGTTTCGTTAATTGACATAACTTCCATTTTTATAAAAAAAATTCCTCTGTCCAAATTGAATCACTTCAAATATGTTTTCATTGAAGCCAATCTCGTATAAGCAAAGAACAGACTATACCATATGCAATTCATAACAATATACATTACTTCAAATTAATGAAACTTAGACATTGAGGTTTAGCGCTCACGCACGAGACTGATAGGTCCTGGTTTTGAATCTCACAAGGCGTGATCATGAATGCGCACTGTTTATGAGTCTCACAATAGGATGAAACAGCCGTCCTATGCTTCCAGGTTTTCCATGGTAATCTAGCTTTAATTGACTCATGATTTCAACCATTGAAATTACTATAATATTCACAAAAACTCTTCTGATATTATGTAAATAACTTGAAAAATAATTAGAAGAATGAATAGAAAATAGAAAAGTTCAAGTCTATCTAATGGATTAACAATTTTAGTGTCGGTTACTATGTTCAGCAGTCCATATGCCTTATTCTAGCTTCTGGATAAGCTAATTTATACATTCTTCTTTAGTCACATTTAACCTTCTTAATTATTCACTTCCCAACCCTGACAGCTTTTATATGAGCGTATGTGTGCGTACTCATTTTATCCTACTCATCACATGCCTGTAGCTTATTTTTGTATGATTATAAATATTGATCAACACTTGAGGTGGCTCACACGCCTTCTTCACAGCGTGTCATTTCGCTTCGCTCTCTTCCTTTTGTTTCATCTCCCTGATTGTCTGTTCAAATCATTGAATGTACAAAATATACATATTCAAAATTCATTATCGTATTCGGCTTATTTAATTCTGTTATATTCATGAATGAGGATTAAAACAATAATAATATACGAGAATAATCAGGGTGTATATTTCGACAGCGATCATTCAATAACAATCAAATACTATGATATAACGTGGAGTCAGATCTGGGGCTACTACTAAACAATAACATTCTCCTGTCCTCTGAATGTAAATTGAATTCGCTTATCTCTTGCGTGTAAAACAATATTAGTAATAGATTATCTTAAAAGAATTGAACTAAGCCATCTTGAGAATAGTCAAAGTCATTAATAAAAAGTATATATTTATTACTTACAATCAAGTCATGTATAGTAACTTTTGTTGGTGTTTCAAATCGTACACGATCACCTAGATGACTTGTCATTGGTTGTCCTTTAAATTCCCATATAATTTCAGGTTTTGGACGACCATCAGCTTCACAATTCATTGTAACCGATTTACCTTCATAACCGATTGTGGATATTGGCAATGAGACACGTGGTGGAACTGTAAGAATAAAAATATTGATTTATTTTTACTGCTTTTATTTACAGTTGATATCTACAATAAAGTACTTTCAGTGAATTAAACAATGGGATAACTATTTTTTTGTATTAGATACCAAAGAATATAAGGTTTTAGTATGGATTTGTGGAAATTGTTAATTTTGTTGATTAAGATCATGAATCGATTGATGTTAGACTATCATTGCAAACCTAGAATTAATGGACGACCGTTTCGTCCACCAAACATCAATCCATTTATAATCTCAATCAAAAGCATAATAATCTCCACAATCCCATACTGAAAATTACCATGTACTCAATAGTGACTAGCTTTGTGAGGGAATTCTCGGAGTTCTAGTGAGAAGCAGTGAATAAAAGAGCTAATCCATGTCAGATTGAGACAAGTATCTACCTCAGTACTATGGAAAATGATCACGCAATTTCGTGGACATTAACACTGATGGATGCTGGCTCAATTGTCTAGAAGTTAAAAGTTCACGTGCGAAATCGAAGGTCCTGGGTTCGATTCTCGTGAGCGGGATCGTGAATGCGCACTGCTAAGGAGTTCCATAATAGGACGTAACGGCCGTCCAGTAGTTCCAGGTTTTCAATATTGGTCTAACACTAATCGATTCATGATCTCAATCAAAATGAATAGGAATTTTTTTAAAATCTCATTATTGTGAAAAGTCTTTTAAAATGTCTAAACAATCATTATCTGTTCGAGATAGATTTGAATCTGGATTTCATTGAGGAATCTTGTTAAGATCATAGACAGCTACTTTAACCTAATGTTAACCCACATCGATTATCTCCCTTCTATTGATTTCCCTGCAATGGATAAATATGTCTATAAATTTACCAATGAATTAATATCCTATGCGAATTTTTAGATCAAAAATGTGTACTTTTTTGTATACAGTGTAGTAAAAACTAGTTGATTTCATACGTTTCACTACCTGTTCAAAGGTATTTAGGAGAGACTATAATTTATGGACGAGCCAATGAGATGCATTTGGAAATTTTAAGGTCACGGCGCCAATTTCAGTACCTGATGCTCAGGTGAGATCGATTCACAATGGATTTTAGAGAAAACATAATAATTGAGCGGTTACAACAAATGGGACTTCTAAGAAGTTCCTTTATTTGTGGCTGTGGTAATCAAACGTCTTGTGGACCTTGTGCAGACTACCGTGATGATGTTATCTTCCGATGTCATATGTATTGGAGGAAGAAGTTTGCTAGAATAGAATTTTTTCGCTCGATCCAGATTGAGACTATGGTAAATTATAACAGTTGTTGTGAAATGGATGGTAAAAGTACCAGTAACACTGGCTGCAGCTGGGTACTACAATATATACGGATGATTGGAGAGGATACATATGCCTGCATAGACTTGGTTATGTGCATCGTGTTGTTATTTACCAGCGGAATTTTGTGGACTCAACAACCGGAGTGCACACAAACGATATTGAAGCAATGTCTCGAGGCTGAAAGAGTTTTTGCCACCTTATCATGACTCCAGAGGTCGAATATTATGGAGCCATATACGTGATTTCCTCTACTGCATGTATTACGATTTTAGAACCTCTGAACCATTTTCTAACCTTGACAAGTTTTTGAACCATGTAAAAGGAGTGTCTCCACTTTAATTCTTTGGTTTTGTATAATATACCTTTATTGTACGCTATTTTCTGACTGGTCAATGATTGTCAAGGTCACTTAAGATTCGTTCAAAGGCCGTCCATAAATTATATTCCTGCCAAAATCTGCGTAGATTTTGACAAGCTGTGTATGTTCGTATATACGTATTACATAAGATAATGACTTAGAGATTTATTGCCCTGGTACGGCCGAGAGTGGGGAGAGTCAACTCTCCTTCCCGAAATTCTCTCACATGGCCACGTGCATATAACCACTGTCAGGGAAGTCCTACTTACTACCTTCTCGTAGCCGGGATGTTGATCATGAAATTGAGGAGACGAAAAGCGAATATCCGGTGCTTTAACCGAGATGGTGGACACGGAGAGTCCTATTGTTGTCACCGGCTACCATAGGACTGCATCTCCCTATGGATCAGACCTTTATGTCGAAGGCCCCAGGTGTGGCCTCCCAAGAAAAACACCTTCTTTGAGTTGTGCACCCGGGCAGTATCCTAGCCCTCACACAAATCGAATGATTTATGTGGCGCATGTCTATTTGGTTCATCCTTGTACCAATGTTTATATATTTAAATAAATAAGTAAAAATTATACATACATACATGTCACAAGACTATTAATAAAACCTTACATGGATTAACATATGTTTACATATAATATGATAATAATTCCATATCTATGTTATGCTAAAAGTGTATTTTCTTAGCCAGGAAACCTTGCTTACCTTGAACAAATACACGAAAAGTAATACGATCTTCACCAGCTGCATTCTTAGCGATACATGTAAGTTCTCCTTCATCTTCAGGCCTTAATTTTAAAAAATAAAGTAAGTGCATTTACGCTAAGATTAACCAGATCACAGAAATTCTAAATAAATATATGAAGTCTATGTTTCTATAAAACTCACCTATTATTATTAACATCAGAATGGGTATTTCTGGAGATTATAGTAATTTTAATAGTTGAATTCATCAGCCGACCTAAGGTAGACCATCATTGAAAACCTGAAAGCACTGGACAACCATTTCGTCCTAATATGGGACGCCTTAGCAGTGCTCATCCACAATCCCACAGGAAAGACTCAAACCCAGAACTTTCGGTCTAGCGAGAAGCCATGACCAGTGGAGTACAATCCGCATCGGTTGGAAACAGTTATAAACCCCATACGATAGATGAAGAGTCGCACAAGATCATGGATCGATTGAAGTTAGACATTAACACCATTGTACCTCGGCTCAGTGGTATAGAGTTCAAGCGTTCGCGTGTGAGACCGAAGGTCCTAGGTTTGAGTCCCACTTGCGGGACCGTGAATGCGTACTGCAGAGATTCGTCATAAAACTTATTTTCAACATTTATAGTTTGAAAATTCCAGATAAACTTTAAGTATGATTTCCGTAAAGAAATGATTTTACTGGAGAACCACTGATGACTGTTGTATCATGACTTGAGGTGACTTAAAATTATGCATACACAACACCATAGGAGATAGATTTTAAGAGTTTTACTTATGATATGCATCTTCACACTACACTTCAACTAACGAAAATTGCTTTTCCGCCGACTAAGTGATGACTGAAGTATGAATAAATCATCACCAATAAACGAAATTTAATAGAAGCATATTATTCTATCTCTTTAGTGCAAAGAAACAGGTTTCATATACTGACTAAGTAAAGTCAAATACTTAGTTTTGGGAGATTTCAATTGTAATAAAAGAATTCAATAATGCATTTGAGTAGTTTTAACCTAACAAAATACGACTCTTTGATTGTAAGAAGCTTATAGCATGTGAATGAATGGATTTTAGTAATTTTAAGCAGTTTCTACCTACCCCTTTTAACTACTACTATTATATATCATATAAAACTCTCTTATTTAAAACCACGATATTCTGAACTATCATGAATCATTGCCCAGTTGTATTTTACATTTTCTTTCTTCACTTCTCTTTTGTGGCATAATTCCGTAGAGTTCACTTTATAGTTAATCCATTGGCTAGTAGTCTGGGATTCATGTAATCAGCTAAGCGAATTAGTTGATTCACTAAATAAATTGAATTATTTACATTTTCATTGGACTTCAATATTTAGAATACAAATGTAGTAAACATTATCTTCACAATAACTTACTTCAGTGAATTAAAGATAAACAGACCAGATTCTGTAGTAGTGTAATAGCTTTTAGTTCGACTAAATGTTACACCATCACGTTCCCATGTTAAAGTAGGCGTTGGAGAACCACCTTCAACTTCACAATTCAATCGTAACACAGAATTCAACCGACCAGACACTTCTAAATTAGCTGGTTTAACCAATGTTGGTGGAACTAAATGGAAAAGAAGTGAATTAATAATTGAAGAATAAAATATTCAAGTAATAAGTCATATTTCAATATTTTCAGAAATTTATTCCTCAGTTTAATTTTGTTAGCAAGAATATTTGGTAAAACATTCTCGAGCTTTTCGTAAGCAATGATGGGTGGTGGTTAGCAGTGGAATCCAGGACGTGAGTTTCGTCCTATTTGGGACTCGTCAGCTGGATGAGCCTGCATCTCAGAGTTGATATTCACTCTGGGACTCGAACTCAGTATCATTCGCTTCAAACGCCATCGCATTTCCGCTCAGCTACTGAGTCCTGATAGCCACTTACTTGTGCAATGGGGTGAATTTAAATACACTTGGTATTGTTTGGCTTGTATCTTCCTATTGAGGTTTAAGACTGCAATTGATCAGTCTGTTACTGGAATATGTGCATACTGTGCCTATGCCTCGATACTGCCTTAATAAAACACTGATCAATTGCAGTCTTAAACCTCAATAGGAAGATACAAGCCAAACAATACCAAGTGAAACATTCTCGAGTCCAAAACTTTTAACTTCCATTTTATACTACTTAGAAAATATTAAAGTAGGATTAAGTTTTACCTCTTAATATCCGGAAGTCATTATAATTTGTATGTAGGAAATATAATTATGTCAATCTGTTCAAAAATTAAATGATTTTGTAACAAAAACTGATAATAAACTTACTTAAAACTTCTAAACTGACAACTGCATTCTGGAAACCAGCTTCATTATTTGCTGAGCAACGATAACGACCAGCATGCTCTGAACGTACTTTTTCAAGTAAAAGACCCTGAAACAATAATGAAGAATCAATCAGGGTAAGTTATTGTTTTATTGAAATTGTAATGGCTTTTGAGAATTTTAAAATTTTTTGGAATAGGGTTACTTTTTGGAGATGAAACTGAATTCAATAACTACCTACGAAGATTTAAGAATTATTCATCCATGACTAATACAAATGATGAAGAGTGTCATATGTCTTTGATCCATGCTGTTGATAGAATTCATTCGATTAATTTCCAGTTTAGAGACTGGTTTCAGTCCCTAAGTACTACAGGACATCGGTATCACAGAAAAAAACTTGATGATAATCCACGTATATAAACTCATAAAATGTATCATAATGTAAAATATAACAGGAATAATTTTTTCGAAATGGTAGGAGTGGAGACAAAATAGCGAATTAAGGATTTCATAGTATGAATTCTAAGTATCAATATTTGATTTTTATTAGGTTGTTTCCATGCGGATCACTATAATAATGGTGAATACATCCTTTTCAGGTGTAAGATTCTGGTTGAAGGTACTTTATAAGAAAACGTGGATCGAGGTTTCATGCTGTTTCGCATTTGAAATCTTGAGGAAACTGATCCTTACCAGTGGATGTGACCCCTTGTCACTCAGCTTCAAAACCAGAGACACCACCACTGTTCTATTTGAGTCACAATTGACTTCCTGTAAGACAAAGATAGTTACAATTGATTGGTCACTGAGTAGTGACCAATGTCATGTATGTGAAGTTCATAGCGCTTATCGAATTCCATGGATCAATTTTTCAGAGAATATTTAAAATATTACCTTGACAGCCGAAAAAGATCTGTGTATCAGAATATAAGCCCTTACTTGGAATACATTCTTTTTCAAAAGAATAAACAATACGCTGTTGAACGGTTAGTTAAAAATTTATATAAATATCTTTGAGAAACCTATTAACTGGATGTATCTCCAACACTTAGAAAACCGCTGCTCACCTAAAGTTCCTAATTCTCTTAATATAACAACGTAATCGAATGGATTATTACCAAACTCTCTCTAGCCATTGATAAACCTCTATTGATTTGAAAGGAATTCACTATCTTATCATTAAATAACAGTCAATATTATTTTACTCAATCTTCATTGATGATTAATTCTTGTGAATAAATTTTGTAATCTATAAATGGATAAGTTAAGCATCATTTGGTCGCAGCCCGGATAGCTCAGTGGTAACGTCACTGACTGTGAAACTCGGTAACACGGGATCGAATCCGTCAGGGAGCACCAGTCCCCTCAAGATTACAGGTACACCTTGCTGACGTGTGCCAAGTAGCACGAAACCTAAGTTCAGCGTTTCCTGTTGACTACCTCCAACCACCAATTAATCTCAACATAGTGCACGCAATTTCGACTAGTGGCCACATTGTAACTTGGTCGACAGCATTCGATCTGCACTAAGAATGACTTGACACACATAAGATTGATCACCACCCAGTGATCACCAGTTGTGAAAGATAACTTCATCTGTACTTAAAAACATTATTATTATTATTATTATTATTATTATTATTATGGAGCGTTATAGTCATGTAAATATGACACACTTGTTCCGGAAGTAATCGAAATACACCAGGTTGATCAGTTGTAATTAATTGACCAGACGGTAAAAGCCATTGAATACGTATTGGTTGTGTACCACTTGTTCTACATGGTAATAAAATTTGCTCATTTTCTCTAGCCAAAATTGGTTTCATTGATGTATGTATTGTAGGTCGTTCTTAATAAATAGAAAACAAAAATACATACAAGTTTATTGTAAATGAAATAAAGAATTTCAGAACTGTTCTAATTTTAACCTGTTTCTATAACAATCAAAGATGGATAGTGGTTAGCAGTGGAATCCAAGACACACGTTTCGTTCTATTTTGGACTCGTCAGCCGGATGTACCTGCATCTTCAATTCGAGTCCTGGAGTAAACGTCAACTCTGGGATGCAGATACATGCGGCTAACCAGTCCCGAATAGGAAGAAACGCGCGTCCTGGATTCCACTGCTAACTACTATCCATTTTTGTTTATAAAGCTTGAGACTTCAGGCGATATCGAGGCAGTCAGCACAGAATACATATATTCCAACAAGAGACCGATCAATTGCAGTCCTAAATAACAAAGGGAAAATACAAGTAAAACAACACCAAGTGAATGTTTCTATATTGTTTCATCAAGTTAATATGGAAAGAAGAACAGTTTGAACAATCCATTCTTAATTACTCATTGAAAAAGTATGAGAACATAACAATCTATTTGTGAAATTATGACTGATCTTCACATGTCAAATAACTAATACACCATTCAGACATGTTAGTTAAGAAATTAGTTGATAAATAATATTCATGAGTCAACTGAAACTATACCATCATGGAAAACATGGAAGCACTTAAGACAATAGTGGACGATGGCGCAATTTCGTGGATTGTTTGAAGTTAGACATTAGCACTGGTGAATGCGGGCCCAGTTGTCTAGAGGTTAAGCATTCGCTTGAGAGACGGATAGGTCCTGGGTTCGAATCTCATGAGGCGGGATCGTGAATACACACTGGTTAGGAGTCCCACAATAGGATGAAATGGCCGTCTAGTGCTTTCAGGTTTTCCATGTTGGTCTAACTTCAATTGAATCATGAATTCAACTATTTTTGAAAAAAATTACTATAATATCCACACAAAATCCTTCTCTGATGAACTTTATTTATTCCCATATAAATAATGATCAATGATAATAATAAGTGAATTTACCAATAATCTCAATCATAACTGATTTAGAATCCTCGCTGATTTTATTGATCGCTTTACAGACATAACGGCCACTATCTTCTTTTTTAGCATCTGTGATTGTTAGGAGTCCAGTGCTGCAAGAAAAAAAATTTTTGGGGTTTTAATCAGAAAGAGATCATTATCTAGATGTTTACTTTAAGATTAAAGAATTATCAATGTAAGTTCCACTAAAATACAAAGAAAGAATTAAGAAACTGTTTCGTCCCAGTATAGAATTCTTCGACAATGTTCCTGTGATTCTGGTGGGCGATCTATGCTGCACGTGAGAAAACGCGTTAATAAGTAATAATTAAAGGTCAACGATATTAACTATCATTAATTTAAATCTAAACATAAATCAAAGAAAAAATTGTAAAATTGATAACATTCCTGATTCGAATATAATTTACCTGACATCCACACTTGTTCCAAGTCTAAATAATCCACCTGTTTCTCTAAACCATTCTAAAGATGGCATAGGATGTCCTTCAGCTGAACAATGTACAGTAAATGTAGCACCTTCTCTTTCACGTACTTCAGTTTTATCTAGCCTAACTAATGGGGGCACTAAAATAGATATAAAAATATAATTAGTTAAAATAATAAAATAATACAATGAAATGATTCGGTGTCATAACTGATATGAATAGAGCTTAAGGTGAGACTATAAGTTATGGACGACCTTTGAGCAACGCTACACTGACCTTGAGAGTGTTCACTAGATAAGTAGGACCAAATGAAGGTTATAAACCAGTGTGAGGAAATAGAATTATAATTTACAGTGGATGGTTAAGGTTAGGAATTACATTTAGGTTTTTCATCATGAACTGATATCAGCTATAATGCCAAAACTCTATTTAGCCGAATAAATGGGTGAATTTAGCACCGAAATCCGCAACCTGTAACTTTATACCTGATTGGTTCGTCCATAAATTATAGTCTCGCCGAGTTTAAAATTGTAATATCATTTACAAATACTTTCATTAAGATCAATTAATACAATAATAGAAAACTGGTCAATAGATATAGCGGTGTTAGATCAAGTACTTTAATCACTAAGCTCTTATCAATCTAAATTAGTAAATAAGTGAATTAATGCTGGCAAAATATACCACAATCTAAAATGGAATATCATTGCGGTGTGCATTACTTATATACACATCAGTAGTATATAACAATAATCAGGAATAGAATGCATTCCAATAGAAGATCGAGAACGGAATGCAGCTCTAATGGAAATGCATGAACAATGAAATCTGAGACAATGGTTTGATGTTTGCAACAGAAACAGTCAATTTTGATGTGATGGATTGATATTTTGCAAATTAACTATTTATTATATAGTTCTCAGATTTTATTGAGATGCTCTGTAATTTAGTGTCCAATACATTTGATTGTCCCCACTTGTGTTCTTGTTCACTACAGTCTAAATTAAGTCAGTTCACGATTTCAATGTGGCTTGAAAAAAAGCTGAAAAATGTATAAGAACTTTCATTTAGATATGAACGAATAGTTTTACGCTAGTTGAGCATTGAGTATAAAGAATAACATCAAGGAGGAAAACTATATTTTTGATAAAGACCATGAATCAATCAATATAAGACTAGTATTAAAAACCTGGAAGCACTGAATGGCCGTTTCGTCCCAGCATGGGACTCCTCATTAGTGTGCATCCACGATCCGTATGCGCGATTCAAAACCAAGATTTCCGGTCTCGAGCGCGAACGCTTCACCTCTACATCACTGAGCCGACCAGCATCTAACGGTGTTATTGCCTAACTTCCATCGACCAATGAATGGAAGCGCAACCATCTATCCATAGTCTGAAATAGATACCTGTCTCTACCCGACACGGATTGGACTCCACTAGTCAGTGTTGTAGAGGTGAATCGTTCAAGCGTGAGACCAAAGGTCCTGGTTTCGAATCCGGCGTGCGAAAACGTGGACGCACATACTAGGACGAAGCGGCCGTTCAGTGCTTCTAAGTTTTTAATGCTGGTCTGACACCAGTCAATTCATGATCTCAATCAAGAAATTACCAATCCATATAACCCCATACTGATAGTTTATTATTTAACGCAAAAATCACGCAGTGGCTTAGTAAATACATTATTTGCATATCTTCCACCAATTATCCTTTACACACTTCATGATACTTCCAATTCTGCTGTTACTCCAATGGCTCTATGTTCTCCCTTGTATTCTCTTTAATTCAGTCTTCTTCTGCCAGGCATTCCATTTACGATTGCGGCTACATAACACTTACATCTATCAGCATATGTAACATACAATATTGTCCGCACAATATTTTCCAATGTAGACACTACAATAGCATTGTGTTTATAAGTCTCAAGAAGGTTTCTTTTCTAACTCATCAATGAGAGTGCACGAATTGAAACAACAAAGAATCTGGCAAACTTTAAAAGAAAAAACACCTATGACCTAAAATGTAGCTTCTCCGTTGCCTAAGTATTAATGACTTGAAATTAGTGAAAAAGTAGTCAAAAAAACATTTAAGAAAAAGCATGCCTATTTAAATAAAACCACTCAACGTATAACATGCAACAATCAAATCACACTTGACGGAGAATGTTTGGAAGATGTAAAACCTTTACATATCTGGGCAGCATCATTGGTGAACATTGTGGATCTGATGCAGATGTGAAGGTGCGCATCGGCAAAGCAAGAGAAGCGTATTTACAATTGAGGAACATCTGGAACTCAAAACAACTGTCTGTCAACCAACATCAAATTCAGAATTTTCAATACAAATGTCAAAACAGTTCTACTGTATGGAGCGGAAACTTGGAGAAATACGAAAGCCATCATCCAGAAGATATAAGTGTTTATTAATAGCTGTTCACGCATAATACTTCGGATCCGTTGGCCAGACACAATCAGCAACAACCCATTGTGTGAGAGAACAAACCAGATCCCAGTGGAGGAAGAAATCAGGAAGAAGCGTTGGAAGTGGATAGGAAACACATTGGGGAAGGCACCAAACTGCGTCACAAGTCAATTCCTCACATAGGATCCTCAGAGTAAAATGAGAAGAGGAATACCAAAGAACACATTACATCGGGAAATGGTGACAGACATAAGAAGAGTGAACAACAATTGGATAGAACTGGAAAGGAAGGGCCAGGAGAGAGTGGGTTGAAGAATACTGGTCAGCAGCCTATGCTCCATTGGGAGTAACAGGCGTAATTAAGTAAGTAATTAAGTAATTCAACTTACAAACTATAGAAAATTTCAATATTATCTAAAATTCTACTTACTAATAACTTCTAATTCATAAATTTTTGATATATTCCCAGCTTCATTACGTGCTAGACATTGATATTCACCCAAATCTTTACCAGTTGCTGAAATAATTTTCAATTTTTTTCCATCATCATCAAAAGTATATTTAGCTGGTGCATTATATTGAGATAATGGTGCCCCTTTATAATACCATGTAATTGTAGGTGAAGGTGATCCATAAGCTGGACATTCAAATTCAATTTCAGCACCCAAACGTACAACAAGTTTTTGACGATAACGAACAAAATCTGATGGAAATCTAGGAGCAGCTAAAGAGAATATATAAAAAATTTTATGTTACCATAAAGTTTTACAGAAAAACATTACTAGGATGAGTACAGTAAACTACTTATGTTGAACATTCTTGTGCTTGCTAAGTTGTGACATTTGCCACTAATCAATGCAATCTAGAAGTTAAACATTTGCATTCAAGACCGAAGATCCTGGGTTTGAATCGTGGATGAGCACTTCTCAGCAGTCCCATAATAGGATGAAACAGATGTCCAGTGATCCCAGATTTTCAATGGTGGTCTGACATTGATCGATTCATGATCTCAATCAAAAACTTAACAATCTCCATAACCCCACATTGATAATTTAAAATACCCATAATTGTTCAACGTTGATTTAAATTGAGAAGTGGTACCTAAGTTTGAAAAGTTGTATTAATCAAATAGTAACCCAGATGGTTTGTTATTGGAATCTATGTAAGCGGTAGTAGATGACACTTGCCCGAAATTCAATTTAGTACATTTGTTCCAACAAGATTTCGGATACGAATTACTGACAACTAGCTTGAGATTAACATTCATGGTAGCATACCGATTATCCCTAACTGACTGCCTTTAGAAAACAGTATGCGCGATATTGAGTAATCTAGATTAGCAGGAAAATTACGACTTCAATGGAAAAATTCTTTCCGCCATATGAATAGATGAGTAGGAATGATCAAACAGCCTACTGATATCTGCTTACCGATAACAGATAGTTGGAAACTATGACTGTCTTCACCAGCTCTATTCTTTGCCAAACAACGATATGTCCCAACTTCATCACCTGTTGGACGAACAACTGTTAGACTTTGACCTTGATCTTGTATAACAAAATAATCTCCATCCGGTGACATTAATATTGGTGAACCATCTTTAGTCCAAGTGATCTCTGCTTTTGTTTGATTAATATCATGCAGTAAACAATAGAATGTGATTGGAATGAATTCAGATGTACGATGTTCTTCTGGTGATCCATAACGTTTGATAATAACAGGTGGAACTGTATAAAAAGAAAAAATATATATGAAGTTTATGCAAAGAAAATGTTAGAACTATAAGTTGAATATTTGAAAAGATCATTTCTTAATTTTAGTCCATAACCAGTTGGATCAGATAAGACTATTGGATGGTGGAGATTTGTAGCTTAAGTGAATGGTTTTGATAGTTTTATTCTCTGAGCTGGATGATTTTGTCGTAGGGTTTTCATCGTTCTTCTGAACGACATCATCAGCACAAACTTCATGTAGAAGTGCTGATGTTGATGATGAAAGCTCCACGACCAAACCATCAAGCTCAGAGAACGAAACTCCATCAAGACTATTGCATATTTAAAAGGTTGTATTAGATACTTCCGTGTAAGGTATTTACAACTCATTACACAATATATTTTGAGAATTAAATTTTAAAATAAGAAGCAATGACGGTAATTCTGGTCGTTCATCACATTCTTGCAATCTTCACAGCTTTCAGTGAGACATAAACCGCTTGTAAAGGTCTATATTCTTCAATGAATTGTCAGGATAAACAGCTTTCCTGATAAATTTTTTTTTACCGAATTCCAACAGAAATGTGATGTCGAGTCATCAGCAACTTATTAGCACTTTTATAGGATCCTTAACAGTCTATCACTTTATCTGTTTGTTCTGTTCGCAGACAAGGTGAACTCGTAATCGATTCAAACACAGCATATGCTGAGTACAGGAATAGGAAATAAATTAGTATCGTATATACTGAACCGGACGATATATTTCTCAACTTAAAGTATTCAGATTCAGTCTCATTTTAAGTTTGATCATATTTCAATATCTTTTTTGATATTAATAATTAGAGCAACTTGACGGTCGGTAATAGCTAGAAGAGAGTAAACCCTTTCATCTTTCCTTAAGGCTAGCCTAATTATCGTCTCCAAACACTAAAAATTTTGAATACCTAATGCAGTGTTAAATCTCTTACTTAGATCTATTGAAAGAAAGCCTGACTTTAAAACCAATCTATCCTACATGTCACACAACTATCAATTAAAGAGCATAAAATGAAACGTACTCATAAACAAAATGAACTGTCCAGGACACATTGAAACACACTTACAGCACGAAAAAATGAAGAAAAATACTTGAAAACCATCTTTCAAAAGAATGGTTGCCCGAACAACTTCATCAAGAAATACCAGGCGCACGCATCATCAGAACCAAAGTGAAGTACAGAAATCAACAAAAAGATCACCGTACCATAAATAAAAGGCATATCAGAAACGACAACGAGACTACTAAAAGCCTTCAGAATAGGTGTTGCACACAAACCAACAAAATCCCTACAATCAATCTTATGCAAACCAAAGGATGAAATGACAAAAGAAGACAAACCAAACATCATCTACAAAATAAATTGTGCCAACTGAGAAAAACACTACATCGGACAGAGCGGACACCTTCTTCATTTTTGCCTGCATGAAAATCAATTAGCAGTCACACGCCATGACAGGTCCTCGCTTATATCAATGTACGTGGACAACTGAGGACATATATTCGACTGGAAAAATGTGGAAATTTTGGATAGAGACAATTCCAAAAACGCCAGAGAATTTTTCAAAGCTTGGCATTCAGGTCAATCAGCAATCAAGAAACACGTTGAAATCGATCTAATTTATCAACTAATCAGGAAAAATCAAACCAATCGGAGATACAACCAAAACAATAAAGTAAACAATGACAAGTTTAAGGTTAGCGGGATCCAATCAACATCGAAGTGTACAAAACAAGCTATAAACCACATGTAGAGAAGACTAAAATAAAATATAACAATAAACAATGAAACCTACTTACCAATTACGGTCACATTGAATTTCTTCTCTATTGTACCTCCACCATTACTAGCTGTACATGCATATTCTCCTTGATCAATTGGTTGTATATTTGATATTTGTAATAATTGATCACCGCTTAAAATAGCTAAACTAGATACTTGTGAATGCATATAACGTGGATCCATAAATTGTGGTTGAATTATTTCAATATCTTTTTTAAACCATGCAAATCGTGGTCTTGGTTCACCAGTCGCTTCACAAGCTAATTGTATAGTTTCATTTTGAACAGCCTGTACGTGAATTTTTCTTGTTGGATCAATAAATTTTGGACGAACTAAAATGAGAAAATAAGAAGAAAAAAAAGTATAACAAGAGGAAAAACATTACCGATGACATTTGAGTAACACAATTCCAGTAGCCTAATAGCGTTTAAAGAGATGAGAATGGGATTTCAGACTCAGAGTAATCATTAACACTGAGATGCAAATATGTACAATCGATGATTATTATATGAAATGAAATGTATATCCTGGATTCCAAATAAATGTAATAAACAGTAATTAAAAACGATGAGCACTAGGTAATAAAATTATGAATATGACAATGTTTTTGGATTAACCAACCCTTTGTCGAACTTCTAAATTATATTATCACCCAGTAAATGATTATGAGACATCAATTTGAAACTTTGAATAACAAGTGGTGAAAATTCTACTGATGTGAACTTATTGTATCTTTTTTTATATGGGGAAATTCCTTTAGTACCGTTCTAACATAACAACAACCCTTTGTACCACCCTAAAGATCACTTTATTACTACTAGTCCCTACAGTCACGTATATCTCCCTTATTTTTTAGTTCAAATGAGATTATAAGCATAACATAGGGACAAGTGTGGTTTATATATGTTATTCTTATTCACCTGAGTAATAATGAATAGTTTCTCACACCTTCTACTGTTGTTCACCTCGATCTTATCTCCAAGTTATATTAATAATTTAAAAACGGATCTCAGTTTTTTGTTGTTTTAAAATGGATGTAAAAGCCGTTAGTGTATGTAATGATTATATTATTAATAACAGTAAATTCTAGTGATCATACTATCTTCATTAACTGAGTTGGTTGTGACATGAATTACAACTGCCTACCCACCTCCCACCTTAATTGGTGATGCTATTTGGTGAAGGAGCAAGTTGGAGGAAAGCTAGGAGAGACCAAACCAATACGTGGCATCAGTCTACGAAGTCGATGAAAATTGATCCGATTCATATTAACTATCTTGATTTGAGTTAGTGAGATTATCGTAGCCAGTTGTTAGAGACCTTCAATGACATGGCTATAAAATCGTTCTTAGTGGCTCAGATGCATCCGCACTTTATCTTTCTTTCAATTTTAAGTTTCTAAATTCCACTACTTCATATTTCCCTAAATCTCAATGTTGATACCGAATCTTGTTTATTGCCATTAAAAAAGTGACTACCTCTACAACTTTTGGATCCTTTCTAAACATTTCATCTAGCTATACAAATAGGATGTGGCAACTTGAACTGATGCACAGATGTACCAAGTTGTACGTTGAGTTTGATCTAATAACTTATTCAAACGTCGTTACAGCCAGAAATCTTTGTCAAACATACCATATCTTTATATACTTGGTTGACAGAAAGTTTGCAACCTCTCTAAGAGATTGAATTTATTTGCCATTTTTCGAGATTGTTTTATGTACGAATCTGGATAAACAAACTAAATTTTATTGACAATATACTCAGTTGGTCACGAATTTCCTTCACTTAATTCATTGAAGAACAGATTAGAGAAAATCAAACTGATTTTCGACCTGGACGTGGCTGTATAGACCACATATTCACACTACGTCAGGTTCTAGAACGCAGACACACATTCAGACCTTATGGCAGCATTCGACTCTGTTGATCGTGAGGTTCTATGACAGTGTTTGTCACTGAAAGGAGTACCAAAGAAGTACATTAACCTTGTAAAGGTTCTCTACTCGAACACAACTGGTCGAGTGAGAGCTTATGGCGAACTGTCATCAGAATTGATTACCTCAAGTGGTGTTCGTCAGGGCTGTCCACTCTCTCCATTCTTGTTTAACTTTATCGTAGACATGCTTTTAGAGATAACACTTTCCCTATCTAAATTTCCAAGGGTTGAACTTCTATCGGGAAATCCACTTTTTGACCTAGAATATGCCGATGACATAGTTCTATTTGGTGAAGACGCTGACAAAATGCAGAGTCTTCTGACCACTCTAAGCAACAATGCAAGCATGTTCGGGATGCGATTCTCCCCCTCGAAATGCAAAATGTTGCTTCAGGATTGGGTTGCATTGACACCCGAACTAATGATAGGGAGTGAAGTAGTTGAGTGTGTCGACCGCTTCACTTATCTTGGAAGTCTCATCAGCCCTTGTGGTCTGGTATGTGACGAAATCTCAGCACGGATACAGAAGGCTCGACTAGCTTTTGCCAACGTGGGTCATTTATGGCGTAGGCGAGATATCCGTCTGTCAACCAAAGGACGGGTTTACTGCGCAGCAGTTCGTTCCGTCCTACTTTATGGCAGTGAAACATGGATGATAAGAGTAGAGGATATTCGTAAGTTACTAGTATTTGATCATAGGTGTCTTCGAAACATTGCTCGTATATCCTGGGACCACCGAGTAAGTAACGCTGTTGTTAGGAAACGGGTACTAGGTAAGGATGGCAAATCAATTGATGAAGTAGTGAAGCTTCATCAGTTGAGATGGCTGGGACATGTGTTACGTATGCCCAACTACCGACTGCCTCGACGTACGATGCCCAATGGTATAGGAGTAGGTTGGAAGAAAGCTAGGGACGGCCAGATCAAAACATGGCACAAGTCCATGAGGTCACTGATAAGTGTACTGAGACACGTTGGTAGGTGTAGACTACCTGGTTGGGGACCGCGAGATGATAGCAACTGATGGTTAGAGACCCTGAATGACATGGCTCAGAATCGTTTGCAATGGCACAGGTGCATCCACTCTTTGTGTTCTCCCAAATTCTAATCTCCTGAATCCTCCTTGTCTCTTTTTTCTCTTTCCAAATTTATTTCACTGAATTATACTCTTTAATTAACAACTTCAAACCCTAATCTTTCCGATTACTGCTTATACGTTTACTACCTCTACCACAATGGGATTTGAATCGACACTTGTATCTGTGTACTAATATGGTGATGGCAACTTGAACTGATGTACATACGTACAAAGTTCTACGTTGTTACTGACTGACTGACTTAATTCAGTTGTATTAATGAACTTAATAAAGAGCATTAACTCACCAAATGGCAAATCAGATTACTATCTCAGATTAACGATTTCGCAATGACTTGAAAAAAATTCAATCCATAGAATTAATATAATAAAGTCCCTTCAAGATTTCTAATGGTGAAATGATCCAAGAGCTTCTGTATACGTTAAATCATTTAACTGAACTCTTAGAAATTACATCATGATGGAAACAATATGGAAAAGAAAAAAAGGAAACAAACTTACCATATATAAGTACATTAAATATTTGTGTAGATTTACCAACTTCATTCTGTGCATGACAAATATATTCACCAGCATCACGTGTTTGTACAAGAGGTACTGTTATACGACTACCATCAGTAGATATTTGAATATCTGGTCCACTAACTATTGGCATATTATTTCTTTCCCATTTAATTTGTGGTGGAGGATCAACACCATCCATTAATGTACAATCTAATGATCTAGTTTGATTAACAAACCAATGAACCTCAGGTTGTACATTGGATGTGTCAAATGTTGGAGGGACTATAAGATATAAGTTTGGAATAGTGAAATATAGATGGATATGAAGCATATATACATAAATTATAAGAGACTTATCAATTGAAGTCCTAAATAACAATGAGAAGATTCAAACAACCGATACAAAATGAATTTAAATGTCACCCCATTGCACAAGCTAGTGGCTATAAGGATCCAGTAGCTAAATAGATAATGTGGTGGCATTTGAAGCAAATGCTACTAGATTTAATTCCCGGAGTGAACTTTAATATGCAGGTTGATCCAATCGACGAGTCCTAAATAGGACAAAAAGCGCGTCCTGAATTCCACTGCCTGTCACCATCCAGCTTTGGTACAAATAATAGTAATGATGATAGTAACAATAATAATAATATATGAAACAAGTTCAACCCCTTTTCTTACCTTCCTCAACCCGATTGCCTAATAATCTTCATGTATATATTTCCTCCCACCCACTACATTATCAAAATGCTAATTTATGTGTATTTGCACTGTGGGAGAATTTATAGATCACCCACTCAGCACTTTTTTCCTCCCTTAATACATATAATTTCGCGCATCACATAATCTTTGATCAAACGTATGGTTTTCTTATTAATTATCTTATTATTTCTTTCACCATATGTCTGTATTATTATCCTGACAGTGTTATTGGATATCTGATCTTATTCAAATATACAGACCATGCCAGTCATTTGAGTATGCATAAACAATGTTAGATTTTGATCAGAATGGGGTTTGGGAGATTATAGTAATTTTAATGGCTGAATTCATGAGTCGATCTATTGAAAACCTAAGAGCACTGGACGGCCGCCTCGTTCCAATATGGGACTCCTCAGCAGTGCGCATCCACGGTCTCCTACGCGCGATTCGGAACCGGGACCTTTGGTTTCTAGCACGAAACTTTCACCTTTACACCACTGAGCCGGTCGGCATTCAACGGTGTTATTATCTAACTTCCATTGATTCATAAATGGTTGCACAACCATTTCTCCATTGTCTGAAATAGATACCTGTCTCTAAACGACACGGATTGGACTCCACTAGTCAGTGCTTCTCACTAGAACTCCAGGAGATTATCTTGAAACCAGTCACTACTCAATGGTCTGAAGGTTAAGCATTCATGCATGAGGCCGAATGTACTGGGTTCTAATCTCGCGTGTGGGATTGTGGACGCGCAGTTCCGTGGAGTCCCATACTAGGACGAAGCCGCCATCACATGCCCCCACGTTTCCAATGTTGATTGATCTTAGATCGATCCATGAATTCAACTACTGAAATCTTAAAATTTGTTTATTCGATTATTAAAAACAAAATTATCTTTAAAATCATCTAATAATAGTTTATGACCTTTGAAAGTAGAACATAGTGAAAATACTTTTCAATGGTTAAGATCATGAGTCAGTTGAAGCTAAGTTTCGTGGATTAGTTGAAGTTAGACATTAACACCGTTGGATGCCGGCTCAGTGATCTAGTGGTTAAGTACTCGCGCACGAAACCAGTAGGTCCTGGGTTTGAATCTCACGATGCGGGATTGTGGATACGCACTGCTGAGGAGTCCCACAATAGGACGAAACGGCCGTCCAGTGGTTCCAGGTTTTCCATGGTGGTCTAGCTTCAACTGACTCATGATCTTAACCATTGAAATTACTATAATATCCACAAAACCCATCTGAAAATACTTTTATCTTTGTTTTAGCAAAACGAAAATGTTTGAACCACTGAAAAAAAACATCAGTGGTGAATGTGAAAAACAGTACCCATGTTCCCAACAATTAATCAAATATATACAAAGTATTACCAATTCGATGTTTACAGGAATATTCTTTATCATCTACAATATTCAAGTATTTAATCCTAAAACTTTTGAGCAAAAGTTAAACTTACCACGAACTCGAACACTATATTCCATGATATCCCATCCAACTGCATTACTTGCATTGCATTGATATGAACCACTGTCACTTTTCAAAGTACGGAAAATAGTAAGTGATTGACGGTCCTAAAATTAATGTTTTAAAAAACATGTTGAAAATAAGAGGATGTAAAGAAATTAGGTGACGTCAAGTGTATATTCAAAAACAAAATAGTTCATGATGATAGACCATTCAGTAGTCACCATTTCAATATTTGCCTAGTCTTCACCACTGATTGAATTTAATCGATTTAATCCCAATGTATCCAATCAATATAAATAACTCAACATCATGTAGACTATGTTCTGATGGTAAATAGTTAGGGAAAGTTGGAACAAAACACTGGATTTAGATTTCTTGAGAGATCTGTTACTTTGTGTGGAGGTTGAACGCTCAACTTGATCAACAGAATTATCATCAAACAACATTATGGTGGTGAAATTCAACTACAAGCTGTTACAAATCTTTACAAACAGTACCATTGTAGAAGATCACAATGGAAATTTAAAAATCATTTTATAGAATAAACAGTTAAATTTAATAGTTCAGATCATGATTTAATTGAAGCTAGATCACTATGGAAAACCTGGAACCTCTGGAAAGCCGTTTTGTCCTACTGTAGGACTCCTCCCGCATCGCGAGATTCAAACTCAGGATCTATCAGTCTCGCACGCGAGCGCTTAACCTGTAGACCACTGAGCCAGCCGGCATCCAACGGTGTTAATGTGTAACTCCAATTAATCCACGAAATTGAGCAACACATCCATCATTGTCTTCAGTGAGTTACTATCTCACAACAGACCCGGTTGAACTCCACTGGCCACTGCTTCTCAACAGAATTCCAAGAAATACCTCTTGAAGCCAGTCACTAGTGAGCATATGGTGAATAATATCAGAAGAGGTTATGTCGATATTATAGTAATTTTAATAGTTGAGATCATGAGTCAATTGAAGCTAAACCACCATGGAAAGTGTTGGAGTAATAGATAACTGTGATCATTTGGTTAATATACAACATTATAATTGTATTGAACAAGTTATTTGTCATCATTCAATATGAGTAATTATTACCTGTGATATTACTGAATGTTTGGGTAAATTATCAATTTGTCTAGATAATTTAATGACACCAGAACTATCGTCATATCTACTACCTGGACGTGGTTCACCAGTACGTGTGAAGTATAACTTTGGAGTAGGTGATCCAGTAGCTGGACAAGGTAATACAAGTTCATCACCTTCACGAACTGTATATTCTGTACGTACACGTCCACGATCAATACGAGCCGGAGCTATTAACAAAATAGAATTAAATTCATGGGAAATTTAGATGATCACATTTTATTAAAATTGTATAACACTAAATAGAAAAGAACGTACTTGTGAGTTCTAGCAACATAAAATAGAATACTCAGGTGGAGATACTATAGTGGCTTATACATTTTCAAAGATATGAGAAGTAGCAATATTGTCTCCTTTCTGTTCTATCAATGTAACTTCTTTGGCAAATGCATGTAGATTTGTATACACAGTTGGTGGTAACATGAAAGGGATACCTATCGATCATCGATTATGGTAAACAACATGTTGTTTTGGCTAAGATAATCAGTTTAGTTGTAGGATAAGTTCTTGTCAATGAAGTTTTTAGTTTTATACTGATTAACTCTATCAAATCATCACTTTTGACTGTATTAACTCTATTGGAATCTTCATTACATTATAATGCACATATTCATCTCTAATCCCCCTCATATGTATGAGTATGTCAATATATGTAATAATATTGTTAGTAGCCGAGAGTGGGGAGAGTCCACTCTCCCTTGAAAAATGCTCTCTCATGGCCACACGTATATAGCCTCTGCCAGTGAATTCCTACTCACTGCCTTCTCGTGGTGGGTGTGTTGTTTATGAAATTGAGAGGACGAAAAGCGGATGTCCGGCGCTTTAACTGGGTTGGTGGACATAGAGAGTCCACCTAGGGGAGTTGGAAAACTCTGATTCCAAACCAATGGTGCACACGGGCTCCAGTATCCTGAAGGAATAAATGGTGTATGAACCAATCGTTGGGACGTTGCTCCACTGCCTTGTGGATCAGACCTTCAGGTCGAAGGCTCGGGGAGTGGCCCCCTAAGAAAACCACCTGCTTCGGTTTGGGCACCCGGGCAGTACCACAGCCCTCACGCATATCAAATGAGATCTGTATGGAGCATATGTATTTGGTGCCTCCTTGTACCAATATCTATGTGTTAAAATAAATAATTAACTAATTAAAACTAAGCTAATAAACATTTAATTATGTAGCTTTTTAGTTGAAGTTGAATAGTTAGAGGTAGTCCATTGAAACTCATTTATTTTCTTGCATGTTGCCTCAAGATTTATGGCTAATTCGGCTATTTCAGCGGATAATGTTTAACACTACTATCAATGATAATATTTATTGATTGACTAGAACCATGATTGATCATTTACCGAAGTGAATCAATCAAAGGTTATTTCATTCAAAATTAATAGAATTTACCTCCAACTGAAACATCTGTATTTATCTCTAATTGACCATAATTATTTTTTGCAACACATCTATAACGACCAGCATCTGTTGGTTGCATAGATATTATTTCTAACTGACGATCTTGATTAATTAATCGATATCTAAATAAAAAAAAGGAAAAGTAAAACAACAGTCTTTTTTATGACAGTTAGAAATGAATGAACTAATATCTGGACAACCCTATACTGATAATTATCATATGTTCACTAAGGACTAGCTTCAAGAATGATTTCCTGGAGTTCTAATGAGAAGGCATGACTAATGGAGATCAATCGTGTCTGGTGTGAGGTAGTTACTCACTGAAGACAATTGTGGAAGGTCGCGCAGTATCGTGCATTAGTTGAAGTTAGACATTAACACCGTTGGATGCCGGTTGGCTCAGTGTTCTAGTGGTTAAGCGTTCGCACGCGAGATCGAAGACTCTGGGTTCGAGACCCACGTGAGGGATCGTGGATGCGTACTGTTGAGGAGCCCCATATTAAGACAAAAAAGCCTTCCAGTTATTCCAGCTTTTCAATGGTAGTTTAACATTGATCTGTTCATGATTTCCATTTAAACTCAATAATCTCCATAATACTCAATTCATTTAAAACTATCAAATCCAACCTTGGTATTGATACCTACAAATGGCAAATATGAAAATTTTACCTATTACTAACCTATATGAAAGTTGATCAAGTGGTATACCATCCTTGAACCATTCAATTTTCGGTCGAGGATTACCAGACACAAGACATTCAAGCAGAGCACTAGCTCCTACGGTACGTTCGACACTGTATTGCAGCTGACCATCGGGATCCAGTCTAGGTCCATCTATTTAAGCATTCAAGAAAATAATAATGATAATATATTTAAATGCGAGTCTCGGTAAATGTATGCATCATTATAACTTTTAAATGAATTAGTTGCTATTTCGGCTCAGTAGCTCAGTGGATAAATCTGGCATTTGAAGCTAAAACGAATGAATAGGCTTGAGTTAAAGTATGAATCTGAAAAATTAGGATGCAGGTACATCCAATTGATAAGTAAAACATATGACGAGGTGTACCTGATAGGTTCTACTGTTAGCAGATATGATAAGGAGTTGATTAAAGTAAGAGTGACGTATGAAAATAATTTTCTACAAAATCCTATGACATTTAATCACATCTTGAGAAGTGGTAATTACATGACTTTGGCTAAATAGAGTTTCGGCATTATACCTGATGTTAGCTCGTGATAAAAACACTCAATCTGATATCTAACTTTCATCATAATTCCAGTTCCACATACTGGTTTATAACCCATATTTGGTCCTAATTCTTAGGTGGACACTCTCAAGATCAATTTATCTCAAGTTATATTATGCAAAAATAACTATACTTTAATACGTAATTTTGTAGTGTCTTGTAGCAACTAAGTTATCGGTTTGAATCTAAGCTCACCTTTTTCGATTTGAGCAACTGTTTAATGTTATCGATTCTCTTACACAATCTCGATTAAAGTCTTAATCAAAAAGAATAACACACTTTATTGAATAAATATAAAATAGCTGAGATCATAAGTCAATTGAAGCTAGACCACCATAGAAAAGCTGGAAGCACTGGACGGCCGTTTCGTCCAATTTTCGAACTTCTTAGTAGTGCGCATCTACGATCCCTCCCCCCTTCCGCGAGATTCGCACTCAGTTTTTCCATGATGGTCTAGTTTGAATTGACTCATGATCTTAACTATTAAAATGACTATATTCTCTACAAAACCCCTTCTGATGAATAAATATACAATAATACTTACATGTTATTTTAACATCGAATGTTTTAGAAACTTGACCATATTCACTTATAACATGACATGCATAACGACCATTATCATTTTCTTCAACATTAATTAATCGTAAATGTACATTATCTTCACTAATTGTAAATTTTCTATCATTTATAGATTTTCCATCTTTTGTCCATGTAATTTTAGGTAATGGATGACCAGTTGCAACACAAAATAATGCTAAATTAGATCCAAGTGCTATATTATGTTCACCTTCTTGACTTGAAAATCGTATTGATGGTGGAGCTAGTAATAAATAGAAAATAAATTTGGATAGATTCATGAAATCGTTTGTATGATCTAATTACATTCTATTAGAATTACTATAGTCAGACAATTATTGTAAACTAGCGATCAATGTCTGTTTTACCTTGGTTAGGGATTCTATAGCAACACTCACTAACAGCTTCGTTATGAAGGAACAACTGTGTCGTAGTAAACGAACATTGAATTGTAAAATGTCAACAACAACAGCAACAAATATACAAGTTAATTCAAATTGTATAAAAACAGAAGTCGGTTAAACATAAAAGATCTAAATAGACTGCTGATATACTTTAGTGACCTGAGATCTGGTTCCAATTCGATCGTGTGATCAATAGTTATTGAAATAGACATAACGCCAATTCTCGTGTATAATTATCAACTCAACTCGCGTTGATGAATAACGTAATCAAATAAGTTGAAGACGTATGCTTTGTACACTCATTGATCTGGATAGACAATCAGAGGGACGAAGTGAAGAAAGCGAAGAGAAGAAGAAGAAGCGAAATGACGTACAGTGGAGAAGATATGTGAGCCAACTCGATTTAGTCAAGCGTTAATCGATATTTATAGCCGAACAAAAATAAGTTAAAGATATGTGTTGAGTAAGATAAGAAATGACCACACATATGCTTACATAAAAACAATCAGGCTTGATAGGTGAATAATTAACAAAGTTAAAATGTGACTCAAGAAGAATGAATAAATTAACCTGTTGGGGAGTTAGAACAAGCTATGTGGGCTTAACATAGTAACCGACACTATAATACGATTTATATGCTCAACATGTTCATTCATGGTGGAATTTTAAAATTTATTTACTTGCTTTGGCCTTTTAAGGTAATCAGTGTTTTTATTGGTTAATATTTATTGCATTCTACATATTAACTTGCTACTTATTCAAATGAATAAAACATTGGATATAATTAGCAGACTCATAACTTATATCACTAAAAAATAACGTTTTGATCTAACTATAAGCATTTTATTGAATTTCAATAGTTGAGATCATGAGTCAATCGAAAGCTAGATCGTCATGGAAAACCTAGAAGCACTGAACAGCCGTTTCGTCCTATTGTGGAACTCCTCATCAGTGCGCGTCCACGATCTCCCTCCGTGAGATTCAAACTCAGGACCTATCAGTCTCGCGCGTAAACGCTTAACCTCTAGACCATTGAGTGATGTGGACAATTTTATGTTTGAACAATTTTATTTCCTGTTTATCGTAACTCATCAATCAAACGTTAAGATATCTCAGTGATAACGTCTCAGACTGTAAGGCTAGGTGATGGGGATTCAAATTCAACAGGTAGCATCACAGTGAGCCTAAGATTTCAGGTACGACTTCTAAACGAGTTTCAACTAGTACGAAGCCTTAGTTCAAGATTTCCTGTCAAATATCTCAAACAACTCAACATAACGTACATGATATTGAGTAACTTAGACTAGTGGCTATATTATAAACTGATCGATATAATCCTATCACAGCGTCAAAGGATTAAACAGTGATGATATTTTTCACCACTCAGTGATCAGCCAACTGTGTAGGTCTATGTTCTTGACTTTAAGTTATTCTCTTTCTATAGAGATCAATGATCCTACCTGGTTACTTGAACCAACTTAGTTAAAACCTCTGAACTACAGACTGGCAGTCAATCTTTATATTTATTAAGCCATCGCTGCACATCAGTTGAATAATCAGCCATCAAAAGATATCAAACAAAAACAAGAAAAAAACAACACGAATATCTTTCCAAACATACAACTTATTTAAAGGGAGATATTCAATATGATCTATTCATTATACAAGAACAGATAAATATTATCTTTTATTGTGAAATCAAATCATATAACAATAGGCTACAGTTATGACAATTGAGTGATCACTGGTTGGTGATCACTATCATGTGTATCAAGTCATTCTTAGTGCAAATCGAATGCTATCGACCAAGTTGTAATGTGGCCACTAGTCTAGGTGACTCGACATTGTGCGCACTATGTTGAGATAAAGTTATTTCTACGCTAAGATCTTATCTGACAGAAATAATGAAAATCTATCAGATAGTCCAATGAGAACAGTTAAGTCACAATCTATGGGATTGTTTGAACTAAATGATTTATTCCCAACTATCCGATAAAATTTTGTATAATTCCTTAAAGATAACTGTGTAAAATGACTGGTTTTTCAGGAACCATTTCAAATATTTATCAAAAACATTTTTGATTGAGATCATAAACCGATTGATGTTAAACCTGGAAGTACTGGACGACCATTTTGTCCTAGTACGGGACTCCTCAGCAGTTCGTATCGACAATCCTGCTCGCGGGATTCGAAACCAGAAATGCTTTTTGCTTAATTCATAATTTATCAAACACTGTTATATCCATAGACTGGAATCAGCATCAAACAATCAACACAAATGTAATAATGATTACCAGCCAGGGACCAATTAATGTGATTATCTCAGTATTACAGAAGTTTAGTCATGCCCTACTTAGCCCAATGGTAACATTTATAATTACAACATGATGTTAAGTACATTTACATCCATTAAGGAAATTTGTCATAACATTTCTGGTAAAAAGCATTGCTGATGAACACCAGCTGGAATTTATGTTCAGGGATTCCTGTCAACTATCTTCAATCATCTAACATCAGTTTCATCAATCATATCAAATATTATTCTTGGTATACGATCAAAAGTATAAAAATGTTCTAACAAATAAATTATACCTTTTAATAAACGTTTAGCCTTACTTATTCTGAACATGGGGGTTGATTGGTTGATTTTGATGGAGCTTTGTTCTCTGAGCTGGATGGTTTGGTCGTGGAGCTTTCATCGTTCTTCTGAACGACGTCATCAGCACAAACTTCAGATAGAAGTGAATTGTTCGAATTTCTCCATATGCGTTTCACAGCTTGTTCTGTACACCTCGACGTTGACTGATTCTTATTGACCTTAAGTTTGTGCTGATGATGACGTTCAGAAGAACGATGAAAGCTCCATGACCAAACCATCCAGCTCAGAGAACAAAACTCCATCAAAATCATCCACCCGAGCTACAAATCTTCTCTACCATCTTGATTGGTTAACAAATAATTTGAAGCGAGTGGCTTATTATCGACAGTTAAGGATAGTTTACACTTAAACCTATGTAAACTATTCTTTACGTATTAAAGCTTAGAGAATCTGACTTGTTAACTAAATATGAATAATAGGATAAGACATAATGAATCAATCAGAGAACTCAATGGTCAGTTATACTGTAATATATGTTACATTTACTGGCATAGTATGTAGAATCAATGGAAAGTGAAATGCCTGAAAGTAGATGGGAGGATGAAATGAAGAGAACAGGAATGAAAACTGAGAGAAATTATAGTAACAACAGAATTGAAAGAATCGTGAACTATGTAAAGGACAACTGAAGGAAGATATGCAAATGATGTATTCAATGTATGGTTTTCATATTTTATGAATACACTCTGTAATTTTGCACTGAACAGTAAATTGGTTCCCTCTATCCCGTAGTCTTTCACTTCAATACATTAGGTCACAAATCATCGAAAATACATTTTTTCTACTCTCTGGGATATTACAAAAAAAACATATCTAGGCAGCATCATTGATGAACACGGTGGATCTGATTCACATGTGAAGGTGCACATCGGCAAAGCAAGAGAAGTATATTTACAAATGAAGAACATCTGCAACTCAAAACAACTGTCTGTCAACCAACATCAAATTCAGAATTTTCAATACAAATGTCAAAACAGTTCTACTGTATGGAGCGGAAACTTGGAGAAATACGAAAGCCATCATCCAGAAGATATAAGTGTTTATTAATAGCTGTTCACGCATAATACTTCGGATCAGTTGGCCAGACACAATCAGCAACAACCCATTGTGTGAGAGAACAAGCCAGATCCCAGTGGAGGAAGAAATCAGGAAGAAGCGCTGGAAGTGGATAGGACAAACATTAAGGAAAGCACCAAATTGCGTCACAAGTCAATTCCTCACATAGGATCCTCAAGGTCAAATGAGAAGAGGAACACCAAAGAACACATTACATCGAGAAATGGTGACAGACATGAGAAGAATGAACAACAATTGGATAGAACTGGCAAGGAACGCCCAAAAGAGAGTGTGTTGGAGAATGCTGGTCGGCGTCCTATGCTCCATTGGGAGTAACAGGCGTAAGTAAGTTCTAACCAATCTCCAAGTTATTTGAAACTATCTAGTCAAAGCTTTATAAGCAAAGATAGATAGTGACTAGCAATGGAATCAAGGATGTGTGTTTCATCCTATTTGGGATTTGTCAGTTGGATGTACCTTCATCTCAGAGTTGATGTTCACTCCGGCATTATGGTATCTGCAAACTGATTATTAAACGAATTAAATTATCTATGTTGACTAAACGATTTGAAAAAAACATAACCATCCCAATACTCTTCAAATTTATTAATATTTTAGATAATATAAGTTTACGATAATAAAAATTAACTTCAAGTTGGATGATTTCATTCATTTTATGCTTTAACCTTATTGTCAATCATAAATAACTTATTCAAATATCCACTGTACACTCATTTGTATTGTCTGTTTAAATCAATTCTGGAATGTAGGTACATCTAACTGACAAATCCTAAATAGGACGAAACGCACGTCCTGGATTCCGCTACTAGCTGCCATTCATTTTGCTTATCCACTTAACGTTTATAGATAATGGATTAATGAGAAAAGTAAATAATTTTGATATTTGATTTGAAAAAAACGACGAAAACGATTGAAATTAAGTTAGATTACTGGATCTGATTCGCTAAATAATTTGATAATACTAATATTTATAATAAACAATGATATTTTAGTTAACTGATGGTATCAAATATCGTCATTTAAATCTTACATTCATTGTAGGTATCACTGCCAAGGTTAGACCACATCATTTGGTAAGACTATAATTTATGAACGAACTTTGAGCGCCTTAAGAATGTACACCTACATACTAGGGCTAAATCACGATCTTAAACCAGTGTAGAGGATAAGGATTGTGGTTTACAGTTGATAGTTAAGGATAGCGATTAGATTTAGTGTTTTCATCACGAACTGATATCAGCTAAATTGTCAAAACAGTGTTTAACTAAATGGATGAACGAATTTTGCGCCGAAATCCAAGACCTGTTACTGTAAATGTGATTTGTTTGTCCATAAATTATAGTACCTCTGTGGAAAAATTGTATTTTTGATAATTCATAACTTAATATAAGACACTTCTTCAGAGTAAATAAATACGTAACCGGAATTAAATCCACACGAGTTGAAGTAGTAGTACAAAGGTAAAAATGTCGATGATAAACTAATAAAGAATTTTGAATATAATATGAACTTCCTTAGTTTATCAACACCGGTTTAACACAATTTTTGATTGAGATCATGAACCAATTGATGTAAGAATACCATTGAAAACCTGGAAGCACTGAATGGCCGTTTCGTCCTGTCTCGGGACTACTCAGCAGTGTGTATCCAGTAGAGTTAGTCCGTGTCGACTAGAAACAAGTATCTACCTCAGTATAATGGAAGATAGTCGCGCAATTTTGTGGATTGGTTGAGGTTAGACATTAACACCGTTGGATGCCGGCTCAGTGATCTAGTGGTTAAGTGCTCGCGCGCGAAACCAGTAGGTCCTGGGTTCGAATCTCGCGGGGGCGGAATCGTGGATGCGCACTGTTGAGTAATTCCAAAATAGGACAAAATGGCCATCCAGTTCTTTCAGGTTTTCAATGGTAGTCTAACATCAACCCTAACCCTATACTGATAATACAATGTCATCAAATATTCAAAAAGATAAACCAAAAGAGAAACAATTTACAAACAAAAACAAATTCGATTAACATCATCATAGATGTACAAACTTTCAATAAAATCAATAATCAATTTACAGTTTCCATATATGTCTATCTATCTATCTATGTCAAAACCATCCACCAAAACCAAAATTATTAAATACTGTAAATGGAAATTCCAATAAACCATATGAATGTTTATCAACTTTCAAATTTTGATCAACAACATCATGATCATGAACATCATCATGATCATCATATTCTTCTGCTTCAATAGTTTCATCTTCATCAGTTTTCTTTTTACCATTAATTATTGATGTATATTTATTATGAGTTATAATAATTGATGTACCATAATGATAATTTTGATTTGGTTTCATTTTTTGATCGATTATTGATTTTTCTTTTTCATAATTTTTTGTATCTTTTTGTAATTTATCAATAATTTTTCCACTTAATGATTTACTAGATAATTTTTGTTCATATGGATTATAAGAATGAGTTCCTTTTAAATTTCCCTCATATTTTTCTTTTAAAAGATCATCTAGATCCATATTAGATTCAATATCTAAATTATGATTATTATCTTTATGCCAATGAACATATTTAATAGAGAAAGTAATATACATATGATACATTATATGGATTAAATATAGTATGATATATATACGAATAAGCATTGTTTATGATATTCACTAAAAAGGTACATACTGATTTCTACTGATTAAGTGAAGTTGATCTATATATATATACATGGGATATAAGACAGATTGATTGATATCAATGGTATATCAATCAATCATTATTGATTCATAATCATCTTATCAATCGATAATTCAGAGTAAGTTTTTGCACTTTATCAATTAATTATTCAATATTTATTGATTTATCCGAACTTATTGATTATATATATATATATATATATGGCTATTAAGATTTAGTAGCTAAGGGAATAATACGATAGAGTTTGAAGTGAATGTTACTCGGTTTGAGTCTAAGAGAGATACCATTACATCCAGCTGATAAGTTGTAAATAGGAAGAAACGCATGTTCTGGATGTATGTAAATAGTTTTATAAAGTAATTTCAACAGCTGAGATCATGAGTCAATTGAGGCTAGACAACCATGAAAAACCTGGAAGCATTGGACAGCAGTTTCGTCCTATTGTGGGACCCCTCAGAAGTGCACATCCACGACTCCACATCGCGGGATTCGAACCTAGGACCTATCAGTCTGGCTCCAGGCGTTTGACCGACTAGACTACTGAGCCGGCATTGAACAGTGTTAATGTCTAACTTCAACTAATCCACGAAATTGAGCGACATCCACCATTGTCATCAATTAGTTACTATCTCACAACTGACCCGGTTGAACTCCACTGGTCACTGCTTCTCACTAAAACTTCAGGATTTACCTCTTCCCAGTCACTAGTGAGCATATGTTGATTAGTATCAGAAGGGGTTTTGTGGAGATTGTGGTAATTTCAACAGTTGAGATCATGAGTCAATTGTAAAGGTTGAGACTAGAATTTATGAATGAATTAGAATCAAATTTATAATAATAAGGTTTTGGATTTTGACATAAAATTCATTTATCCATTTGGATAAAATAGAGTTTTGGTATTATAGCTAATATCAGTTCGTGATGAACATTTGAAATCTAATTTCAACTTTAATCATCAACTGTAAATTACAATTCTTATCCTTCACACAAGTTTAAAACTCTTATTTAGATATAGTCAGTAGGTGGACATTCTCAAAGTCATTTTGATGTCACTCAAAGATCGTTCATAGATTACAGTTTCAACCAGGTCTGTTGTGAGATAGTAACTCACTGAAGACAATGGTGAATGTGTCGCTCAATTTCGTGGATTAGTTGAAGTTAGACATTACCACCGTTGGATGCCGGCTCAGTGATCTAGTGAATAAGTGCTCGCGCGCGAAACCAGTAGGCCCTGGGTTCAAATCCCGCAGGGGGTGAGGTCGTGGATGTGCACTGCTGAGGAGTCCCACAACAGGACGAAACGGCCGTCCAGTGCTTCCAGGTTTTCCATAGTGGTCTAGCTTCAACTGACTCATGATCTTGACCATTGAAATTTGTAAAGTATTTATTAAGTTAATCCAGTTAAATCTCATTTTAAAAGACGTAAGCAGACATGGCTCAGAATCGATCACAATGGTGTGTGTGTATACACTCACTGTCTTCCCTCAAACTGTGAGATTAAAATTGTTTCATATCTTTCTACGAACTAGTTCTTTTTTCCTGCAATCTTTCATTTGTATATTACCATCAGTGAATTAAATAGTTCTATGAATTCGGTGTTTATCATGTTGTGCTAATGAGGTATGGCAACTTGAACCGATGCATATATATGCCTGGTCCTACGTTATACCTAACTGACTGAAGATGACTTTGATAAAAGCCTTCTTAATATTTAAATGCAAAGAGAGTACTAAAATATAACATTTTTTAACTAAACACATTGTATTTATTCAAAAACTTTCACACTAACAAGATACCATCATTCATAACTGAATGTCCACTCTTTCAATAACTGTGATCATAGCCAAATAATCTGAAATATTTTAGTATACTTTTTACTAAAGTTGAATGATATTGTGGTGTATGTTACTAATACTGATAGATATAAGTAGTATGTATCATCATCTAAAGTAAAATACTTGACAGCACAAGGTTTAGAAGATCGAAGAAAAAAGAACGGAAACAGATAATAATTAGTGTGAAAATGAAGGAACAATCAAGTCTGAAACGATTCATTGACATTTTACAAACGAAGTATATATTGTATGGATCTTAGATTTTACTAAGTGATTCTGTAATGTTGTATTGAAATACATTTGGTTGCTGTCACTGGTATTCGTGTTCACTACAAAATGAAATGATGAGTATTTCTTCCGATTTACATTTGAAAAATTCACATATTTTGTGATTTGGAACAAGATAGATATAAGCGAACAATATTGTTTCCTATTAGATCCTTGTAGTGTCGGTTATTATGTTAAGCCCCATATACCTTATTCTAGCTTTCGGACAGCCCATTCTGTTCATTCTACTTGAGTCACATTTTGACCTTATCAATTATTCGCTTATCAATCTTGACTGTTTTTATATGAGCGCGTAGGTGTGTGTACATTTCTTATCCCATTACTCATCACATTTCTGTAACTTACTTTTGTGTAACTATAATTATTGATTAACGCTTGATTAAATGGGAGTTGGTTTACCAGCCATCTCGATTGTGCGTCGTTTCTCTTCTCTCTATTCCATCCGCTTTATATACAAAATATGTGTATTCACAAGTCCATTCTCGTTATTCGACTTATTTAATTCCGTTATTGAATAATACGATTTAGGTGGACGATTGTATACGAGGATAGGCGATAACAAACATTCATACGATCTAATTGGAGTCAGATCCACGGGCCACTAAATCCTCATCAGACTTTAATATACAGTAATATTTATATGCATATAGAAAATTATTAAACCAATCAAGTGAATGATAACAGTGGAATAGATTATACGTATAAACATAATAAGTACAAATTGGTAGTGTGATGATAGCTGTACTAGTTGTGATAAGCAATAATAAAGGTTTGAATCAATGGTACATAATGGGAAATAAGTCAATGATTAGAAAATTATAAGATTACGTAATAAGAAGTGAGGTTTCGATCTCTTCTCTTTTACACATAGCAGAAGCTATAGGAATTTGAGGTTAACAATTCAAGTCTTTATGTTCATAAGAAATTTGTAACATCCTTATCTCTCTCTTGACTTTTTCTTCTTACATCTCAGCCCCTTTCTTTTCTCAAACATACGCTTCGCGGTCCAATTATATTAAAGTCTGATGTGGATCTAATCGAAAACAATATTGTTAGCTTATATATGTCTTTATACATTTTTTGATAGGGTTTTGTTCTCTGAACTGGATGGTTTGGCCGTGGAGCTTCCATCGTTCTTCTAAACGATATCATCAGCACAAACTTCAGGTAGAAGACAGAAAGAAAAGTCAAAATTCGATTGATTTACTCATCATGATTTTTGTTCGACTTGAGTCATCGTCGTCATCATGTTTTGAGCATTAATAAATCTTTACTTATACCAGTCTTTATGTTCTTACTTTCACGTTATGGAAATTACAGAGGTCCGTCATTTCAAGTATAAGTGATCAGTGTTTCCGACACAACAATTAACAACGACCAGATATAACAATTAACGTTCAATCCACAAGACATATCTATCATAAAATAATGATTCAATAATTCAAGCATATTGTTTAAACACTGAATATATAATGATCATTTTTCTTTCTCCTTGAATTACCTAGACTTCAATAAAGATTTCAATAGTTGAAATCATGAGTCGATTGATGCTAGACCACCATGGAGAACCTGGATGCACTGGACGGATGTTTCGTCCTAGTATGGGACTCCTCAATAGTGCACATCCACGAAAACTGTTTTTACATTTATGTATTAACATATGACGTTAGGGTGAATATCTTGTATCAAAGTGCATAATATAAACGCACTTTAATAAGAAAGAATATCTAAATCTATTTGATTTTCATTATAAATTTATTCAATAAATCAAAATGACCCATAAATATCGATTAGATTGTGATATGTGAACATGTACCTTCCTAAATGGTTACAGAAATATTGATTTAATAAGAGTAAAAGATAAACATCTATCATCCTCTATTATCAAACGCATAATTATTGAAATAGATCATAAGACTGATCTTAACTCGGCTTTTATAGTGTTGTATAAAAGTAGTTTATTGAAGCTTTAATCATACGAAAATTCAAACCCTCTCGGTGTATTCCAAAAACAGTTTGTTCTCACATTCAACCTACCCTTATTATCCAGAGTGATGAAGTTTCATATTGTTTCCACATTATTTTCTTTCGATAATGTAATAAGAAGACGAAGATTATCAGAACTATGTGATGATGATATATTAGCGCAATACATTTAGAACAATCTAATCACATATAGGACACTTGTTAAGAACATTTATATATAAAAATAAAAGGTCAAGGAGACTGGAAATGGGGTAAGAGGAGACAAGATTAGTGATAAGAGTGATAACAATAATGTGAACACAATTTGAAACCTAATCACTGGATAATAAGCCAATATTATCAGGGTAGGTTTAAGGTGAGAACAAACTGAAAATGGCTATCCTCTGAAAGTCCATGGTACAGTGAGCCTTGGTAGAAAAAAGCCTGTCTACATCACCTTACCATTCAGAGGTGATTCAAATAGCCTTTTATTGATACAAAAGCCTTAAATCAGTCATCAACAAAACGTATTGCGCAGAAAAGTCATTATCAAAGAAAGAACAAGATGATTGGTTTATCAAAAACCTAAAAGACATGAAAACGATTGCGTCACATCCCACTGTGTTTACCAAATTAAATGTGTGTGTGGTCACACATACATAGGGAGGAGCAATCGTGATCTCAAAATTAGGGTGTGTGATCATGTATTAAAATGGTTGCAAAAACAGATACAATCAAGTGACCCAATAAGAGTAGAGGATAAACATCCATCATCTTCTATTGCTAAACACATAATTGAAACAGGTCACAAGATTGATCTTTTCTTGGCTTTTGTGATGTTGTATAAAAGTGTAAAATGGCGTATACTAAGGTTTATTGAAGCCTTAACCATACGAAAATTCAAACTCCCTTTGTACATTGAAGATCAGTTCGCTCTCACCTTAAACCTACCCTTTATTATCTGGTTGACATTGAATAGACGGCAATTATGGTTCCCTACCACCCATTTATTAGAAATTGTAGGGTATGAAAAAAATGTAGGGATCATTGATTGTTGTACTTGTTTTGCAAGTATGTGCTCAAGTGATAATGAACAAACATTTTGTCACCTTTAATTGGTCGTAAACTGTTCATCTTTGTAATCTGATTAGTTGAAATCAAAATAGCATCAAGTGCTTTGATTGGATGTCAGAATTTTTTAAAAGGGTGGGAAAAACTTTTTTTTAAAAAATAAATAACTTGCCGTCCACCTAATGATATTCCTCTTACCCCATTTCCAGTCTAGTTGACCTTTTATTTTTATATATAAATGTTCTTAACAAGTGTCCTATATGTGATTAGATTGTTCGAAATGTATTACACTAATATATCATCATCACATAGTTCTGATAATCTTCGTCTTCTCATTGCATTATCGAAATTTATCAAAGGGACTAATTACTTTATATTATTTCTTATTGAATTCCTTCATTAATTGTATTTTTTTGGGGGGGGGGGTGTTATTTCGTACTACTTCATACAGTAAGTAATTTGGGTTGTCATCAGTTATTTCAGTGGTTAATATATATATTTTTAGCATTGCTCAAAACGTACATAACTGTACAATTACCTTATTTGTTTCATATTGTACTCCCACCCTCTATTTGACTACTTGACGAATCAAGAACATGATGAAATTGTATGTTACTAATTGTAGTGAGTAAATAAAGTGTTCTTAAGTGGTAATCAAATTACAGGCCTTAATTTCATGGACAATTTTAATAAGGTCAGTTCATATGTTTACGAAGAGACTAAGAGAATTACAATTTTCATCGGTTAACAGTTAAATAAACAAATGACATCAAGGTCACAATAATCAACATGACAAGTGTTTTAGTAGATTTCAATTGTTAGTTTATCTGTTTATTTTAATGATAAATAAATGTGGAATCCAAGTTTCAGTATTTGTCAAACAGACCATTTATACATTTGAAAAACTGGGTTGCTGTTTTATATCGTTCATACAAAAACTTACCGAAATTGAGATGGTGGAGAAGATTTGTAGCTCAGGTGGATGATTTTGGTGGAGTTGATGTGTGTGTTGGTGTGCTGATGATGTCGTTCAGAAGAACGATGAAAGCTCCACGATCAAACCATCCAGCTCAGAGAACAAAACTCCACCACTTACCGAAATATACTGATCTCGTTAATGAACTCAAATAATATACTCATGGTAATTTTTATACAACCGTTCATTATCCTCGAATGTACACATTATTGTTCCTCCACTTAATTTAATCCACGAGTTATGACTTCTGTTGTCATACATACATTAAATATTTCGAGAAATTCGTTATGAGCCAAGTCACAGGCATTTTCAAACAGAAATGAATAAACAGAACTACGTCTTCAGTTCTCCTAGGTTACTGCTGATCTAAAGCCCGGATAAAGTAGCTTGCATCCAGCTAGACGATTTCGTTTTCACATATGACCTGGCTCAACTATACCATACAAACCAACAAACTAAGTTGAAGACATCCAATGTAGCAGCAAAATCGTCAGGATTGGGCCTCAGCATGCACAAGTGGAAAGTGAGATCCCTAAAAGTCAACATACTGAGCACCAATCAAATCACACTTGATGGAGAAACTCTGGAAGAAGTGGACACTTCCATGCACCTTGGCAGCATCATTCATGAACACCGAGGATCTGATACAGATGTTAAGCTGTGAATCAAGAGAGTGAAGGCATGATTCCTACAGTTGAAGGATATCTGAAACTCAAAACAACTAACTGCAACCCAACACCGATGTCGAAATTGTCAACTATGACGTTAACAGTTACTTTTTGTCGAGTTGAAACATGAAGAACTACTACAATCATCATCATCATCAAAAATGTAAAGGTAATTATAAACAGTTGTCAACACAGAATGCTCCAGATCCCTTGTTCATTAGTCAGGCATCATCGACAATAACCTACTGTGGAAGAGAACAAACTAGGTTCCAGATGAGGAGGAAATTAGGGAAAGAAAAAGAAGTTGGTGCATAGGATATACATTACGAAAATCACCAAGCTGCATCAAGAGGTAAGCGCTTACTATTAGGAATCGTGAAGGGAAACGGAAAAAAGGAAGGTTGGAGAACACACTACGTCGGGAATCGAAGGAAGATATCAAAGGAATCAATAGCACTAGGAAACAACAGGTATAGAGAGCCCAGGATAGAGTTGGTTGGAGAATCCTGGTGGGCGGTCAATTCTCACACGAGAGGCCACATGCGTAAATACGTCAAAGTAAATCTAGATGTGTCTACCAAGTCTGCTTATAGAAAGGTTTGAAATATTTATTCACGAGATTCTTTCATTTTCAACTTATATCATTTCGTTAGTACTAGAGTACATCCAGCTGACGAGTCCCAAACAGGACGAAACGCGCGTCCTGGATTCCACTGCTAGTCACTATCCATCTTTGCTTACAATGCTAGAGTAATTTAGTTAGAGAATTTATACCTACTTCAAAGAGGATCTATATTTCAGTAACACCATTGTTCATTATTCAATAGAGTCAACTCAGAGCTTTATACATTTGAATTAACTAGACTTTTATACTCATCTATCATTCACATATATATGGATAACTGTAAATTCATTTTATGAAAAATACCAGAAGTTATGATCTTCGAAATATGTCACATTTCATAAAAGATATATTAAAGATACATTATCATTATTAACTTACACATCACTTGTACCAACCATTGACGTTTAGCCAAACCATATTCATTAGTTACTACACAACGATAATTTCCAGCATCTGAGTTTTGTACATCGGTTAGATAAAGCTGTGCAAAACAATGAACAAAAACTATTGCATACATCCTAACCATTTAAATGAATAGTTTTGGATGGTTTCAAATCTATGACCGCAACTGTTAATATTCCTAATATGATAACAGTGTGATAATATCAATCGTTGTAATCAGGAGTCAATTAAAGCTAGACGACTATAAAAAACCTGGAAGCACTGGACGGCCGTTTCATGAGGGATCGTGGATGCGCACTACTGAGGAGTCCCACACTAGAACGAAACGGCCGTCCAGTGCTTCCAGGTTTTCCATGGTGGTCTAGCTTCAATTGACTCATGATTTCAATCAGTGAAATTTCTAAAATCTCCACAAAACCCTTTCTAATAATGTGATAATAGCCTGTGAAATTATTGATTTAGCTCAAGTCACATATACAAACCTATAGGCTAAGAATGTTTAATAAGAATGGAGAATCTAGTTAATAATCTTTAAATCTCACTACAATTGAAGGGATGCAATTAATACCGTTTTACTTGTAAATGTAAATAGATCAATCATTAGTATCATCTCAAAGTTAAAATCAACTAAGAAACTACTTATACAAAAACTTGTGAGTAGCATACAACTGCTTGGGAATCCTCAAAAATTTCATATCTATCACCCTATACTATACTGAATTCAGAATAATCAGTCCTGTAAATGAAAAAGATATGAACCATTTGTCATTGTCTACTCATATTATACTTCTTAGCCATTTTATATTTCCAGAGTTTTTTATTAATGTATTTACATACGGTTGATGAGCCTCCAATATGATGAAACGTACGGCTTGGAATCCACTGTTAGCCATTTATCCTAAATTAGTTAGGATTAGTACTAACTTGCTTATTTACTTCATTCCTGAAATATTTATAAAGATCTAAATGTAATCACATAACCAAAGATGGATAGTGGTTAGCAGTGGAATCCAGGACTCGTTAGTTGAATGTACCTGCATCCCAGAGTTGATGTTCACTCCGCGACTAAAACCCAGTACCGTTCACTCGCGTTATCCACTTAGCTGTTGATTCCTGATAGCCACCTGCTTGTGCGATGGGGTGAAGATTAAATTCACTTGGTGTTGTTTTAATTGTATCTTCTGATTGTTATTTAGGACTACAATTGATCAGTCTCATGTTGGCAATAATAGTTCCAATTTGTTTGAATTTATGTACCAAATGATTGAAGCATTCAAATTTAGTGAGATAGAAATATCAAAGATTTTATCGACTATTCCATTATTCTACCATCATAGTCATATATAGTTGACTTAGCTGATAGAATAAAATGACATTTTGTGTATGTTAGATTCTTGTCATGGTTCTTCTCCTCCTCCTCCTTCTTCTTCTTCTTCTTCTTCAAAAAACAGGTTCAGTATTTATCCCAGGCTACACACTATGAAATAAGTAGGAATTATCCTATCATTATAAGTATATCGTTGGTATTTAGAATAACATTCCTATGGATAGGATAAGTATAAATTGAGAATATAACAAAAATTCATCACTTAAAGAAGATTTGGCGAGACTATAATTCATGGACGAACCAATCAGGTATAAGATAAATAAGTATCGGATTTCAGCACGAAATTCACTCATCCATTTGGATAAATAGAGTTTTGACATTATAGTTGACATCAGTTCATGATGAAAACCTTAAATCCAATTCCTAACCTTATTGATCAACTGTAAATCATAATTCTAATTCCACACACAGGTTTATAACCCTTATTTGGTCGTACTTATTAGGTGGGTAATCTCAAGTTTACCTTAGTGTCGCTCAAAGGTCGTCCATAAATTATAGTCTCACTGCAGATTTAATTATTCTTATAATTTACTTACTTGTGTATCACCAACGGAAATATTAATATTTGGAAATGTATCAAAGGTAATTAATTCTCCATCTTTAAACCATTCCACTTGAGCTCTTGGTGATGCTTCCCAGTCACATATTAATCGTGTACTAGAGTTTTGTAATACATGTCTTGGATTTTTTCCCTCGGGTCCAATAATTACTGGGGGATCTTATTAAATTAAATTGGCATAATAATATAAGAAACATAAAAATAGAAGATTCTTCTTAAATTTCTAGTTAGTAAGAAATTGTGAAAAAGGAACTATCTTTCAAAGTAACTTATTACTGAATTGTTTTTTTCTGGTTATCGTTTTTCTAGCGAGCTAGTTTTCTACGGGATGGAGTCGCTAACCTCATGATCAACCCTTCTCCTTTATCCGGACTTCGGACCGGCGGTAGCCCCAGAGGGGCTTCAGGCAAGAATAATTCCTTTAATGAAGATATATCTGTTATATCCTAGTGAAGATTACATTACAAGTAACGTCTGAGACCTATTAATGGACTAATATTATTTATATATTCTTATGGTATAACTATTCAGTAATTAGATTATGTATATCTATATTCCCCTTGTTATAAGCTCTACTTTGACCTATATATATTATTATTGTACGATTTACTGTTCTTAAGCTATGTTCAGTTTATTGACTACGGCCTCCCACGTTCACAGTCACTTTTTGGCTTTATTGTGTATGAATGTTATTTCCTATTTTCTGGTGAGTTGCGGTCTGTTTGGTTGATATATAAACCCAGTATGTCTGAGATAAATTATTCGATTTGATTCGCCTAGTAGAGGCTGTTGTTGGGATTCTGGACTCAGCTGGATTGGCTAGGCGATCAACGGACCAATAGGACGCTAGGCTGATCAGAGCACTCGGACGTCATTCGTTTAATACAGTATAAGAGCGAATAAGTCGTATTTTGATTGGCGAATAGATTACGTGATAACTAGCAGGCCATAAAGTCACAACAATATCTAAATGATTTAAAACATCAAAGAGGTAGAGAGTAATACAATGGATTGAAGTGTGATTTTTAGTTACAAGAACTGAGAATTATTCGTCTAAAGATTCCCCATCTTATTAAAAGACTAATATTTGAATAAAGAATATTCTTTTCTAAAAATTCTCTTCAGGTTCTACAATTATCTCATATTCAAATTATTAATCCGAAAATAGTCCAGGTTAAAGGCAAAGTACATCGTTTAGAGTTAAAGCATGTGAATTTAGGATCATCAAACAAAATAGAATAAACAAAGATGGATAGTGGCTAGCAGTGGAATCCAGGATGCGCGTTTCGTCCTGTTTGGGACTCGTCAGCTGGATGTACCTGCATCTCAGAGTTGATGTTCACTCTGGGACTCGAACCCACTACCATTCGCTTCAAATGCCACTCAGCTACTGAGTCCTGATAGCCAATTGCTTGTGCAATGGAGTGAATTTGAATTCACTTGGTACTGCTTGGCCAGTATCTTCTGATTGATAATAATAATACAAAGATTTATGAATAAAGATAACAGAGACAGGGAGAAAGGCTACCCTAGAAAGTTTGTAATTAAATATGATATAATGATTCATTATATCTAGATTTATAGTTTTGGAGAAATAGAGAAAAAAACTGTAACTGAAATATTAACTTACATACTAAAGTTGGATCAAATATTCGTTTAATTTCACCAGCTTTATTTTTACCAATACAAATATAACGTGTTATTATACCATAATCGACATTTGGTAAAATTAATTGTCTACCATTTAAACGTTGTTGTATATTACGATCACCTGGACCACTAGTTGGTAGTTCCTTAATATTTTATAAAGAGAAATTAAGAAAAAACATTTGAGTAGAAACGTGGATAACTACAGTTTCGAAGACTAATATAACTAGACAGAAGCCTTAGATGGTGGTTGGAGGTAGTCGACAGGAAATCTTGGACGCGGGTTTTGTGTTAATTGGCACTCGTCAACAAAGTGTACCTGTAATCTTGTGGGAACTGGTGCTCCCTGACGGATTCGATCCCGTGTCACCCAGCTTCACAGTCAGAGACGTTACCATTGAGCTATCCAGGCCACGAACAACCACCACCCAGTGATCAATCAATTGTGATTATATCTCAGTCCTACATGAGGTTGGTCGCGGCCCGGATAACTCAGTAGTAACGTCTCTGACTGTGAAAATTGGTGACACGAGATCGAATCCTTCAGGGAGCACCAGTCCCCTCAAGATTACAGGTACACCTTGCTGACGAGTACCAGGTAGCACGAACCTGGGTAGAGGGTTTCCTATCGACTACCTTCAACTACCATCTAATCTCACAATAGTGCACGCAGTGTCGAGCCACCTAGACTGGTGGCCACATTGCATCATGGTCGATAGCATTCGATCTGCACCAATAATAAAAACTTGACACATATGACATTGGTCACCACCCAGTGATCAATCAATTGTGATTAGAGAGAAACCTTTTCTTCATTTAGTAATGATAACTGCTTAGAATAATTTCCAATGTAATAGATTACTCAACATAAGATTGTTTTCATTTTCAGTGTGATTTTTCATCCAATATGATATTCTTTTTATTAAATTAACAAAAATCGTGTGCTAGTATGATATGCACCATGTGATTTTGTTGTAATCCTGGCCATTTTGTATGAATTATTATCAGAAAGGTTTTTTTTGGATATTATAGTGATTTAATAGTTGAATTCATGAATCAATCCAAGCTAAACCACCATGGTAAACCTGTAATCACTGAACGGCCTTTTCGTCCTAGTGTAGGATTCCTCTGCAGTGCGCATCCACGACCTCGCATCGCGGGATTTGAAGTTAGGACTTATCAGTTGAAGTTAGACATTAAAACCGTTGGATGCCGGCTGGCCCAATGGCCTAGAGGTTGAGTGTTCGCACGCGAGACTGGTAGGTACTGGGTTAGAGTCTTGCGGGCGGGATTATGGATGCACACTTCTGAGGAGTCTCATAATAGGACGAAATTGCCGTCCAGTGTTTCCAGGTTTTTCATTGTGATCTAGCTTTATTTGAAAGATGAAGTCAAAAATTTTGCATAAATGTAATTTTTCTAATTAGGTGCACAAAACTATATAATTGAGTGTAGTTCTTGGCTAGGGATGTTGTGCTTTATTTAAATGAACAAATTTTCACTTAGGTGATTCACCAGTTCAAACCTCATTTTGTGTTCAGAAAAAGTATAACCATCCTCTCATTTTATCATAAACTTAAAGCCCTCTTTCTTATTCTGCAGCCACGTGTTCGTAGTCTCTTTATTCTCTTTGTTAGGTGTATAGTCATTTTACATACCGCTCCCCTATATGTTATTTCTACGCTTAATATCCTTTGTCTAGTTACGTAAGCTAATACTATCACTGTTATTAGTCAGTAGTTTTCTTCTCATTTAATAGTAATATCTTGAAAATTAACGTACATCTTGATGTTCAGTACTTTTTGTTTATTAGCTCATTGGAACTTGTATCTTTTGTAATCAGAAAAAAAATGTAACTTACATATTCCCAACGAATTTCAGGTTCTGGATGTCCAGTAACATTACACCATAAATGATTTGATTTGCCTCTCTCTAATATTGGTGATTCATGATCCAAACCATCAAGAAATCTTGGAGAAGCTAAAGACAAGTTAGCAGAAAAGATTTGTGATAATTTATTTGTTAAATGATATCTTTTTTTTATTCATCATCACTTCCGTTACTAGTAAAGAGAACTTTAAGTACTAAACTGATATACATTTTTGTTCAAGTTCTGTTGAAATGATCTTGTAGAGTTATATCTAAACCTATTTATGACTCACTTATTTGCTTACGCCTGTTACCCCTCATGGAGGAGCACAGGCCACCTAACAGGATTCGTCATTCAACTCACGATTAGACGCTGCAAATTTAGACGAATAAATGAATCTGTTTAATCTGAGGATCGATTTCTCCCTTAAAAAGTGTGTTTAGGATATTCGCTTTACAAACAGCAGTTTCTCATTGTAAACACAATTTTATCGTAGTCAGTAATGTAGTAAACAAGAACATGAGTGGAGACAATCGAATGTATTTGAATACGGAATTACAGAACATCTCACTAAAATCTGAGAACTATATAGTAAATAGTTAATTTGCAAAATATCAATCCGTTGTCTCAAACATGACTGTTCCATTTGCAAATATCAGTCCATCGTCTCAGATTTTATTGTTCACACATTTTCATACCAATTGCTCCTCGTTCCTCTTCTTTCTTTCTCGATCTTCCATTGAAATACAATCTAGACCTGACCGTCATTATATAGTACTTATGCGGATATAAGTAGCTCACACCACAGTAGCGTAGATTTCTTTTCAGATATACAAGGGTTAACATTTTATTCTTTGTAAAATAATGTGTGAATTAAATGAACTTTGTTTTTTCCCCAGAGATTCATTAAATAGATTATTCATGATAAGTATTTAAGAATAATATATAGATAGTTCTAGCATAATGACTACTAGTGTAAAAATAAATTAGAAAGAGTGGAGAAGATTTGTAGCTTATGTGAATGATTTTGATGGAGATTTGTTCTCTGAACTGGATGGTTTGATCGTGGAGATTTCATCGTTCTTCTGAACGACATCATCTGAACAGACTTTAGATAGAAGTGAATTTCTCCATATATGGTTCACAGCTTGTCATGTACACCTCGATGTTGATCGGTTCTTGTTCAGAAGAACAATGAACGTTCCAAGACCAAACCATCCAGCTCAGAGAACAAAACTTCATCAAAATAGATTGGAAACAAATCTTCTAGGATTAACCTACCTAGTTGTCAAAAGATTTGAGAAAGTTAGTCAGTAGTTCAATTCCTTGAAGATTTGGTGAACACTAGTTATTGAATCACCGGAGTTCTCATTTCAAGTCACTTATAAAGTTAAATAAAGTCATTTCAAGTAAATAAGAATCGAGAAGTCGTTAACAACTTTAGCAAACCATCGATTCTTGCCTAATCTTTGAACATAAAAACATGCTCAGCTTTTCATTCTAGCGTATTCTTAACCCCTTTTCGTCCTTACTCAACAATCTATTTTTATTGGACATTTAATTATGTGATATATGGTAGTAAAAGTAAAGTATGATTAGTTGTTGAGCATGAACAAACAACCACAGCTTACGAACTGTCAAATATGTGATTTCTTTACTCATCATTGATTTCTACTCTGGACTCACTGTATGTGACCACTTTTAACTGTACCGAATGAAGTATCCTCTAGTGTTAATCTGGTTCTTTATTTTAGGTCACGAATGCTGATTCTGATGTAACGTGATTGGTCTTATTAATGTATTAAAGTATTATCGTAATATGTGTAGCAGGAGAAAATAATGTAAACCATCCGTTATATCATTATGTTTTCATATTTATTAATTGCATAATTATCACTTTTTCTGTTGGGAAGATCCCGAAAATTCCTCCGAAAAAGCCTAGAAAGATTCTATAAATGCTGAGAAATTCCTTATCCAATCAACATCCAATAGAAGTTTTGCTGGAAACATCTAGAAAGCGAGAAGTTACATGTTGCATTCCTGATTGGATGATTATCTATACTACTACTATATTAAGTAGCGTCCCTGAATTTTCCGGAAGCTTAAGGTCAGCTAAAATGCTATAAATACCATAGATTTTCTGTACATAAACGAATCTTCGAAGTAAAGTGTTTCTTCCATATTTCGAAGCCTTTTTTCTCGTATTCAAATTGTTGTTGTGTAGTTTTAGTCTGGGAGCTACTAAAAGAGCTTAGGTAGTCGCCGAATCTACCATTCAATTAGAAGATTTATCACTTTCATGAATTGTAATCTTAATTTTTCATTATACCTTATACAAAACTACTTACATGAAACTTCAACTTCAACATCCAATCTATCTTCACCGACTGGATTACTAGCCACACATGTAAATCTTCCAGCATCATGTGTTTGAATACCTCGAATTAAAAGTAATCTCCCTTGATCATGAAGTTCATAACGGCTGCTTAGATTTGTTATATCTATACTTGGTGTTGAAAAATCATTTCCTTCACTGGATGACATAGTTAAGACATGAAGACTTAATGGTGTATCATCTTTTAACCATTGATAAACTGGTTCCGGATTTGCTGTAGCTAAACATTGTAAACGTAATTCTTGACCATCATTCACATTTACTTTAGATGGTGAAGATGAATGTCTCAATATACCAGGAGATGCTGTGAAAAGAATAAAGAGTTTGATAGTTATCAATAAAAAAAGTTCATGGAGCTGATTATGAAAGAAAGTACATTCATGTAACTCATGTCTGTTGAGTAACAATCATTAACACAGTTTACAAAACTTCCATTAATCTTGTAGTATCTGTTATTATGTTAAGCCCATATACAGGTCAATCTACTCATTCTACTTCAGTCACATTCTCACCTTGTTAATTATTCGCTTATCAATCTTGATTGCTTTTATATGAGCGCATATGTGTGTGTACATTTCTTATCCCATTACTCATCACACGTCTGTAGCCTATTTTTGTGGGACTATAAATATTGATTAACGATTGACTAAATGGACTTGGTTTATTCGCCATCTCCATTGTGCGTCGTTTCACTTCTCTCTATTATTCCATTCGCTTCATGCACAAAATATATGTATTGAAAAATCGTTTCTCGTTATTTGACCTATTTAATTCCGTTATTGACTAGCACTATTGAAGTCGATGATTATATACGAGGATATGCGGCATTTACATTTCAACAGCAATCATTCAATAACAATCGTTCATACGATCTGATTGGAGTCAGATCATGGGCCACTAAATTGGTGAGCCCGTCGACAACATCATCCGATCTAAATGACGACAAAATAAAGGGCCCCACAAAAATCTGACCATAAGTTTTAAAACAAAAAGTCGCTTAACCTATTTAGAGGCAACTTATATACTTTCTCGAAAATATTAAAATACATCCCCATCACAATAATTTAATGAAACACTTATTGGACTATAAATTCTAATCTAAGAAATATTCAGCTTCATTCTACTCTATTTGGCAAACCAATTCTACTTTCACTATCATATAATATTTGTCAGTCAGTCAGTAACAACGTAGAACTTCGTACGAATGTACATCAGTTCGAGTTGCCATCACCACATTAGCACAGAGATGCAGTTGTCAATTCAAATCCCGTAGTGGTAGAGGTAGTAAAAGTATAAGCAGTAATCGGAAAGATTAGGGTTTGGAGATGTTATTGAAAGAGTATAATTCAGTGAAAGAAATTTGGAAAGAGAAAAAAGAGACAAGGAGGATTCAGGAGATTAGAATTTGGGAGAACACAAAGAGTGGATGCACTTGCGCCATTGCAAACGATTTTGAGCCATGTCATTCAGGGTCTCTAACCATCGGTTGCTATCATCTCGCGGTCCCCAATCAGGTAGTCTACACCTACCAACATATCTCAGTCCACTTATCAGTGACTTCATGGACTTGTGCCATGTTTTTATCTGGCCACCCCTAGCTTTCTTCCAACCTACACCTATACCATTGAGCATCGCAAGTCGGGGCAGTCGGTGGTTGGGCATACGTAACACGTGTCCCAGCCATCTCAACTGATGAAATTTCACTACTTCATCAATTGATTGGCCATCATTACCTAGTACATGTTACATGTGTGTGCGCGTGTGTGAGTTGAACCAATGGTTTATTAATCTTTTCAAATTTACTTACATGTTACTTCCAGTGTATAATGATAATTCCAAGATCCAGGTATGTTAACTGCTAAACATTTGAATTGACCTTGATCTTCAAGACGAACATTAAGAATCGTTAAAGCTGAACCATCAGAACTAATTGAAAAACGATCTAATAAATGAATGAAATATGAAGTTTCAAAAAATGTCAGTGATAAAATTAAAATTTCAACAAACATTCATTTATTAATCACAGAAATCTTGATCATATTTTCACCTAGACCTGTGAATGATCCACTTTGTTGTATTTTATAAACTTTTCTCCCTAATTTTTGAAACTGTTTGAAGGTTCAATAAAGACGAATTAATCAGAAGTACGATTTCCAAACAATTATGGCAATACCAACCGCTTTTGTGATACAATTGTTTATTAACAGCTGTCTATGCAAAATACTTCGGATTCGTTGACCAGACACTATTAGCAACAACCTATAGTGGGCGAGAACAAACCAGATGCCAGAGGAGGAAGAAATTTGGAAGAAGCGCTGGGAGTGGATGGGACACAAATTGAGAAAAGCACCCAAATGCGTCACAAGACAAGCCCTCACATGGAATCCTCAAAGCCAAAAGAGAAGAGGAAGACCAAAGAACACATTACGCTGAGAAATGGAGACAGGAATGAGAATAATGAACAAAAATTGGATAGAACTGAAAAAGAAGGCCCAGGACAGAGTGTGTTGAAGAATGCTGATCGGCGGCCCATGCTCCATTGTAAGTGAGAGGCGTAAGTAAGTAATTAAATAAAGAAGTCTACAATGTGAAAGCCACGCTGGATAATAAATGTTTTACGTAAATGCATTACATGATTGTGATAACCTCCGTCTCCTCATCGCATTATTTAAATTTATCAAAGCTGCTAATTGTTTGAAATGACAACTTATTGTGCTGAATAGAACTGTCATTATAGACATTATCATTATTATTATCATTATTACTATCGTTATTACTATTATTGTTATTATTATTATTATTATATTTAGACGACTAAGTTGGAATCAAATGGTACATATATGGTGCTAAAAGTAATCACTGAAACAAACTCTATTGCTTACCTTGTGGCATAACACTATAAATATCTTCTTCATCTTTAAACCATTTAATCTGTGCTGGTGGATTTGAACTCATAACACATGTGAATGTAATATTCCCACCCATTTGTATTGTTCTAATTGTAAGATTTTGTGCCATATTCCTTTCACCAGTAGGTTCTTAATGGTTACATTTTAATAAAAAACAAATGAAATGTTTAATACAAATGGGTAGATAGAATAAACAAAAATGGATAGTGGTTAGTAGAAGAATCCAGGACGCGCGTTTCGTCCTATTTGGGACTCGTCAGTTGGATGAACATTAAGAAATATTTACTGAAATTCAGAAGCTTAATAATGACAAATTTACAATACGGAATACTCTAATTGTACTATCAGTTTGTAAGACATTGATAATTAATTTATATGTACATTAGAGATCTATGCAACCATAGAATAAAATATTAATTTATCATTAGACCAGCATTTTCTTATGTAGTAATTCTCTTTAAAATAATCAGTTTACCTGTGTATATAACAATACAGAATGATAGTTTTTCTATAAGACTTCCACAAAGCTTTGTAACAACAACTAATCATCAATTTATTATTAATTTCACAGATTGAAGTCATGAGTCATTTGAAGCTAGACCACCATGGAAAACTTGGAAGCACTGGACGGCCGTTTCGTCCTATCGTGGGACCCCCCAGCAGTGCACATCCACGGTCCCGCACCCCGCGGGGTTCGAACCCAGGACCTACTGGTTTCGCGCGCGAGCACTTAACCATTAGACCACTGAGCCGGCATCCAACGCAATTAATGTATAACTTCAACCAATCCACGAAGTTATTAATTAACAAATTAGTGTCGGGTAATCAACAATGTTCGACATTGGATACTATCTATAACACTCAACTAGTGATTAATAGTTTGAAAAAGTTATTGAAAATATTCAACTACTGAAATGAATTCAGTAGTATAAACTTCGCTAAGTACATTATCACTATAAACATGACTACTGTTTAAAAAAAATTTATGTAACTTACCAAAAACAGTTAGAATAGTTAGTGCTTGGGCTATTCCTGCTTCGTTTTCTGCAATACATTCGTATTCTCCACCTTGGTATGGTCTTGCTGATAAAAGCATTAAATTTTTTGGACCAACTAAGCTAAAATTAAAGGAATATGACACTAGTAATATACCTGTTTTCATAAATATTTCATAATAAATAAGGCAAGTTTATGTTTATCATTACTAACCTTAATAAATTCCTCATAAACAATGAGACTATAATTTATTGACGAGGCAAGCAGGTATAAGATAATAGGACTCTAGTTTTGGCGCGAAATTAACTCATTCATTTGGATAAATTGACTTTGGGTATTATTGATGATGTCAAGTCGTTATGATAGTCCTAAATCTAATTCCTAACCGTAATCATCAACTGAAGGTCATGATTTTATTCACCCACAATGTTCGACAACCCTCATTCGGTCCTAGTTATTAGGTGGACACTCTCAAGGTCAGTGTAGTGTCGCTCAAAGGTCGTCCATAAATTATAGTCTCACCACTAATTGCATAACACATGACATTAGCTAGATTTCGAAAGTCTAAGAGGCATACAATTAGTACTTTAAAATGGTTCTTGATACGTTAGATGTATTTGTGATTCCTTTTTCAAGGTCAAAGTATGTTCAAACAATATTCAGTTAAACAGTTTCTTAAATATTATCATTTAATTTGAAATTACATTTTCATTACTAACTGAAAACAGGACAATTATGCCTGAAAACCAAGAAATACTAAATGGCTACATAGCGCTATATTACAAATCGATTTCATCCTAAAAATAGAGCACTAGATTCATTATCCAACACCGCCTAGAGTCCCTCTGGGGTTACTGCCGGTCCCAAGCCCGGATAAAGGAGGAGGGTTGGCCATGCGGTTAGCGACCTCAACCCATAGAAAACTAACTCTCTAAAAAAACGCTAACCAGAAAAATTACTCAGATTCATCATCTACGAGGCAAACCCTAACTCAGAATCTTGAAGGGAAACGGAAAAGAGGAAGTCCAAAGGACACATTAAGTCGGGAAATAGAAGCAGATATGAAAAAGAAGAATAACAACTGAAAAGAGCTGGAAAGAATTACTCAGGAGAGGGTTGGATGGAGAGTGCTGGTAAGCGGCGTATGCTCCTCCATGAGGAGTAACAGGCGTAAGTAAGTATTATTCATTATCAATTACTGAATAGTATTCTCCCCTCATAGATAACTGAAAATAGTTCACTTTGTTCTTCTGATGAGACTTAAACAGAAGTGTTACTCCACAGATACTTTTAAAAACATGAAAAACTGTTAGTTTATTTTCCAATTCATTTCCAAGATTTAGTTATTCTAGAAACTGTAGGTGATGTCAGTAATGAAAAAACTTCGAAATGATCATACACTCTCCAAACTCTTTAGACATTCACTAAAATCATTTTATATTGTAATAAATTGTTATATCTCAAAGGGCCGCCAATTAGAGTGTAATGACTTATCGATCGGATCAAGGGATTCAAAATCTCAATAGATTATTCTGGTCCGTTGTCCCCGACTCAGCTAACGTGATCAAGAAGTCTTGGTAAGGCGTAGAAAGTGTATTCTACAGGCAACCAACAGATACCAGATCAAGTCAGGTCAATCAGGCACACAAATATTTATAATCGATATTGTCATAGTAAAATGTTTTCAAACATTAATCAATAAGTTCATCAATCGACAGCCAATCAAATATTTAATCGATAAGTTCGTTAACTGACTACCAGCCAAATATTTAAAATATTTAATCGATAAGTTAATCGATGTGATAAAATTACAAATATAACTTTTGGGAATCTATCGTCCCCAACATAAATATATAATCCTTATAATAATTTTTGATAAAAAGCTCATATCATGAAATAGTCTTCATATATAATGTGTCATTGTAGTGAACCAAAACACCAATCACAACAACCAAATGTATTTGAACACAAGATTTTACAGAATATCTTAGTGAAATCTGAGAACTATACAGTACATACATCATTTGCAAAAAGGTCAATCAATCGTCTTAGACTTCATTGTTCTTTTAATTTCGTATTTATCATTCTATGTTCTCATTCACTTTTCTTTGATCTTCTTAACCATCTGCTTCGAAGTATTTCATTTTTGATTGATAAATAAATACTACTTATATCTATCGATGTCAGGAGAACACACTACATCATATTAATTATTTTTCAATCAAATATATACTTAACTACATTTTTCAAAAGCTATATGGTCAAAATTCAAATCGAAGTATTCAAACAAAGATAGATAGATAGATAGATAGATAGATAGATAGATAGATAGATAGATAGATAGATAGATAGATAGATAGATAGATAGATAGATAGATAGATAGATAGATAGATAGATAGATAGATAGATAGATAGATAGATAGATAGATAGATAGATAGATAGGATAGATAGATAGATAGATAGATAGATAGATAGATAGATAGATAGATAGATAGATAGATAGATAGATAGATAGATAGATAGATAGATAGATAGATAGATAGATAGATAGATAGATAGATAGATAGATAGATAGATAGATAGATAGATAGATAGATAGATAGATAGATAGATAGATAGATAGATAGATAGATAGATAGATAGATAGATAGATAGATAGATAGATAGATAGATAGATAGATAGATAGATAGATAGATAGATAGATAGATAGATAGATAGATAGATAGATAGATAGATAGATAGATAGATAGATAGATAGATAGATAGATAGATAGATAGATAGATAGATAGATAGATAGATAGATAGATAGATAGATAGATAGATAGATAGATAGATAGATAGATAGATAGATAGATAGATAGATAGATAGATAGATAGATAGATAGATAGATAGATAGATAGATAGATAGATAGATAGATAGATAGATAGATAGATAGATAGATAGTTGTTCACTTACCGATAACCTGGATCATTGTGTAAATCAAGTGGTTTTCCCTTAAATAACCATGTAATATTCGGTGGTGGACTGCCTGTAGCTTCACATGTTAATGTTATTGTATTATTGACGAATACAACAGCTTTTTCATTTAAACTATCTATTCGAGGTTTTTCTAATCATATAAATGGTACATAAAAATGAAATGAAAATAGAATTCAATTTAGTAGAATGAGGGTTTATGGAGATTGTAGTAATTAATTATTGATTTATTTTTATTTTAATAGTCGAATTCACGAATCGATTAAAGATGAACCATTATTGAAAACCTGGAAGTACTGGACGGCTATTTTGTCCTAGTATGGGACTCCTCAGCAGTGTGCATCTATGACCTTTCATGAGGGACTTGAATCCAGAACCTTCGGCCTCGCGCGAGAACATGTAAGAAAATAAATTACTTATATTTTTCATCATGTTCAGGGTCTAAATTCTTTTTTGAATTTAGTGTTCCTCATATTTAATATATTTTTTAACAATCGTGTGCTTTGTCTCAAGTAAATAAATTCCTTCACTCATTTAAACTTTAGATAATAGGCTTCTAAACCTTTCATTTCAGTGATTTCACATAATCATTGGTACAATGAGGCAGCAAATACATATGTACCACATAAATCATTCGATCTGTGTGAGAACTGGGATACTGCCTTGGTACCCAAGTCGAAACAGGTGGTTTTCTTAGTGGGCCATAGCTTTAGCCTTCAACCCAAAGGTCAAATCCACCAGGGAATGGAGCACCGTCAGATGTTGCAGTCCTATGGTAGCCGGTGACCAACAATAGGTCTATACACCATTTGTTACTTCAGGATACTGGAACTCATGTGCACCAATGGTTTGGAATCAGGGTTTCCCAACTACCCTAGATGGACCCTCCGTATCCAGCATCCCGGTTAAAGCTCCGGAGTTTCACTCTTCGTCCTCTCAATTTCGTAAACAACACCCCCACCACGAGAAGGCGGTGAGTAGGACTTCCCTGAGATTGGTTGTATGCACGTGGCCATGTGAGAGCATTTCGAAAAGGAGAGCTTACTCTTCCCACCCTCGGCCGTACCAGGGTATTTGGGGGTAAAGTACGGGCCCAGCCGGGATTACAGTCAGTGACATAAACCATGTGAGTAAAACGCGCTGTACAAAAATATATTATGTTGAACAATTTGAGATAGTAGTAATGATAGTAATAATTATAGTCATGAGAATATTATAATATAAGCCAACTGCACTCATTTGTAAAACCACTCTCTTTACCATGGCCATCAAAGTTGCCATCACTTAAGTGGGTTATAAAAGCTTATTCCTTTCTTTTCTACTAATATTTTCTAAGTTTTGATTGTCTTTTAGCTGTTGCATAACTGTTACATTATCATTATTGTTGCTTAGGTAACCGTTGTAAGATTTATTAACAAAATTTTATCAGTTCTCATTTATTGTTATGTAATCTATTTTGATGGAGTTTTGTTCTCTAAACTGGATGGTTTGGTCGTGAAGATTTCATCATTCTTTCGAACAACATCATCAGCACAAACGTCAGGTAGAAGTGAAATGTTCGAATTTCTCCACATATTGTTCTTGTTGACCTTAAACCTGTCATTGTTTACTTTTTTGTTTTTGTGGTATCTCCGATTGGTGTATTGGACAATCTGTGAATCACATGTGGAGAAATCCGAACACTTTACTTCTATCTGAAGTTTGTGCTGATGATGTCGATCAGAAGAACGATGAAATCTCCACGACCAAACCATTCAGCTCAGAGAAAAAAACTCCATCAAAATCACTCACCATCTTATGTAATCTACAAATCACATAACTGCATATTGTGATTCATTGAATAGTGAATTTAATTATTAATTATTTTATTCACGGCTTCATTTCATTACCTCGTTAAATCGTTCTCAACTATATTCAGTACAGTTTTGAATTTTATTAATATAGGGGTTTATTGAAGATTGAACAATCTTCAACATTTGCATAGAAAACTGGTCTTAGTTAACTCACGAGTGAAATCTTGAAAGCACTAAACAGCTAAATCATAATGTAATTAGTATGGTAGTCGTTAGCTGCTTGAATGAACAATCATTTTAGAAATCAAACCCTAAGTGGACTCTTCTTGTCTATCCGAAATAATTTCATGAATACTGAATTATCTAAAGTTAGGCTTAATCAATTAACACCATCTGAATAGTTTATAAATATCAGTAAATACAGGAGAGTTGTATCTTTTTTAGGCTAAAAATTCCCTACAGTAGATCATTTAAAGTTTAATCCATTCAGTGAATGGATATAAATATTTAGAATTCAGTTACATATTTATATCATGATTGACAAAATCAGAACACAGGTGATCCATTATAGTTTAGATTTTTTTCTCATTCATAATGGTAGCGTAGTGAAGGAGAATACAGGTGAGGACAATGGAATTATATTTAGCACAACATTACAGAGTTACTTGGTAAAAATAGAAAAACCATACTACTTATGTCAATATAAGTAGCACGCACCATAGTAGTAGTAGTGTCAATAGTAGTATCTGATCTAGAACATTCAGGTACCAGGTTGTTTACACATAACCATTTAACTGCTAAGTTTAAATGTAGTTAGTATCATATTACCTTAAAATGGACTAAATCTTTATAAAAAATAATAAAAAATAAACCTTTGTATCCATATAACGTTTGTTTCTAGGGTATACGTTAAATCAATAAAATTGTTCATAAAAACGTACCAAGTAAAATAACTTCATAAGTTAAATCAGTCGAACCTCCTTTATTCATTCCTTTACATGTATAACTAAATAAGAAAATTTAATGAAAGATTCTTTTTATTAAAAAAAATTGAATGTTTATCAAATGACAACAGAATTAATTAGGTGGAAACAGTCACTTACTTACACCTATTACTTCAAATAAAGCATAGGACACCGACTAGCATTCTTCAACCCACTCTCACCTGAGCCTTCCTTTCCCATTCCATCCAATTTTTGTTCATTCTTTTCATGTCTGTCTCTATTTCTCAACAAAATGTGTTCTTTGGTATTCCTCATCTCTTTTGTTTAGCCTTGAAGATTCCATATAATGGCTTGGTTGGGTGCTTTCCTCAATTTGTGTCCTATTCACTTCCAGCACTTCTTCCTAATTTCTTCCTCCACTGAGATCTGGTTTGTTCTCTCCTATAGTAGGTTGATTGCTGATATTGTCTGGTCAACGGATCCGAAGTATTTTGCGCAGACAACTGTTAATAAACATTTATATCTTCTAGATGATGGCTTTCGTAGTTCTTCAAGTTTCCACCCCAGTAGACAGTAGAACTGTCTTGACATTTGTATTAAAAATTCTGACCTTGTTGTTGGTTGACAGACAGTTATTTTGAGTTCCCGATTTTTTTCAGTTATAGATACGCTTCTCTTGCTTTGCCGATGCGCGTCTTCACATCTGCATCAGATCCACTGTGTTCATCAATGATGTTGCCTAAATATGTAAAGGTTTTTACATCTTCTAAATCTTCTCCGTCAAGTGTGAGTTGATTGTTGCATGTTGTGTTGTATTGGAGAATCTTGCTTTTCCGTTTGTGTATGTTGAAACATATTGCTGCTGAGGCTGCTGCTACACTGGTCTTCTCCTGCATATGTGTACGATAGAAGAGCCAGATCATCTGCGAAGTCTAGATCGTCCAGCTGCATCCTACCTGTCTACTGTATTCCATACCTCCTCTAAGATGTAGACGTCTTCATGATCCAGTCGATCATCAGGAGAAAGAGGAAAGGTGTGAGTAGACACAGAAACGGTATTACTACGAAATTGTTTGTGAATTTCATCATTGGGTTGTCAACCAAATGTACTATTTGAGAGATAAATGTTACCGTAAGAAGGTGTTTTGTCTAGTGCTACATCGAATTCACATGGACTGTTCTAGCTTCCGAACGGACCAATTTATTTGTTCCTCTCGATTCATAATTTAACCGTCTCAGTTATTCGCTAATTAACCTTGACTGTTTTTATATGAGCGTACTTGTGTCCATTGCTTAACCTGTTCATCACATGTCTTTAACTTATTTTCGTGTGGTTATAAGTATTGAGTTATGTCAATGGTTGAGATCATGAGTCAATTGAAGCTAGACTACCATGGAAAATCTGGAAGCACTGGACGGTCGTTTCGTCCTATTGCAGTGCGCATCCACAACCCCGCATCGCGAGATTCGAACCCAGAACCTATCAGTCTCGCCCGCCAACGCTCAACCACCAAACCACTGAGCCGGCATCAAATAGTGTTAATGTTTAACCTCAACCAATCCACAAAATTGAGCGACAATCTTCCATTGTACTGAGGTAGACACCTGTTTCTATCCGACACGAAAAAGAATAATAAAATGGCCGTGCAATTAATGTTAACCAGAAACTTATAAGTAGAATTATTATAGTAAAGATACAATCGAAGCTTCAATATTAAAAATATAATACTTACTTTCCCTGTAAAGCAGTACTCATTTCTTGTATAAATAAATCTTTTCTTTCAGGATTCATATTAATTATTTGCATGCCTAAACTAGATGCTATAGTTTCTTGTTGATCATCATTGCTAGATAATGGTTTACCATTCCAATACCATGTTAATTTTGGTTCAGGATAACCAGTCATACCACATTCAAGTTCTAATTTATGACCTGATTGAACAAGTCGACGAGTAGAAGTTCCAATTGTTGTAATCTCTGGAGGAACTAGAATTTAATATGAGAGAAAAAAAAGGAATTTTAAAGCAATGAAAGAATTTGCTTCTGTAATATTGTTGAATAATTCAATAAAATGATTCCTCATGTTCAGAAATAAGCCATGTATTTTGAATAGCTAACATTCATAATTTTATAACAAATTCCAGATATTTGAGAAAGGGTATACAATTGTTGATTTTGGAAGTCACAGTTGCAGCTGGATTGAAGCTGGTTTGTTATCTCTTAAAGTAAGCTGTTTCTTATTGCATCTGGTTTGCATATGTTGTTTGGTTAATTGTAAGAATGAGGTCCTTCCTTTACATCTGCATCCAATCCTCCTTGTTCATAGATGAGGCAGCTGACTAGATACGTGAAAGATTCCACAGAGCTTCTCCATCAAGTATGATTGCGTCAGTGTTAACAAATGGTTACAAATGTTTTTTTCTCCCTCACTTTCCGGCACTCTTCGATAATACGTTAATACGATTATCAGACTAGTCACGTTATTTTATATCCAGGATTCACAACCCAGAATAAAGATTAGATAGTACTATGTTCAACGCAATTACAAGCAGTCACACTCAGTCAGTTCAGTGTAGAGATGAATGACAAGAAGGGAAATCACATATTTAATAGTCAGTAGGTTAAGCGCCTGTCTGTCCACGCTCAGTGACCGATTGTATCTCACTTTCGCTGCCAAATATCAACAACTCTTCTCTAGACCGATCTATTTTATTTAGGACTGTAAATGATCAGTCTCGTATTGACATATGTACATCCTGTGCGGACTGTCATAATATTGCCTTAAGCTACAAGCACTATCCATCTTTGCCTATAATGCTTGTGAATTCAGGCAATATCGAGGCAGTGCGCACAGTATGCACATATGCCAATAAGGGACTGATCAATTGCAGGCCTAAACATCAATGGGAAGATTCAAGTGAACAATGTCAAGTGAATTAGATTTCACCCCTTTGCACAAGCTAGTGGCTAACAGGACTCAGTAGCTAAGTGGATAACGCAATGGCGTTTAAAGCGAACGGTACTGGGTCCGAGTCCTGAAGTGAACATCAAATCTGAGATGTAGGTACATTCAACTGACGATTCCCAAATAGGATAAAACGCGCGTCCAGGATTCCACTGCTAGCCACTATCCATCTTTGCTTAACAATAACAAATCATTCAATAAAAAATATATATATATATATCTTTGCTTATAGTATTAATTTATGTTTTAGAAACAAGTAAACTTATCAAGTCAAATAGCTTACTTGTTTTGACTTCAGCTAAACTAAGACTATGTAGTCAACAATCTAGAGAATAGTTTACAATTGCATCCATAAGAAATCACTTCCTACACTTTGTAAAATACCCAAAGTCAGTAATTGATTCACGTATAAAAACAATCAATATTATTATTGATGACTTACTTAATATTGTTACTTGATAAAATCTAGAATCTATCCCAGCAACATTTTCAGCACGACATTCATATGAACCGGAGTCTTCTTCATTTTTACCACGTATTTCCTAAATTTTTTCAATGTGAAACAATACTTAATGAAGTAATATTGTATAATATATATTTCGACATTTATTCAAACTATTCTCTACTTTAGAATCATTAAGAATTGCAACGTATCAGATAACGTTTTGATTGAGATCATGAATCGATTGATGTTGGACCATCACTAAAAACCTGAAAGCACTGAACGATCATTCCGTCCTATTGTAGGATTCCTCAGCAGTACGCATCCTCGACCCCGCTCGTGGAATATGGAACCCAGGGCTTTCAGTCTTGTATGCGAACACTTAACCACTAGATCACTGAGTCAGCATCCAACGGTGTTAATCTCCAGTGCTTCCAGGTTTTCAATGGTAATATATAAATCTAAATTCAACAATTTTCACAACCCTAATACTGAAAAAAATACGTTTCTTCATATGTTCACAGTGTCACTTACAAAATTCAGTTTAAAACAATATCTTACATATGATTATAATTGGAAGAAAAACAAAAGCTTCAACTTATAGAAAATCATTTCAAGCATTCCATTTGAACTTACTACAGTATGTCCATGATCCAGAAAATTAATTCGACCGGGAATATGCTCTAATGGTCTTCCATCTTTATACCATGTTACTTTAGCTGGAGGTTGACTAATTGCAATAATACAAGTTAATAAACCAACTTCTTGATTACCCAATTCAAATTCACTACTACCTTCTTTTGATATAACAGGTGGTGCTGAGAAAGAAAAACGATAGGGATTGTAATAAGTGATCATTGACAACTTTTAGATTGGAGATAATCACATGAAATTAACTAAAGACTATTTCCTTATCCAATAATAAGCAATCACAAAAACAGTCGCTGACGATCTACATGATAATCTGGACAACCTATTCCTTCTTATCATTTAGATATTTCAACAAATTGGTTTTTCTTTTGTTTTAATACATCGTATAACCTATTCAGGTGTTTTTATAAAAGGTTTACAAACTTTCACTTTATCAGTTATAAAGAAAGTACTGCTAATTGATGTTCATGGAGGGGAAGATGAAGAGAGCGTCCGCTTTATCCGATGTAATGTATTTTTTTGGTCAAGCCATCCAGCTTAGAGAACAAAACTCCATTAAAAAGATTATTACATTTTGATGTACAACTTATAAAAGAGCCTAATCGGAGATATCATGATTGCTGGCAATATGCATTGAAAAGAATGCCCATTATTCCAGATATCGATTCCTGAAATGCTAATATCTAACTAGCAACCATTCATGATTTATCGTCAGGATCGATCAAAAGATAAGAAACGGAAGCCATTAATAATAATAATAAACTGTATACAATGAAATTAGTTCAGTGAATTTGAAAGTATCAGAATGGGTTTTGTGGAGATTTTTGGAAAGTTCACTGGTTGAAATCATGAGTCGATTGAAGCTAGACCACCATGGAACACCTAGAAGCACTCGATGGCCATTTCGTCAGGTGGTACTACTGGAGTTCTAGTGAGAAGCCGTCACCGGTGAAGTTCAACCAGGTCTGTTGTGAGATAGGAATTCACTGAAGACAATGGTGTACGGTGGCGCAACTTCGTGGATTGGTTGATGTTAGACGTTAACACCGTTGGATGCCGGCTCAGTGGTCTAGTTGGTTAAGCGCCTGGGGCGAGACTGATAGATCCTGGGTTTGAATCTCGCGGGGTGGAGCGGGATCGTGGATGCGCACTGCTTAGAAGTCTCAAACTAGGACAAAATGACCTTCCAGTGCTTCCAGGTTTTCCATGGTGGCCCAGCTTCAATTGGCTCATGATTTCAACTAGTGAAATTTGAAAGTAATTATCTTGAAAGCATAATTTGTACATCAATGAGTACATTAGGTAAACACACATGATTACTTAGTTATAAGGAATCTAAAACAGGAAATCCTTATTAAAATGTTTAGGCTATTGAAAGATTAATTTTCTAAGATTTTGATCAAGACTCCATTTGTTTATATTTCTTCTACTTCTTTATTCTTAACGTCTTAATCTTCATCAAGTTTAGTATTTCAATAAAATAGTTGAATTCATGAGTCAATCTAAGGTAGATGATCATTAAAAACCTGGAAACACTGGACGGTTGTTTCATCCTGCGCATCCACAATTCGCAATGCTAAGGAATTCCATACTAGAACGAAACGGCCACCCAGTGCTCTCAGATTTCCAATGGTGATCTACCATAGATCGACTGATGAATTCAACCATTGAAATTACTACAATCTACACTCTGATTTCAATAAAAGACGAATAACTGACTACTTGATAAGTTTGTTTTAAAAAAAACAGATTTACTTTTAACACTTATTTCAAATTCTTTTGATTCAATTGCATGAACATTAATAGCAGAACATGTAAAACTTCCAGTAACAGCTTCTGTAACTGAATATATTGTCAATGTATATCCATCAGGTGAAATAACAATAGCCGGTCCTATTGAACCCATATTTGATCCATACAATGTCCCGGTACTTGTTCCAGGTCCTTGTGGTAAAATTATTCTACCATCTTTACGCCATTCAACAATTGGTTTTGGATCACCTTCAACTTTACATTCCAAAACTAAATTATCGCCTTGTGTCACATCAATTTTACCTCCAATAGATGAATCTAAAAACTTTGGTTTTCCTAAAATAGAATAAGTAAATGGTGGAGAAGATTTGTAGCTCAGGTGGATGATTTTGGTGGAGTTTTGTTCTCTAAGCTGGATGGTTTATTCGTGGAGCTTCTATCTGAAGTTTGTGCTGATGATGTCGTTCGGAAGAACGATGAAAGCTCCACGACCAAACCATCCAGCTCAGAGGACAAAACTCCACCAGAATAAGTAAATAATTCTTCATTTGGGTTTTAACAACAAAATAATATTGAGTTCATTAAATTGAATAATGAACTATAGAAGTGTTAGACGTTGAAATGATATTAAAGAATAAATGAGGATTATTTTAGTGAACTATTATATGGATAATCCCATTTAAACACTGTTGGATAAATTAGCTATATATATAACTTAAATTGATCTAAAGTATTATTTTATTGGCCTAGGATCTGACTCCAATGAGATCATATGTTGATCACTATTGAAGGATTGCTATCAAAATATACATATTATCGATCTTCGACTTAAATCGTGTTGATGAATAACAGAATGAAATATGTCAAATACGAGAATGAATGTTTGAATACACATACTTTGTACGCTTATTGATTTGGACAGACAATTAGAGGGACGAAGTGAAGGAAGCGAAGAAAAGAAAGCAAAGCGAGATGGCGCTTAATGGAGAAGGCATGTGAACCAACTCCATTTCATCAAGATCTGATCAATATTTATAGTCAGATAAAAATAAGTTACAGACATGTGATGAATAGGATACATACAGAGGGACAGAGAGAGAGAGAGCAGTTATAGACTTTCTTTAAAGAAAATATAAAGAAACTGATTACTGAATTTAAAGTAAAGATAGATAGTGGCTAGCAGTGGTATCCAGGACGCGTATTAAAAACAGAATTGAAAGAATCATGAAGAATGTAAAGGACAACTGATGGAAGATGTACAAATAAAGTATTAATTGTATAGTTTTCATAATTCAAGAAGAAACTCTGTAATTTTACACTAAATATTAAATTGATTATCTCCATCAAATCATTGTTCACTACAATGCTATCATATTTTTAGGATGATTGAGCAAGGCTGTGTAGTGACCTACTTTTATCAAAAGAATTCGATTGGTTTAATGAAAACAATTATTATTATAACCAATTGTATTAGTAGTTGTTTTACTGTACTTGTTTGTTTAACTGTACTAAAGACAATCTTCCATTCGTTGATTGTGACCTTGCACGCACTTACGTTTGCTCAGTGATTTCGCTTGTACTCTTTTGGCACAATCTCGGTATTCTTTCGATACCACGAGATCGTCAACAAATATATCTCGCTACAACCTTCAGTCACCTTCTGATATCTGGTACTCAACCTTCTTGTAGTGGTGATCATAGTCAATTGTGACTCGACGCCACACTACAGCTCTTTCATATGACAAAAATTGTATTTAAACGAACACATACATAAATCTAATTATAACCGACCTTTAGTATATAAACATTATAGTTCGCCGTCATTCTTCTATGTTCAGTTTCTTTTTTTCACAAACATACCTCAACGTAAAGGTAGTGTAATCAGTTGTCTAGTTCTTCTGCTTTGTCAACTGTCAACACTAATAATTATAGGATATTCTAATGTTCCACAGTATACGACTGATCGTTATCAATCCTAAGGTTACATCGACTACTTGTTTATATGGAAGAATGGAAATGTAACATCATTAGTCAATTTGTGAATTGTATTTTCAGCCTTGATTATTTATTAGTTAGATTAATAAATAAATAAATATCTATAATACAACAGAATCTTTACCTTGTACATCTAATTCAATATCAAATTTAGCCTTTCCAACTACATTGCGTGCAATACAAGTATAAATCCCTTCATCTTCTATCTAAAAGAACAGAATGTAAAATTTAGAGATAACATATTAATATAGAATAACAGTGATAATAAGTTGATCTCAGAATGTTAAAGAATGATCCATTTGTGGATTAGTTTCTTCTTTGGACGAAAATAATAAACTTAGATTATGCAAATAGGTATGAATCAAATGAAACCTACTAAACAATCGGATAGCATTAAGATCAGTTGGTGTTGAGATGGTGGAGAAGATTTGTAGCTTAGGTGGATGATTTTGATGGAGTTTTGTTCTTTGAACTGGATGGTTTGGTTGTGGAGATTTCATCGTTCTTCTGATCGAGATTATCAGCATAAACTTCAGGTAGAAGTGAAGTGTTTGAATTTCTCCACATGTGGTTCACAACTTGTCTTAAAGTTTGTGCTAATGATGTCGTTAATAAGAAAGATCAAAGCTCCACGACCAAACTATCCAGTTCAGATAACGAAACTCTATCAAAATGAGTTGGTTTAAATTTACGACAAGTACATTGTCAATCGATTCTAACTGGCACCGATATCACAATTCCAACAAACAAACTATACTTCTATAGAGGTCTATATCAACCACTTATTGATAAGTAGGACAATATTTCATCAGTTTCTGTTGATATATGAATTTCTTGAGCATATCTCAATTTAATATCAGACGGGTTTTGTGGATATTATAGTAATTTCAATGAATAAGATCATGAGTCAATTGAAGCTAGACCACCATGGAAAACCTGGAAGCATTGGACGTACGTTTCGTCCTATTGTGGGACTACTCAGCAATGCGCATCCACGACCTCGCCCCCTGCGGATGTGTCGCCTAATTTCGTGGATTAGTTGAATTTAGACATTTATACTGTTGGATGCCGGCTCGGTGGTCTATTGGTTAACTGCTCGCGCGCAGAACCAGTAGGTCCCGGGTTCGAATCTCGCACTGCTGAGGAGTCCAACTATAGGACGAAACGGCCGTCCAGTTCATCCGGGTTTTCCATGGTGGTCTAGCTGCAGCTGACTCGTGATCTTAACCGCTGAAATTACATATTTCAATTGCCAAAAGATCTTATATGAAGAATAATAAAGTTTAATATATATGATCAAACTTTTTAAAATATGTAGCTCAATTACGTCGAATTTTCCAGATCAACTCCGTACTTTCATTGTCCTATCAAAACTTGTAAAAGTGACTAATTAAATATCTTAGTATTATCGAAATAGAGTTGTGGAGATTGTTGAATTTTAAATAAAGTCATGATCCGATTCATGTTAGACTAACATTGAAAAGCTGGAACTACTGGACGGCCGTTTCGTCACAGTATGGTACTCCTTAGCAGCGCCCATCCATGATCCCTCAGGAGAAACGCGATCCCAGGATCTACCGTCTGAGGGGTCAAGAGGTTAGGCGTTCTTGCGCGAAACAGAAGGTCCTGGGTTTGATCCTCGTGAGGGATCGTGGATGCGCACTGCTGAGCATATCCCAATTAGTAGAAAATTGTATATCTGATGTTTAGTGACTTCCACAGGGTAAATAAATAAATAAATGAAGTAATATCAACAAAGGAAGCAATGAAGAATATTTTTAATACAATCAAAAACATAATAGGTCTGAACATGTCAATGTCGTGTTATTTTCGGTCAAGGTGATTCTGCTGTGTTACATATAACCGTATAAATTTATGCGTCAGATAGTGGGTATGAAAAATATATGAAGTAGTGGAGTTGAAATTGGGTCGGTGTGTATGTGCAGATTGTGTGAAAACTCAATAGGGTCAAATGTGGTTATTCGAAGAAACAGTCCAGGTTGGATGAACAGTCAGGCCTTCTTTCCTCTTATTGAGGCCAGAGAGATTGAGCACTATGTAAATCACTTTGGTTATTCTCCTCCTTTTATAGATGGAAGAATCTTTCTGAATTATTTTTGAAATAGCGTGTACTGATATTACTGACTTGTAAATTTTTCAGTTCTATAGGTTTATTATGGCTTTTTGTACAACTTAAGTATTCCTTCACCCGAGTCAAGATCTCACGGGAAGACTCTCCAATGTAGAACACATTACATTCGGCACAACTTATTATGTAGACACGATTTTGGATGGATGTAAACGGGATCTCATATTTTATTCTAACTAAAGCGTTTTTAAGAGTAATGTTTGTCCTATAGAAAGCTCTAATTCCACAAGTTTTCAAAATCTGTCGTAATTCTTCTGTTCTACCTTGGCGTTAAAGCAAAACCACAGTAACGATTTAAGAACTTTCATAAGAATTGTTGTTTAAAGGAGGATAATTTTGTTTTAATTTATTTTTGATAATATTAATGGGAAAATTATTAAGTTGTAAGATAGTTAATATATACTATCGTTATCTTTCAGTTTGTTTGCAGATTTAATCATCTTGAGAGCTCTTCTGAAAAGATGTGAAGAGTTAGGATCAATACACCAATTTGAGTATGTTGGATACCGATATATGGTTATGTTGTTACATCCCGATGAGAATAATGAATAATAACTTTTGGGATCCACTTATGGACCAATACTATAAGTATATTTTTATCGTATAATTGTTAAGTAACTAAACTATGCATATTCATGTCCCTCTTATCATAAGCTTTATTTTGACATAAAGGCTATCATAATGTGAGTTCGACCCAGCCTATCAAATACCATCTCACATTCACAGACACTTTTAGTTAATTCTTATGCAAATGTTGTTTCCTATTTGATGGTACGATGTGGTCTATCTGGTTGGTATATAAACCAAGTATGTTTGAAATAAATGATTCTCATAATCGAAGCTGGTATTAGTGTTCTGGACTCAAAAAGTAAGGCTAGACAGAAAAGGGAACGATAAGGGGGCTAAAAGAGCAAAGGACCGATAAGGAGGCTAAGCTGCTCATACCAGTCGAATGTCATTAGTTTAGCACAATACTAAAATTATATAATTCATATTTCCATTGACCAATAAATCACATAATAACTAACCAGACTTCAAAATACAACACTATTGATATTCATAAATTTTACATTGATCTACCTAAATTTAATTATCAGTTTAGGGGTTGTGGAGATTGTTAAGTTTTGGTCGACCAAATCATTCAGCTCAGAGAACAAAACTCCACCAAAATCATCCACCTGAGCTGCAAATCTTCTCCACCATTGTTAAGTTTTTTGATTGAAATCATGAGTTGTGGATGCACACTGCTGTGGAGTCCCATACTAGGATGAAACGGCCGTCCAGTGCTTCTAGGTTTTCCATGATGGTCTACCTTCAATTGACTCATGATTTCAATTGAATATATAATTATTAATACATTCAAATCAATAAATACTTACTTCTATATCACGTATAATTAAGTTAAATCCATCTTGATAATATTTTTCACTTGTTCTAATATCAATAGGTTGATTATCTTTTAACCAAATTACAGTAGCAGCTGGTTTTGCATCAAGTACATTACAAATAATTTGTTTTTCTGTTGTACCAACAAGAACTAATTGTTTTGGTTGTGTAAATGATATAGATGGAGCTTCTAAAATAGTTTAAAAATCAAAATAATAGAACATTAATGTTATAATTTGTGGTTTTGTATCGCCGGTTCTTTGTCTTACACCCTGTCACCAATTGTTATTACGATCGGTTTTACTTCGTCTCATGTTATAACGGTTGGGTTTCTACGTTTACACGTATGGGACGTTAATTTACCTTAAACATATATCTACACTAGATTCTCTTCCAGTGTCTATTCTACACGACTTCAACACAACTCAGATCAAGAGTACGTGATTAACCTGATCACAACGTAAACAAATAGCGCTAAGTTGTGAGATCTGAAGACCCTGAGTTTGATTACTAGTGAGGTCTTGGATACCCAGTGCTAAGGAGTTCTATAGTAAAATAAAGCACTAAAAAGAAGCTTACATACATGACATGCCAGTCACGCCCCGGATAGGTCGGCGGTAACGTCACTTACTGTGAAGCAGGGTGACAAGGGATCGAGTCCGTCAGGGAGCATTTGTTTTCTCAAGATTACAGGTACACCTTACGGACGAGTACCAAGTAGCAAGGAACCTTGAGTACAGGTTTTCCTGTTAACTTTCACCATCTTAGCTATTCAAAATATCCTGGTTCTTAATATTTCTGTAACTAAGATTAGTCCATGAGGTAAACTCTGAGACACTTTATTAATTTGATAAAGTAGTTTTCTCAAGTTAATTTTGTTTCAATTGGAGATAGTTAACAGTATGTTGGTTAGAACCTAGAGGTATACAGTAATAATAATCACCATCATCGAGAAGGCACAAGTATTTATAAACAGTTATCAACACGAGATACTCAGTATTCGTTGGCTGGATATACCATCAGCAATAGTCTACTGTAGGAGATAATAAACCAGGTTCCAGAGGAGGAGGAAATTAGGAAGAGACTATGGAGTTGGTGGATAGGACATACATTACGGGAACCACCAAAATGCCTCATGAGGCAAGTCTTTACTTCTTGGAATCGTGAAGGGAAACGGAAAAGAGGAAAGTGAGAGAACGCACACACTACGTGGAGAATCGGAAGCAGACATAAAAAGGATGAATAGCAACTGGAAAGGACTGTCCAGGATAGAGTTGGATGGAGAGTATTGGTGCGCCACCTATGCCCCTCAACGAGGAGTAACAGGAGTAAGTAAGTAGGCACTAATAGACACAATATAGTAGTCTTATTCTAATTTTACATCATTATCATTCATGATCCCTCACTGCGAGATTAAAACTCAGGACCTATCGGTCTCGTGCACCAGCGCCTAACCTCTAGACCACTGAACCAGCCGGCATCCAACTCCAACTAATTCAGGAAATTGAGCAACACATCCATCATTGTCATCAGTGAGTTCCTATCTCACAACAGGCCTGTTTGAACTCAAATGGTCACTGATTCTCACTAGAATTCCAGGAATTACCTCTTAAAACCAGTCACTAGTGAGCATATGTTGGTTAATATTAGAAGACGTTTTGTGGATGTTATAGTAATTTCAATAGTTGAGATCATGAGTCAATCGATGTTAGACTACCATGGAAAACTTGGAAGAACTGGACGGCCATTTCCAGGTTTTCCATGGTGGTTCAGCTTTAATTGACTCATGAATTCAAATATTTGGTTACTAACCTAATAGTCTAGTCATGATAACAAACAAGGATCGTAGCAACTATCAATTTCTATGAATGAGAATGCATAAGTATCCATACTGAATACCAATTATCTATCATGCATAACTGGTTAAAAAAATGGAAAACAAGATAACCGTCTAACAACTTACTTGTGCCTCCAATTTCAACGGTGACTGAATGACTCACTTTACCATACATATTAACAGCTTCACAAATGAAAACCCCTCCATCTTCCATGTTTACATCTAAAGGTATATTGGAAGAAAACAAAAATCAGATATAACTTTGGACAATAAATCCCTTTTTTGTTCTAAATGCATCAAAGTTAACAATCGAATATAATCATCATTGTAATTTTATTCTCATAGATAATAGTAAGTAAAATTCCCCTTTGAGTATCTATGTGTATTAGGGTGTTTGTGTAAACATATATAATGATAAAATCAAGAATAATTTAACTATACAAAAATGTTTAATTGAAATCAACTTCATCAATGTTGATTGAAATAGGTTTATTCATTCTGAAATCAACTGGAGTGAAATCCTGGAGTGAACATCAACTCTACGATGCAGGTACATCCAGCTGACGAGTCCCAAATGGGACAAAACGTATGTCGTGGATTTCACTGCTAGCCACTATCCATTTATTGCCTAAATAAGGAGACTTAAAGTTGAAAAAATTGACATACATCTAACATTAGATGTTTTTTGATGCAAAGTCTACATATTATCTAGAGAGATCAAAACAGTATTAACATTTAAATACACACAAGACGTCCAGTGTTCTAGATTTTCCATGGTGATCTAACTTCAATTGGTTCACGATCTTAACTATGAAATTACTATAATATCCACAAAAGCCCTTTCTGATATTAAACAATATAGAATTCTTAGCATAAATTATTTCGACAAGCTTCCGTTTCTTATTTCTTGATCGATATTGAGTGATCGCCAATTAGATGTTAACAGTTCAGAAATCGAAATCTGAATAATTTTCATTCTTATCGATGAATAATGTAAACAACCACGATGTCTCCGATGTTACTTTTTTATGTTTAGGAGTTGTGGAGATTGTTAAGTATTTGATTGAAATCATGAGTCAATTAAAGCTAGACCACCATGGAAAACCTGGAAGCACTGGACGGCTGTTTCATCCTAGTATGGGACTTCTCAGCATTGCGCATCCACGATCCCGCACCCCACGAGGTTTGGACCCAGGACCTATGAGTCTCGCGCCAGGCGCTTAACCTCTAGACCCCTGATCCTGACAGCATCCAATGGTGTTAAGGCCTAACCTCAACCAATCCACGAAATTGCACGACCATCTTCCATTGTACTGAGGTAGACACCTGTTTCTACCCGATACTGATTAGCTCCACTGGTCACGGCTACCTCTATTTCTTCCAGGTTTTCCATGGTGGTCTAGCTTCAATTGACTCATGATTTCAATCATACACGTTTTTTGTAAGTTGTAAACTTTTCACAAATGTGCGTGAATAGGTTATACGATACACTGATATAATGATCTTTTTAAAACAAACAATGAACCAGAAAACTTGTTGAAAATTTGAACAATAGAAACAGGTAGCTCAGGTAATCAACCAAACCGCTCAGGTATGTTTCTTTTATTTGAGGCCACTATGGTTAAGCATAAATCTAGCTGATTATTTTCGTAGCTCGATCTGATATAGACATAAACGAATATGCATGGAAGATAATATATTTTGATATACATGATGAACTTTGAAAACTATTCAACATTTGGGGAAAACTTTGTTTATTCCAATGAAAAATATTTATCAGAATAAGATTTATCATAGATAGACAAAGGAGAATTCATAAACTACTGACATACAATTACAATCAGACCGACAAACATGTAAAGTACAAGTACACCTCATGTAAACAACTGAATGATGTTACATCAATAAAGTTACTCAATTCTATCAGACTTCATATTGATGTGATTTATGTGAGCACGACAAAGATTTCTGTTATGTCGGAAATGAATTCAGCCACAATATGACAATACAACTGTACCACAATACAGAAACTGTGTGTATTGTTTGGAGGAAATCAACATCTCACATAGAATGAGAATAGTCAGGAAGTGATATATTGAGTGTGTGTGTGTGTGGGAGAAACAGAGACTGGAGATGTGGTGGAGTGGAAATGATGTTGGTGAGCTCGATTTATTTGTGAAGTGAAACAATACACGTCTTATTTTGATGATGTAGTGAGTTTGTTTTGATTATAACTGGTGATTGAAATTACTAGTACTGATGATGATGATGATGAATAGTGTGTTTGTCGAACTCAACTGTAGAATCTAATTCATCAATGAATTAGACAGTTCGAGTGATGATGTTTTGTACTAGGTTATGACTAGATGGTTTTCTTTGACTGGTTTCAAGAGGTATTTCCTGGAATTCTAGTGAGAGGCAGTGACCAATGGAGTTCAACCGGGTCTGTTGTGAGATAGTAACTCAAAGAAGACAATAGTGAATGTGTCGCTCAATTTCGTATATTGTTTGTAGTTAGACGTTAACACCGTTGGATGCTTGTTGGCTCAGTGGTCTACAGGTTAACCGCTGGTGAGCGATACTGATAGATCGTGGATTTGAATCTCACAATGCGGGATTGTAAATACGCACTGCTGACGAGTCCCACAATAGGACGAAATAGTCGTGCAGTACTTCTAAGTTTTCCATGATTTTCTAGCTTCAGCAGACCCATGATCTCAACCATTGAAATTACAAATAAAACTGTTGATACCAAGTGTCAGTGTTTTTCTCCTATTCAATCTATTTTTTTCAAATACATCCTGGCATATTATAAGTTCATGTTAGAAATGTAGCTTAATTTTATTGAGTTTAAAGTCTGGTTCATTCAAGACGAAGATCTTCAATTGGATACCAAATGAAGATTAGTTCGATATTTTAAAAAAATAAAAAAACGCTTTGTCATAGATGCAGAACACAGAAAAATTGAGGATCCTCCTTGTTATATTGTGCAAGCATAATTACATATGACAACAAATAGATGATCTTCAGATTTTACAACCAACATACATAAGATGTCTTAAACTAGGCAGAAAAAAAAGAAACGATCTACCCTAGTGTTCAGTGGTTTACTAGCCTTCATAGATTTCTCAATATAAACTATCTTTAGAAAACTAATCTTAGGATATTTTGTTTTATATCTTCAACTTATAATAATACTAATCCAAAAGTTATATATAAAGGCAACTACAAGGAATGCGATATACACCTGAATAATTTACTTACCATGTATTAATAAAGAATTATCCGCTTGTAATATATAACGATTACCAAAATTTAATGGTATATTCCCTGAACCAGTAACACGATACCATTTAACATTAGGAAGAGGTTGACCAGTTATTGGACAACTTAAAGTTGTATCCATTGAAAATTCAGCTAATACTTTTGAATTTGTAAAATCTGTAAGTACTTTAGGTGGAACTAAAAGGTAAACAATAAAGCTCGATAAATTAATAGTAGTTATAGTCATCATTATAACTGTCAAATGTTAACCAATTTCCATTTTACTTCTTACCTAGGTACTGTCTTCTATTATATCTCACTTGAAATGCTTACTGTTATGAAGGACACCATATCACCTGGACAAAATTGATGAGTAAAAGTGTTGTTTAGTAAGAACATATATGTCAGTCAGTTGGTCATAGGATCAAGCACAGTTGTGCATCGGTTTAAGTGGCCATACCTCATTAGCACAACAAGATGGACACCTAATTCATAGGAGTAATTAATTCAATGATAGTAATACACAAAAGAAAGATTGTGTCTAAGGATGTAATACAGGAAGAAACAATTAGAAAGAAAGATATAAAGTAATTTTAATCTCGCAGTTTAAAGGAAGATAGAGAGTGTATATACCGATGTTACTGTGATCAATTCTGAGCCATGTCGCCAAGAGTCTCCAACCATTGGTTGCAATAGTCACTCGGATCCCAACTAAGTATTCTGCATCTACCAACATGGCTCAAACTAGAAGTTAGTGACTTCAAGCGCTGATGCCACTTTTTGGTTTAGACGCCCCTAACTTTCCTCCAACCATTTTCAACACTCGTCAGCGCTGCAGGTCGTGGTATTCGGTGTTCAGGCATACGTAACATATATGTGACTTCATATACTAACTACTTTTTTTTAGAAATCGTTGCCTTTTGATAACTTGACGAATGATTGTCTAACAAAGCAGTGTATAAACACGAAACTTATGAGTAGAATAGTACTTATTAAATACACGTATAAGTTGAATGGTTAATCTGTCAGACGTTGATAAACTTCAGTTAACAAATACAAATGATATTGGTGTGGAATGTACTACTTATATTGAAATAAGTAGTATATAACACGAGTCAGAAATATAATGTCTGGCAGCAGAAGATTGAGAAGATCAAGGAAGGGAAAGCAGCAATAGAAAGCGACTAGTATGGAAATGCAGGGACAATGAAGTCTGAGACAGTTAATGAACATCTTGCAATTTAAGCATTACAGTATGGCTTTTCCATTTTACTAAGTAACTCTATAATTTTGTGCCGAGTATGGTAAACAATTCCCATTCATAATTTCTTTCTGAATATAAACAGTCAAAAAATGACTTACATCCAACATCCATTAGTACAGATTCTCTTGTGTAACCAGCTATACTTTCAGCAAGACAGGTCCATTCTCCTTTCATATCTTGACGAACTGAAAGTAATTTCAGTACTCCTCTTTCTTCATCAATATGAATTCCTGGACTACTAGTAACCTTTTGTGTTTTAAGAAAAAGAAGAGTCAACAATATTTCAAAGCATTTCATGCATTCAACTTTACTAGCTGGAAATTGTGACATTCAGGATAGACGACATGACTAATTTGACCTATAGTTTACTAAATCATGCTCAGAGATACTGCCGAGTCCAGATAAAATGATGCCTTAGGGAATAAAGAGGCAGATCTAGCACTGCCTCTTTTCTTCATTATATAGTGGATTCAGTTTGTAGATAATTCCTTTAAAATCAATTCTTTGAACTACTCAAATCTCAAATTATTTTTCTAAGGATAGAATCTTATCATGAACAGTGGAATAACTCTTTGACTACATCCTAAATAGTTAGTAGCAACAGTCCCCAACTAACGTGTTTCTTCATATACAGGACTTGTCAGTCTAACGTTGATGTTTATATAGAAACTCAAACCCGTTATTCGTCGCTCAAGTTGTCAACATGTTACCAACTAGATTACTAGGCCAGATTAGGTGTTTGACGGTTATCATGATCTAGGCACGTACAGTTAATAAGTTTCTGGCAGAACGAAACTTCCCTCCTAAATCCCGCTTCTAGACACTGTTCCAAATAGTTAACTTGTAGCCAAAGACAAGGTCCTTTTATACCAAGAGAGAATTGTCGAGTGCAAACTTTCATAAATAAGCTTATGGACTTGTAACTTCTTCCTAACGCATTATGAGTAATGTAAATCTTTGTTCTCTAGGTTCACTCATAAAACCAGTTCTCTGCTGAAGCAATACTCTCCACTAATTATTAGTATGTTGGGTTGCATTATATGTAAAATAAGTTTGATTTTGAAGTCTGATTAAGGTAAAAGTGAAAATAATAAGTTTATATTTTTCATTTTTCATTTGTCTAACAACAAGTAACCAATATAAATTCAAATATAGGAATAGGGGTAAGTATGTACAGACTAAATTAGAAATCCCTTATTTCATAAACTTAGTGCGTTATTTCACTGGTTGAAATCATGAGTCAATTGAAGCTAGACCACCATAGAAAACCTGGAAGCACTGGACGGCCGTTTCGTCCTAGTATGGGACTCTCCAGTAGTGCGCATCCTCGGCCCCCCACTCGCGGGATTCAAACGCAGGACCTGTGATTCTCGCGCCAGGTGCTTAACCAACTGGACCACTGAGCCGGCCGGCACATAACGGTGTTAATGTCTAAATTTCGTGGATTGGTTGAAGCTAGACATTAACACCGTAGGATGCCGGCTCAGCAGTCTGGTTGGTTAAGCGCCTGGCGCGAGACTGATAGGTCCTGGGTTCAAATCTCTCAGAGTGCGGGATCGTAGATGCGCACTGCTGAGGAGCCTCATACTAGGACGAAACGGACGTCCAGTTTTTCCAGGTTTTCCATAGTGGCCTAGCTTTAATTGGCTCATAATTTCAACCAGTGAAATTTCTAAAATCTCCACAAAACCTATTCTGATAATAATGCGTTATATTGAATATAGGTTTCTTTGGTCTGAATTAATCTTCACAAACCTCTTGCCCTGATAATAATGATATTCTAGTAAATAAACTTGAATGATGTATCTGAAATACGTTGTGAAACAGTTACTCATTGTTGGAAGAGTATAAATACAAAGCCTCAAAAGTAAGTCAGTGTTCTGACAATGATACATTGGTCATAAGGCAGCAAAACTCTAAACTCTATTCTGTTAAAGGTTATGAATAGTTTTGAACCAAAAACGAAATAGTTGTTAACTGTAATGTTTATTCTCAATAGTTTCTCAATTGATGTCACTTACAAACTATGACTATCATTAACTTCATCTAGTTTCCCTAAACGTTCGTAAATTAAGGTTAAATACATAGTTCCTATTCTATGATTGAGTAATGTAATGAACTATTTGGAAAGATCATATACAAAATACAATAATTATGAAATAAAGAATATATAACTTACCGGACTTCCATTAAAATCCCATTTTACTTTAGGTTTCGGTTTACCAGTAACATGACATGTAAATATTTGTTCTTGACCTTCAACTGGCAATAGACTAGATATTTCTAGTTTATCGATTTTTGGCGGTGATATAAAGTTAGCAAGAATATTGATTGTACGATTACCAGCTGAATTAATAGCTATACAAGAATAATTTCCCGCGTCACCAGATTTCGCTGGACGAATAATTAATCTTGACTCCTATGATCAAGAAAAAAGTAGTTTATTATAAATTTAATTGGACAAAAAGTAGCTCGCTACGACTTGAACGGATTAATGACCGTTCTCATTGACTAATTAGCTCGATAATGAAACACAGAGTTCAAACCTATGACTTATAAATCAAATTAAATAGACAATTAAGAATCAGTATCTAAGTGGATAACGTGATGGCGTTTGAAGCAAATGGTGCTGGGTTCGAGTCCCTGGGTGAACTTCAACTGTGGGATGCAGGCACATCCAGCTGACTAGTTTAACATGGGACGAAACGGGCGTCCTGAATTCCACTACTAGCCACCATCCATCTTTGCTTATAATGTTTGTGACCTAAGGCAGTATCGAAGCAATCCACACAATATGCATATACGCTAATAAGAGGCTGATCGATTGCAGTCCTGAACGTCAATGGGGAGATTCAAAGAAACAATACTAAGTGGATTTAAATAAGTTACAGTTTCCACCAGTCAATCTATAAACCTATTGGTATTTTCTATCGGAAAATTAAATATTATAATTTGTATGCTTGGTCGGTTACCGTATAGCTCTCAACAAAATAATGAGTTCGTTAAACAAAAAACGTTTCTCTGTTGATCTATTAAGTTCCTCAAATAATTCTTTTGGGATCCTCACCTATGAGAATATTAATCAATACATCTGGTGAAGCCTAATTTCTGGGACAGGAACCTATGTTAAACTAATAAATTTAACTTAAATCTAGCTGCAATCATAATATTACTCCAACCCTAACAAGTTACGGATAACTCCGCCTGGAGCCCTTCTGTGGCTGCTGCCGACCTCAAGTCAGGATAAAGTAGGAGGCTTGGAGGTTGGGTTAGTGACCCCAAATCTTAGAAAACTAATTAGCTAAAAAACGCTAACCAGAAAAAATAATACAACACAACATGTAATAATCGAATCACAATTGACGGAGAAGGCTTGGAAGATGTAAACACCTTTACATATCTGGGCAGTATCATTGATGAACACGGTAGATCTGAAGCAGACGTAAAGGTGCGCATCAGTAAAGCAAGAAAAGCATATCAACAAGTGAAGAACATCTGGAACTCAAAGCAACTGTCCGTCAACCAACAACAAGGTCAGAATTTTCAATACAAATGTCAAGACAGTTCTACTGTCCACTGGAGTGAAAACTTGGAGAACTACGAAAGCCATCATCCAGAAGATACAAGTGTTTAATAATAGTGGTCTTCGCAAAATACTTCGGATCCGTTGACCAGACAGTATCAGTAACAACCTACTGTGGGAGAGAACAAACCAGATTACAGCCGAGGAAGAAATTAGGAAGAAGCGCTGGAAGTGGATAGGACACATATTGAAGAAAGCACCCAACCAAGCCTTCACTTGGAATCCTCAAGGCGAAAGGAAATGAGGAAGACCAGAAAACAAATTACGTCGAGAAATGGAGACATACATGAAAAAAATGAACAACTATTGGATAGAGCTAGAAAGGAAGGAGTAGAACAGAGTGTTTTAGAGAATTCTGGTCGGCGGCCTATACTCTATTAGGAGCAACAGGCGCAAGTAAGTAAGTAAAAACAAGTTATAAACAGAATTTCATTTACTTAAAATGACTTGGGTAAAACATCCCTAAGTAACTAAATATTGTTAGATTAATGAATCCTTTTAATCGTAGCTCAACTTGAGAAACATTTCAAAATATTAAAATACTAATTACAGTGAGATTATTATTATTTTTTACATACAAAATATTCTTCAATCACTGTTATACGTTGATCATCATCAGTGGATATTGTAATTGGTACATCATTATATGCCCAAATAATTTTTGGTTTTGGTACTCCCTCTGAACGACAACTTAATACAAGTGAACTACCTTCTTTAAATGTTACAATTTCTTCATCTGTATTCACAACAGGACGTGCTGTAATTTAAACGAAAAGAAAAAAAAAACTAGGATTAATGAGTTCACTTGGTATAGTTGACTTGTATCTTGCCATTTTTATTTTGGACTGCAATTGATCACTCTTATTGACATATATATTCAGGACGCGTGTTCCGTTCTATTTGGGACTCATCAGTCAGAGTTGACATTTACTTCAGGACTTGAACCCAATACTGTTCACTTTAAATACCATAGCGTTATCCGCTTAGATACTTAATCCTGATAGCCGCGTGCTTGTGCAATGGGTTGAAGCTTAAATTCACTTGGTATTGTTTTACTTGAATCTTTCCATTGATGTTCAGGACTCTAATTGATCAGTCTCTTATTGGCATATATACATTTTGTGCGAACTGCCTTAATATTGTCTTAATTTTCACAGGCTTTTTTTAGAAAAGAAGATGAAGAGATTCAGTTACATCCAGCTGACGAGTCCCAAATAGGACGAAACGCACGTCTTGAATTCCACTACTTGTCACTATCCATACAAAAAAATTATGTACTGATCACTTAGTGATACAAGGACGAATGGATTTCACTAAATCGAACTTGGAAGTGGGTAGTATGATTATGTTTAGTACCTATTATTATTATTCGAAATATGGTTAACGAATGGACTAACTCATTATCATTATGAGATATATTCGGTCTTCTGTGACTAACGACACTCTGATGTCGATTAATTACATTCGTAATCACCAATTCTGAATAACTCTTGAATGGCACTACGTGGTCCCTAATCTTGCTTAGTTTATTCTATATTTTGTCCTTAAGTGTGTCACCTTATTAAGTCAGTATACGATATTCATTGACAAGTTGTTCTGTTTTTCAATATTCATTCATCTCGAAAAAAATGTGCATTTCACAAGTGATGGTCCTCTTAACCTAGACAGTAAACAATTTGATAGAAACTATATAGAGACTTAGTAAAAAATAGTATGCTCTTATTAGTTATTTATACTGGGATGCGAATCTTCATCAATGTTGAACCATGATCTCAAACAGGATAGAACACAATACATTCATATATCATATCGATTCTTACACCATTGAGTAGTTTTTGAGTGCTTTATGTCAATTTACACCCGGCTAACAAGTCTCCAACACTAATAGAATCAGGAATGTTATTTTCATCTCGCTTGGGACTGACCATGTGAATTTATTTGCACCAAAGAGTTGTTGTTCACTCTAAGACTTGAACGTAGTAGCTGTGACATCAAACATGAGTGATTAAACGAGTTCTGAATAGAATTGATTATTCGATCTAGATTCAGCTGTTAGCCACAATTCAAATTTATTCATAACTCGTAAATATAACTAACATAATGACAAACTGTTATGAATTTTAAGGCCTCTACTTATCACATGATTTCTTCGCCAATTGAAATACAATTTATTCAATCTTAGCACTATACTAAACCTGTGGTGTGTGCTACTTATATTGACATAAGTAGTAAATGATGTTAGTCCTGAACAGAATGTCTGGCGGCAGAGAGATAAGGGGATTGAACAGTAAAGATTGGAAACAGAATGCAATTTATATGAAAATGCAGGAACAATGAAGTTTGAGTCATTTTGAGACAATTGATGAATATTTTGCAAATTAAGCATTTCTTTTATGATTGTTAGATTTTATTAACAAGTCCTATAATTTTGTGTTAAATAAACTCGATTGTCCCCGCCCGTGTTCTGTTCATTACAATGAGAAGCTATAGCCTCCTTATCGTTCCGTTTTCCGTCTAGCCCTGCTTATTGGCTCCAGAACATTAATATCAGCTTCCACTATACGTATCATTTATTTCAAACACATTTGGTTTATATACCAACCAAAGAGACCACATCACACCATAAAAAAGAAAACAACATTTATACAAGATCAAGTCAAAAGGTGGTTTTGATTGTAGGAGACTGTAATCAATAAACTGAACATCACTTAAGAACGATAATTCGTATAATAATAGTCTATAAATCAAGATATAGCTTATAATAAGAGGAACATAGATATACACAAGCTAGTTACTAACCAGTTATACAATAAGAATATATATATCATATTAGTCCATTAGTAGATCTCAGAAGTTACCCGTAATTTAATTAACAAAAAAAAAACGCGTACATGGGTAACAAAGACTGATCATTAGCATTTCTCAGCATCACGTAAAAGTAGATAAATACCCCCCCTCCCCTTACTAATATAATCAACTTAACTATTATATAAATTACAAAAAAAAGTTTTGTAAATGTAAATCTCAATTGAAATAACAGTTGTTCATGAAACTAATCATCATTTACCCCTGAATTCTTATACTTTTCTATTGGATTATTTATTTTATTCATTTTAACACATAGATATTGGTACAAGGAGGCACCGAATACATATGCGCCACACAAATATCATTCGATATGTGTGAGGGCTGTGATACTGCCCGTGTGCCCAAACCGAAGTAGGTGGTTTTCTTAGGGGGCCACTCCACGAGCGTTCGACCTGAAGGTCTGATCCACAAGGCAGTGGAGCATCGTAAGGAGATGCAGTCCCGTGGAAGCCGGTGACCAACAATTGGTTCATACGCCATTTGTTCCTGAAGGATAGTGGAGCCCATGCGCAACATTGATTTGGTTTGGGATCCGGTTAAAGCGCAGGACATTCGATTTTCGTCCTCTCATTTTCGTAAACAACACCCGTAATGCGAGAAGGTAGTGAGTAGAACTTCCCTGGCAGAGACTATATACGTGTAGCTATATGAGAGCATTTCGAGAGGGAGAATGAACTCTCCCCACTCTCGGCCATACCAGGGCATTTGGGGGAATATCCTTTTGTTGTCGCCTGATTAAGCCAACTAATTATATATATATATATATATATATATATATATATATATATATATATATATATATATATATATGGTCAAGGATGGATGAGAGAGGTGGGACAAATCGTTTTTATATGCCAATTACTTATTTATGTAATCTATTTACCCTTAAGCAATATTATGATTGTTTCATTTATAATTAACATTATTATTGCATATTACATTTTGTAATTGTTATTACGTAATTAACGTTTTTTTCTTATTTCTCAATAAATCACTTGAATGAAGAAAAACAACATGGGAAGGAACATACTATACTTAGATCTAGAAACAAAACGGTATTTTTATTGAATAATTAATAGTATCATAACAAAGTAACTAGATTTAGCCCCTGACATTATTATTATTATTACTACTACTACTAGTAGTAGTAGTAGTATAGTATTATTAGTATTAGTAGTATTAGTAGTATAATAGTAGTAGTATATTACCATTGGAACAAATAATGTAACATATGTTAGTACGAAATCTAGGTTTATAGATATTTACTGCTTTAATATATAATGAATAGAATGATAATAACAAGGATTATTAGTAATTCATTAGTGTTATTTCATAACTTTACATAATTCAGAGTGAGATAAACTTGGAATTTGTTATAAGGAAAGATAGATGGTGGCTAATAGTGGAATCCAGTATGCGCGTTTCACCCTATTTGGAACTTGTCAGTTGGATGTACCTGTATCTTATAGTTGGTGTTCACTTAGGGACTCGAATCCAGTACCATTCGTCTCAAACGCCATCTCGTTATCCATTTGGTTACTGAGTCCTGATAGCCACCTTCTTGTGCAATGGGATGAATTTTAATTCAATTAGTATTGTTTCGTATGAATCTTCCCATTGCTGTTCAGGACTGCAATCGATCAGTCGCTTAACGTGATGGCGTTTGAAGCGGATGGCGCTGGGTTCGAGTTCCCGGGTTAACCTCAACTGTGAGGTACAGGTACATTCAACTGACGAGTCTGACATGGGACGAAACGCGAGTCCTAGATTTCACTGCTAACCACCATCCATCTTTGCTTATAATGCTTGTGAATTAATGCAGCATCGAAGCAATCCACACAGTATGCATAATATGCCAATAAGAGACTGATCAATTGCAGTCTTGAACATCAATGGGACGATTCAAGTAAAACAATGCCGAGTGAATTACTTAGAATTTGTATTTGTTTGTTTTTCAAGTATCTACATTGTACTAAAATATGAAATAAGCTATATTGCTCAAAGATGAAACAAGCTACATCTCATTTCATGCGTACGACATATAGTAAAGTAAAATGAAAATGTCCAAGGGTGAAGTGTTGTTTATTTCAGCTCTATTTATTCTAATTTGCTCCAATTTGTAAGTAAAACATTCTAAACAAATGAAAGCCATATGAACTGTGAATAATCCGAGATTTAACAAATAAAGATGGTATTCGTGAACTGACTGAATTCCCACTTAGCGTCATAAAAGGTAATGAGTTTTCTTCAGGATGGGAAAGTTGTCTGGCCAATTCCATTTCTGGAACTCTTAATCTGTAGACCACTGATCCCGCATCTAACAATGTTAATGTCTAACTTCATTTAAGAGTTTCCAAGTCGACATGAATCCATGACGAAAAAAACTTTTAAATCACTTAAATGTACACTAAAGTATAGAAACAGATATAAAAGTATTTCATGTAATGTTTTCTCTTAGATTTCACCCTTTTACTTTGTTATCTGAAATGCAATTTAACAAAAGTACTTACTGTGTATAATAAGGAATCCATCCGCTTCACTTATACCACCTTTATGTTCAGCTTCACAAATATACTTGCCCGAATCGCTTTCAGTAGCAGACCTGTAAAATAAAAGAATTGGAAGGAATAAATTAAAGCAAAGGTATCAACATTCATAAGAATATACCGTGTAATTTAATCAGCAGAGCACAGAATAAAGCTTCAAAATTACCTCGTTAGTTGTGTTCATGCATTCCCTTCAATTTCATATTGTGTAGTCAACTTACTTTTAAAAGCTACTTTTCCACATTTAACTTATGTACCAGAGTGAAGATCAACCCCGAGATGCAGGTACATCCAACTGCCGAGTCCGAAATAAAAGGAAACGCGTGTCCTGGATTCCAATGCTAGCCACTATCCATTTTTGCTTAGAATTTTTGTGTATTAAGGCAGCATCGAAGCAATACGCACACTATGCACATATGCCAATAAGAGACTGATCAATCGCAGTACCGAACATCAATGGGAAGATTCAATTAAACAATATCAAGTGAATTTATATCAGTATTTGTTTTAAAGCTAAACTAATTGGAACTGTAACTCCGCCTGGAGCCCTTCTGAGGCTACTACTGGTTTCAAGACCGGATAAAGGAGGAGGGTTGAGCATGGGGTATAAAACTAACTCCTTAAAAAAGCGCTAACCAGAAAACATTATTCAAACCATTTAAACAGTGCCCCGGGAGTCAGAGGGTCTTCATTTAGAAGAGTTATGACGCCTCATAGTGAAAGCCGAGTTCCATCGGAAGTCACGAGACTGGTGCTCCTTCTGGCAACCAGAGCAACCATTTATTTAGGTAAATGGAATTCTCTTACTATGTGGGAGACTGGGAGAGTCTTCCGAATTGCTGCAAAAATTTATAATCTCAACCAATTTTTTTTTCATTTTATGAATGAATATCTGTTATCTTACTAACGGTAATAACAATAATACTTCATACACATAGTTCCTTTTATTATACTTGGAGTTAACAAAAGCAATAGTTTGAGCAAAATAACATAGGCGAGACTATAATTTATGGATGACGCAATCATGTATAAGAAAACATAAATCGGACTTTGGTGCGAAATTCATTCATCCACTTGGATAAATAGAGTTTTGGTATTATAGATGATGTGCGTTCGTGATGAAACCCGTAAATCTAATTGCTAACCTTAATCATCAACTGTAAATTATAATTTTAATACATCACACAGATTGATAATTCTTATTTCAACCTAGTTATTAGCTGGACATTTTCAAGAGGTCAGTCCAGCGTCGCTGTTAAATTATAGTCTCACCATTGAACTGATTAGAGTAAGTAAGTAAGTAAGTAAGTAAGTAAGTAAGTAAGTAAGTAAGTAAGTAAGTAAGTAAGTAAGTAAGTAAGTAAGTAAGTAAGTAAGTAAGTAAGTAAGTAAGTAAGTAAGTAAGTAAGTAAGTAAGTAAGTAAGTAAGTAAGTAAGTAAGTAAGTAAGTAAGTAAGTAAGTAAGTAAGTAAGTAAGTAAGTAAGTAAGTAAGTAAGTAAGTAAGTAAGTAAGTAAGTAAGTAAGTAAGTAAGTAAGTAAGTAAGTAAGTAAGTAAGTAAGTAAGTAAGTAAGTAAGTAAGTAAGTAAGTAAGTAAGTAAGTAAGTAAGTAAGTAAGTAAGTAAGTAAGTAAGTAAGTAAGTAAGTAAGTAAGTAAGTAAGTAAGTAAGTAAGTAAGTAAGTAAGTAAGTAAGTAAGTAAGTAAGTAAGTAAGTAAGTAAGTAAGTAAGTAAGTAAGTAAGTAAGTAAGTAAGTAAGTAAGTAAGTAAGTAAGTAAGTAAGTAAGTAAGTAAGTAAGTAAGTAAGTAAGTAAGTAAGTAAGTAAGTAAGTAAGTAAGTAAGTAAGTAAGTAAGTAAGTAAGTAAGTAAGTAAGTAAGTAAGTAAGTAAGTAAGTAAGTAAGTAAGTAAGTAAGTAAGTAAGTAAGTAAGTAAGTAAGTAAGTAAGTAAGTAAGTAAGTAAGTAAGTAAGTAAGTAAGTAAGTAAGTAAGTAAGTAAGTAAGTAAGTAAGTAAGTAAGTAAGTAAGTAAGTAAGTAAGTAAGTAAGTAAGTAAGTAAGTAAGTAAGTAAGTAAGTAAGTAAGTAAGTAAGTAAGTAAGTAAGTAAGTAAGTAAGTAAGTAAGTAAGTAAGTAAGTAAGTAAGTAAGTAAGTAAGTAAGTAAGTAAGTAAGTAAGTAAGTAAGTAAGTAAGTAAGTAAGTAAGTAAGTAAGTAAGTAAGTAAGTAAGTAAGTAAGTAAGTAAGTAAGTAAGTAAGTAAGTAAGTAAGTGAGGAAGGAAGGAAGGAAGGAAGGAAATATTATGTCTCGATGTGTCGACTCCAATAATTCGAATTCAATTGAATAGTAATAACGAACATTTTTAATTTTATGAATATTATTAGATAAAATTATTCTTCCATTGTAAATTATATCAATATTATAATATATAACACACCTTATTGTTAAAGTACTGGTGAATGCTGATGCTAAACCACCTGCAGGTGTATCTTGATTCAATTTAATTGTATGACGACGTCCATTTTTTAATTCAAATCTTGGATCTAAACCACGATACCATTTTACTTCAATATTTTCATCTAAACTAAATATATTACAAGTAATTATTGCATCTGTTCTAGGCTCAACACTTGCATTACGTGGTATTAAAACACGAGGAGGAGGTGCTGCAATAATAATAATAATAATAAACAATTTATAATTATCTTGTATAAAATGAAATCGGATATTTACATTTAAATACAGAAATAAAACTACTTCTTAAATATAAGTAGTATATTTTGATAAATGAACAAAGGCTTCAACTTGAACTGTTATCTCATTATTTTTTGTGATAAGACAATATTCTTTATCCATTTAGTTAAATTGTGTCTCGACATTTTAGCTGATGTCAGTTCGTGATAAAAACCCTTAAATCTAATTTTTATCCCTAACCATCAAATGTAAATCATAATCCTTATCTTTCACGCAGGTTTAAAACACTCATTTAGCCCTAATTAGTAGGTGAACATTCACAAGATGATTTTGGTGTCACTCAAAGGTTGTTCATAAATTATAGTTTCACCTGTGTTATTTTGTCCAAGTTTTCAGTTCAACAGAAGTATGCACCACAATTACAATTGGATCCCTGTCTATGATGCTCTAGTTCCTGACGTTTTTTTAAACTTATTTATTTATTTGAACTCATAAATATTGGTACAAGGGGGCATCAAATATATATGCGCCACACAAAAAAATGAGAGTGGGAAGAGGAAAAAGAAGGTAAGATGCGTCTAAGAAAAAAAACAATAACGACCACAGATTAGTGTAAGGTAGTGTAATAATAATAATGGGGAAAACGGAAAGGTACAATGAGAAGAATTCCTTCGGTTAAGGAAGATACAACCACTTTTTATGAAGAAAGTAAAAGGAGGTTACAGCGGGATCGCCACTGGCTGCTATTCTGAGCCATATCTGATAACGTCTCTAGCCACTGTGTAGCACCATCTCTCAGACCCCAGCCAGGAAGTCGTGAAGGACTAACAGAAGCCAGTCCTTTGCAGCTTTGTTTCATACCACGACACCATGTCATAAACTGACCACCTCTCCGCTTTTTCCAACCAGTCCCATAGTCGGTAAATAATGCACGACGTGGAATTCTCTAGGACGACATTCGTAGAACATGTCCAAGCCACCGAAGTCGGTGTTTCAAGATGGTGACACCAATTGAGTTATCGTCTCTGCGCCCGAACACATGATGCCGAACCTCTGTATTACTAACATGGTGTTGTCAGTGGATGTCAGCAATCCTTAGGAGACAGCGATGATCGAACACAGAGACTCGTCTAACATCCTCAACTCGGAGAGGCCAGGTTTCACAAGCATAGAGCAAGACTGCTCTCACCAACACGTTGTAAATCCGACGTTTTACGGCCAGACTAACATCACGAAGGCGCCAAAGATGGCCCAGATTGGCATAAGCCGCTCTGTCTTTCACTATACGTGCATTGATCTCATCACTCATGTCACCACCAGCACTTATGCAGCTACCTAGATACACGAGCTTCTCGACTACTTCTATCTGCTCACCATCCAGAGTGAGTACAGGATTTGAATCCTGCCAGTCTTGTAGAAGTACTTTGCACTTTGAAGGTGCAAAGCACATACCGTACTCAACTCGCATTAGCGAATAAAGAAATCAAATAAGTCAAATACGAGAATAGATGTTTGAATACGTATATTTCATAGAATTGTTGGTCATAACAGGCAATCAGTAAGACAGAGCGAAAAAAGAGAACGAAGCGAAATAACAAGCAATGGAGAAGTCGTGTGAGCCGATTCGATTTAATCAAGCGTTAATCTATATTGTTAGTCACACAAAAATAAGTTACAGACATGTAATGAATGAGATAAGAAGTGCCTACATCTATACGCTTATATCAAAACAGTCAAAGTTGACAAGTGAGTAATTAACAGGGTCAAAATATGGTTTAGGAAGAACGAATAAACTGATCTGTACGAATGTTAGAATAGACTTTGTGGGCTTAACATAGCAACCGACACTACACATTCTTTCACCATAAATTATTCTGGTCCTAAATCATATCAAAACATAACATTGATATTCAGATGAAGTAAAAGATCTCTACTCTTTCGACGTAAGTATTTTGTAATGAATTATGCAGAAGGTAATATATATTACCTACTGAGAATGCTTCAAAATTTTGAGAATATGCTAATAAGCATGATAACTCTATAATGTTTTATGCAACGAATTACTGGTAAACAAATCCATGATTTTTAGACAGAACATCCTAATTGACATCTCGAAGCCAAATAATCCACATGAATGATTACACTGACTGATCTCTTATCAATGATGTATGTACTGATTTTTAATCCTCTGTATCGATTTATGGTCGTGTTGTAATTTGATCGTTACTAATGAATTAACAGTAAGGACTAGACAGGCCATGACATTGGTTATCACCCAATGTTGAATTGGCATAAATGTCTCATTCGTATAGAAGATTTGAATGGCTAAGTGGTAATGCCACTGAATACGACACAGTAATCTCAAGTAGACCATTAGATCACTTATTGTTGCATGTTTATAAGCTTTAATTATTACAAAATCTAAGTCCACAATTTCCTAATGATTCCCACCATTCATGGATAATTATTGTAAAATCATCTTAAAAAAGTGGTTTGTTTGCTCAAATATAAACTTACGTAATATATTCACAGATATTTCATCTTTATATTGACCTTCAATCTTTTTCTCATCATCAGTAACTGTAGGTATTACTTCTACTGAATAAATCCCATGTGATTCTTCATTGACATCAGTAATTGTGTACAAAACATTAGTTGGGAAACTGAAGTATAATAATAATAATTGAATATAGAATTATCATTCTCTGAATTAGTTAATTTAAAACAACAGATTTCTATTTTATTCTACAAACATGTAAATATAACATAGACCTAACGTTGAAAGTGTGAAATTAAACCTCACATTAGGTGATATATACATATTTCAATAGATGAGATCATGAGTCAATTGAAGTTAGACTACTATGGAAAACCTGAAAGCACTGGATGACTGTTTCGTCCTATTGTGGGACTCCTCGGCAGTGCTCATCCACGATCCCGAAATATCCACAAAATCCCCTTCTGATACATATTATGTTCCTATAAGAACAGAGGAATCTATAATAAGTAAAGCTGACTTGAAATTTTTAATGCTTTTACCGGTAGTAAAGAGGTCCGAGTTAAAGAATAAAACATTATGGTAGTATAAACTCAAGAATATTAGTAGCTGTTAAGGACCTTTTTCAATGACGTAAATAATTTAGTACAAATAAATTTTGTACTCTGTAGGTATTTTCTTCACTGAGTGGTGATCAATGTCATGTGTGTGGGGTCCGGGCTCAGTGGTAACGTCACTGACTGTGAATCTAGGTGACACGGAATCAAATCCGTAAGGGGGCATCAGTTCCCTTAAGATTACATGTACATTTTACTGACGAGTGCCAAGTGGCACGGAACCTAGGTCTCGGGTTTCCTATCGACTACATCTAACCACTATCTAATCTAAGTTATTTTCTTTTTTTGGAAATTTGTTATAACAAGTTAACTATTAATTCAATATGATTTCAAATTATCATAGGTCTTAATGATAAAGCTATCTATTAAAAATGATGATATTATGTCATTTTATTGAAATAAAGATAAGTCCTAGTAAATCTACTTCAATAACTAAGCCTGGAGCCCTCCTGTTGCTACTGCCAGTCTCAAGCTCGAATAAAGGAGGAAGGTTGGGCATGGGGTTAGCGACCCCGTTCCGTAGAAAACTAAGATACTAAGAACGTTAACCAGATCTACTTCAATGGAACTTTACTATGAAATAATTCATCATGATTACTTTTATTATATATACAATAATATATAATATACTTACTTGTAAACTTTATTTTCATCATGATATCCTGTAATTGGTTGTTTATCTTTAAACCATTTTACTGTATATGGTATTTCACTTGTTACAGAACATGATAATTCTGCTGTAGCTCCTCTTCTAACATCAATTTGTGCTGGACATGTAACAACAATTTGTTGTGGTTGTCTAGAAGATAATGCTACTTTAGAACAACGTTGAAATGGATAACCTTGTCCATCACGTCCAGATACCTGTATCGATTGATATATACAATCATAAATGAGTGATGCAACATATGAAATAAGAAATATGAAAGAAAAAATATAGATATATGAAAGTAACTGAAATCGTAACAAGAGAAATAGTCGTCCTGACTTTCTGAACAATCACATCTACATTTCTGTGAAATAGAAGAGAATAGAAGAGATGTGTCTATATATATACTTAATTCAGTTGGATTTATTCTTGTAAATCATCTGGAAAGATACATTCAATGTTATGAAGTTACTGTTCACTATCTGTTTCCTAATTATTTCTTTATTCATCTACAATGTAAAATTGTTTTCTTGTATATCAAGAAGTGATTCACGATTAATGATTGTTATATACATAGAAGTAAAAGAAAAGTCTATCATAGAACAATAATAAATACATAGAAACAACTTTTACACCCTTTTTTAAATAAGTCAATATATGTGGCATTTTCGAAAACGTTGTATATGATACTACTTCTAGTGATTTTGTAGTGTGTGCTACTTATATTGATATAGGTAGTAAATGATGTTAGTCGTGAACAGAATGTCTGGCAGCCAGAGATACAAGAGGATTGAACAGTAAAGAATGGAAACAGAATGCAATTTGTATGAAAATGCAAGAACAATGAAATCTGAATCATTATGAGACAATTGATGGACATTTTGCAAATTACGTATTTACTATTTGATTGTTAGATTTTATTAACAAGTCCTGTAATTTTGTGTTAAATACATTCGATTGTCCCCACTGGTATTCCTGTTCGCTACACTATGTGTAAGATTTATGCGGTCTATGTTATTAATGAATAATCATTATTTGATTGCCCAAGTTCACTGTTCTAAATCCCAAGTTTTTATTTTGCCTTAGCGTTTTTTTGGCGAGTTAGTTTTCTACGGGATGGGGTAACTAACCCCATACCCAACCCCCCTCCTTTATACGGGTTTGGTATCGACAGTAGTTCCAGAGGGGCTCCAGGCGGGCAGCATCATTAATGAACACGGTGGATTTGATGCAGATGTGAAGGCGTGGATCGGCAAAGCAAGAGAAGCATATCTACAATTGAAGAACATCTGGAACTCGAAACAACTGTATGTCAACCAACACCAAGATCAGAATTTTCAATAAAAATGTCAAGTCAGTTCTACTGTCTACTAGGGTAGAAACCTAGAGAACTACGAAAGCCATCGTCCAGAAGATACAAGTGTTTACTAACAATAGTCTGCGCAAATACTTCGGATCCGTTGGCCGGATACTATTAGCAACAACCAACTGTGGGAGAGAACAAACCAGATTCCAGTGGAGGAAGAAATGAGGAAGAATCGTTGGAAGTGTATAGGACACACATTGAGGGGAGCACCGAACTGCGTCACAAGTCAGTCCCTCACCTGGAACCTTCAAGGCCAAGGGAGGAGAGGAATACCAAAGAACACTTTGTCGAGAAATGGAGACAGACATGAGAAAAATGAACGAAAAGTGGATAGAACTATAAAGGAAGGAGTAGCACAGAATGTGTTGGAGAATGCTGGTCGGCGGCCTATGCTCCATTGAGAGTAATAGGCGTAAGTGAGTAAGTAAGTTAGATTATAACTAAACTGAAACCATCTCGACAGTCAGGTTTACATGTACAGCCACGCCCTCAGCATTCGATCTGAAGGTCTAATCCACAGGGCAGTGGGACGGCGTCAGGAGATGTAGTCCCATAATAGCCAGTGACCAACGATTGGTTCTACTAGGTTTGAAGTTCTCACGAGTTTACTTAATCTGTGAACGAGAACAAAGACTCAGTGACCAAAAACCAGTAAGCTAGCTACTTGATGCGTCCCAGCCCCGCTAACTAGAGGGATAAGTCCAAGCTTGGAATGGGAAAGTATATTCTGCAAACAGCCAGAAACGAGCGAGCACACAGCGATCCACAAACACAATTCAACGTATATATATCAATTATATGTGTATAGTCGATATTACCATGGAAGTATTTTTAAACATTTATTTGATAAGAATAGTTTAGTTAATTAACAATTAGGCGGTAAAATATACATATAGTATTGGTCCCCAAATGGATTCCAAAAATTACCACTCATTATTCTTATCGGGGCATAGCAGGTTCATACGCCATTCGTCCCTTCAGGATCCTGGAGTCCATGTACACCATCGGTTTGGAACCAGGCTTTTCCAACCGCCCTAGGTGAATCGTCCATATCCACCACCCGAGTTAAAGCACTGAACATTCGCTTTTCGTCCTCTCAATTTGGTAAATAACAGTAATGCCGCAAGGAGGCAGTTAATAGAACTTCCCTGGTAGAGGTGGTATACGCACGGTCATATGAGAGCATTTCGAGAGGAAGAGCTTACTCTTCCAACCCTTAGCCGTACCAGGGCATTTGGGGGCTTGTAAATGTGTGTGAGGAACGTTTTGTTTTACCACTCATAACCAATGATGAATGTTAAAATGTTTTAAATTTGCTGATAAATTTTAGTGAGTGAATTTTGGGAAGAAAACAATAATGTTACTATCAAATAACACTGGATAGGAGACAACGGAAACTAAGATGAATTCAGTAGGTTCAGATCAGTGTAAAAAGGAAAAATCACGGTGCTGCTATAGTGTTTGGTAAAAACCTATATGAATAAACATTAATACTTTACGTTGTATACAATTAATGAATGAATTTATTACGAAAACAGTCAAATAAATTGCGATCATGAAATGAATAATGTTAGATCATCGTTGAAAACCCGCAAACACCGGACAGCCATTTCGTCCTTGTATGGGACTCCTCAGCAGTGAGCATCCACAATCCTTCATACAAAATTCTAACCAAAGATCTCCAGTCTCGCGCGCAAGCTCTTTAATAAACTCATGAACTTGTAGTGTCAGTTATTATGGCAAGCCCATATACCTTTATTCTAACTTCCGGACATCCTATTTTATTCATTTTACTTGAGCCATATTTTGACCTTGTCAATTATTCGCTTATTAGCCTTGACTGTTTTCACATGAGCGTATATGTGTGTACACTTCATATCCCATGATTCATCACATGTCTGTAGTTTATTTTGTCTGCCTATAAATACTGAGTAACGCTTAATTAAAATGGAGTTGGCTTCCCAGCCATCTTCCCTGTGCGTCATTTTGCTTGGCTCTGTTTCGTTCACTTTATATACAAAATATATGTATTCAAATGCCATTCTCGTTAATTGACTTATTTAATTCCGTTATGGACTAACGCGATCTAAGTCGACGATGATATACGAGAAAAGGCGATAACAAACATTCGTACACTATAAATTGGAGTCAGATTCACGGGCCACAAAAAACTCAACTATTACAATACTACAATCTCCACAAAAACCGCCTTCTTATAATAATCACCATGTGCTCACTAGTGAATGGCTTCAGGAGGTAATTCCTGGAATTCTAGTGATAATCAGTGACCAGTGGAGTTCGACCAGGTCTGTTATGAGGTAGTAACTCACTGATGACAATAGTGAATTTGTCGCTCAATTTCGTATATTGGTTGTAGTTAGACATTACCACCGTTGGATGCCGGCTCAGTGGTTTAGACGTCAAGAGTTCATGTCCTGGGTTCTAATCCCACATGCGGAATCATGAATGCTCACTGCTGAGGAGTCTCATAAAAGGATAAAACGGTCGTCTAGTGCTTCCAGATTTTCTATAATGGTCTAGCTTCCATTGAATAAAGTTCTCAACTATTAAAATTATTAATAATATCCATATAACCCCTTCTGATACTAATCTAGTTCTGGTTTGTTCAGTATAATAGAAGGACCTATTTTCTTGTTTGAAAAAAAAACACAACAATGATGATGATGACGATCAAATTCCTTCAATTGTTTTGTACCAGTTTTAAGAAAATAGTTTTGTATTAGTGTTTATTTTTTTCTATAAACGAATTTATTTGGATGAAAACCTACTTCAAGATAATAATGTCCAGTAATTGGTTCCATTGCTTGTTGACTAACATAAATTTGAAATGTTTCAGTTTGTTGTACAGGTAATCGTACAATTGATGAACCATTTGATCCACGCATATCAAAATGATCAATTTGTCCTGGTAGAAATCGTCCAGTCATATTAACCATAATGTAATTTTGAACACCTGTAAAAAAAGTTTTGGAAAAAATATTCTTTAGAAAAGAAAAGATTTCGAAAATAAACGAGATTATATTTCACTGTGATTGATTTGACTGACACTAACCTCCTTACTTTGACTTCAGATAGAATGTCATTTCTTGATGGGGAATAATTAAGGATGTGTTATATGTCTCAGTCACCTATGTTGATAAAGGCTCATAGATTCGTTAAATTTTTGTTAACATTATCTAGAACCCTACGTTTAACCTTAGTCGATTGTTTCACAAAGTAAAAGAGGTGTTTTGAAAACACTTATGATTAAATACTTATAGTCTAAACATATTTCAGAGCCATAGAAAAACACACATAGAACTGCTACTGATAGGTTTGTGCAAATTTTTTTAGATTGTATGATGGTTTTCACCAAGTATCGATATTAGTTCATGTATCATCCAAAAAACACATATCACTTTATACCTATTTTGTTCTACTTCAGGACTTATTAGAAGAGCATATACATAACCGGGCCAAGGATCGATTTCGAGATCTTCGAGATTCACTAAAAGCATATCATTTTATAACTAATGAATTGATCTATATTCTCTACTTTATTCTGTTCTATTTTGCTTAAAAAGCTTGTGACTTAAGGCAATATCTGGGCAATCCGCACAAGATGCACATATGCCAACAAGAGACTGATCAATTGCAGTCCTAAATAACAATAGGAAGATACAAGTAAAACAACATCAAGTGAATATAAATGAGTGTATTATTTTAGGAGGATAGATAAAATCTTCATATTATCATCATTCTTTGCCTTCTTACCTGATTTGTATGAGTTTCAGTTTCATTTAACACGTACTACTTGTCCATAATTGTATCATTATTTACTATTGAAGAAGTTCTTTTCATCGTTGGAATTTAAGATATAGTTTAATTGTCTAAACATTTCATTTCGATCAACTATAGTTACATGGGATTTATCTAATCCTACTAGGTAGGTATGTCTAAATAATCTTTTTTTACAAATTGAGAGATGATTTCAACAGATTAAAACTTGTATTTTGTTAACCTTACAAGTTCAACATAATTTTCTATTGCACATGTATATCTTTTAATTGATAAACAGTAAGATTAAGCAGAGATGGATGAATGGAGGTTAGCAATGGAATCCAGGACGTGTGTTGCATCCTATTTAGTATTCATTAGGTGGATATACCTGCATCTCAGAGTTGATGTTCATTCCATGACTTGAATCCAGTATCGTTCGCTTCAAAATCTATTACGTTATCTATTCAGCTACGGAGTCTATACAGTCACTAGCTTGTGAAATGGGTTGAGGTTTAAATTCATTTTGTACCGGTTGTTCAAATCTTCATATTGATGTTTAGGACTGCAGTTGATCAATCTCTAATTGGAATATGTGTCTCCTGTACGGATTGCCTTGATACTGTCTTAATTCAAAAGCAAAGGATGCACAAAAAATCTTTATCTAAGATTTGATTTTAAAGACGACTTGAAGGATAACAATTTTCCTCATCGAGTAAGAAGATTTACTGACAGGATGTTTAACTCTATGAAGTTACATGTTACCTACTCAACTAAATAAGTACTTACACAATTAATCAAAGATGAAATACCATTAATGAGCTCTTCCATATGTGTATATCAGTTTAACTTTTCTATCGGAGCTAGTTACATAAGCTTTATAGAGAAGGCTTTATCCTTGTTCATGATTTAGTTTATTATATTGATTGTAGTTTGGCATCTTAAAACGAATCCTTCTTCTTATACCTTTCTTAAATGAGAGTTCAATTTTATAATTGAGGTAATTTGAATTTTGCCTAATCAAATAGTTCATTGTTGTAATTTACTTATCCATACCTTATTTTGACCATTTTAGTACAACGATTATGAATTTATATTCACTTGGTGTTGTTTTACTTGTATCTTCCTATTGTTATTTAGGACTGCAATTGATCAGTCTCTTGTTGGCATATGTGCATCATGTGCGTATTACCTCGATATTGCCTGAAGTCACAAGCATTCTAAGCAAAGATCGATAGTGGCTAGCAGTGGATTCCTGGACGCGCTTTTCGTTCTATGTAGGACTCGCCAGCTGGATGTACGTATATCTAAGAGTTGTTGTTCACTCAGGGCTTCGAACCCAACACCGTTCACTCAAATATACCATAATTCAAATAATCAAAAAAACAACGAAACAAAGAACAAAGATAAAAATGAATTATTCAAATAATCAAACCTGCAATCGGTTGTGTTGATGCACCATAATTATACAATTTTGGTGTTGTTGAAAAGCCTTGCAAAAAATCAACATCACTTATACCAGAAACTCGAACAGAAATCCATCGTTCACGTTGTAAATTACTATCATTATTAATATTATTATTATTATCGTTATTCATATCCATTGTTTCCGAATCAATTTCTTCTGTATCAATGCCAACTTCTAATGTCCACTGACCTGGTTTAGGTCGATCAATTGATCCGACAAATACAGATTTTACAGCTTTCATTAATTGTTTTAGACCATCTTCTTTATCAATTAATTTTCCTGATTACAAAATTAAAAACATTGAGGAAAAAAATGAATTAAAATAAACCATAATTGTGACTGCATCATGAAACAAACGCTAACTTGGAATCCTGAAGAGAAATGGAAAAGAGGAAGGTCAAAGAACACTTACGCGGGAAATAGAAGCAGATAGGAAAAGGATGAATAACAACTGGAAAGAGCTTGAGGAGATTTCCCAGGACATAGTTGGATGGGGAGTGCCAATGCTCCTCCACGAGGAGTAACAGGCTTAAGTAGTAGTAGTAGTAGTAGTAGTAGTAGTAGTAGTAGTAGTAGTAGTAGTAGTAGTAGTAGTAGTAGTAGTAGTAGTAGTAGTAGTAGTAGTAGTAGTAGTAGTAGTAGTAGTAGTAGTAGTAGTAGTAGTAGTAGTAGTAGTAGTAGTAGTAGTAGTAGTAGTAGTAGTAGTAGTAGTAGTAGTAGTAGTAGTAGTAGTAGTAGTAGTAGTAGTAGTAGTAGTAGTAGTAGTAGTAGTAGTAGTAGTAGTAGTAGTAGTAGTAGTAGTAGTAGTAGTAGTAGTAGTAGTAGTAGTAGTAGTAGTAGTAGTAGTAGTAGTAGTAGTAGTAGTAGTAGTAGTAGTAGTAGTAGTAGTAGTAGTAGTAGTAGTAGTAGTAGTAGTAGTAGTAGTAGTAGTAGTAGTAGTAGTAGTAGTAGTAGTAGTAGTAGTAGTAGTAGTAGTAGTAGTAGTAGTAGTAGTAGTAGTAGTAGTAGTAGTAGTAGTAGTAGTAGTAGTAGTAGTAGTAGTAGTAGTAGTAGTAGTAGTAGTAGTAGTAGTAGTAGTAGTAGTAGTAGTAGTAGTAGTAGTAGTAGTAGTAGTAGTAGTAGTAGTAGTAGTAGTAGTAGTAGTAGTAGTAGTAGTAGTAGTAGTAGTAGTAGTAGTAGTAGTAGTAGTAGTAGTAGTAGTAGTAGTAGTAGTAGTAGTAGTAGTAGTAGTAGTAGTAGTAGTAGTAGTAGTAGTAGTAGTAGTAGTAGTAGTAGTAGTAGTAGTAGTAGTAGTAGTAGTAGTAGTAGTAGTAGTAGTAGTAGTAGTAGTAGTAGTAGTAGTAGTAGTAGTAGTAGTAGTAGTAGTAGTAGTAGTAGTAGTAGTAGTAGTAGTAGTAGTAGTAGTAGTAGTAGTAGTAGTAGTAGTAGTAGTAGTAGTAGTAGTAGTAGTAGTAGTAGTAGTAGTAGTAGTAGTAGTAGTAGTAGTAGTAGTAGTAGTAGTAGTAGTAGTAGTAGTAGTAGTAGTAGTAGTAGTAGTAGTAGTAGTAGTAGTAGTAGTAGTAGTAGTAGTAGTAGTAGTAGTAGTAGTAGTAGTAGTAGTAGTAGTAGTAGTAGTAGTAGTAGTAGTAGTAGTAGTAGTAGTAGTAGTAGTAGTAGTAGTAGTAGTAGTAGTAGTAGTAGTAGTAGTAGTAGTAGTAGTAGTAGTAGTAGTAGTAGTAGTAGTAGTAGTAGTAGTAGTAGTAGTAGTAGTAGTAGTAGTAGTAGTAGTAGTAGTAGTAGTAGTAGTAGTAGTAGTAGTAGTAGTAGTAGTAGTAGTAGTAGTAGTAGTAGTAGTAGTAGTAGTAGTAGTAGTAGTAGTAGTAGTAGTAGTAGTAGTAGTAGTAGTAGTAGTAGTAGTAGTAGTAGTAGTAGTAGTAGTAGTAGTAGTAGTAGTAGTAGTAGTAGTAGTAGTAGTAGTAGTAGTAGTAGTAGTAGTAGTAGTAGTAGTAGTAGTAGTAGTAGTAGTAGTAGTAGTAGTAGTAGTAGTAGTAGTAGTAGTAGTAGTAGTAGTAGTAGTAGTAGTAGTAGTAGTAGTAGTAGTAGTAGTAGTAGTAGTAGTAGTAGTAGTAGTAGTAGTAGTAGTAGTAGTAGTAGTAGTAGTAGTAGTAGTAGTAGTAGTAGTAGTAGTAGTAGTAGTAGTAGTAGTAGTAGTAGTAGTAGTAGTAGTAGTAGTAGTAGTAGTAGTAGTAGTAGTAGTAGTAGTAGTAGTAGTAGTAGTAGTAGTAGTAGTAGTAGTAGTAGTAGTAGTAGTAGTAGTAGTAGTAGTAGTAGTAGTAGTAGTAGTAGTAGTAGTAGTAGTAGTAGTAGTAGTAGTAGTAGTAGTAGTAGTAGTAGTAGTAGTAGTAGTAGTAGTAGTAGTAGTAGTAGTAGTAGTAGTAGTAGTAGTAGTAGTAGTAGTAGTAGTAGTAGTAGTAGTAGTAGTAGTAGTAGTAGTAGTAGTAGTAGTAGTAGTAGTAGTAGTAGTAGTAGTAGTAGTAGTAGTAGTAGTAGTAGTAGTAGTAGTAGTAGTAGTAGTATAATTCAAACTAACATTTTTTTTAATTATACAATAAGAACTAACAAATCATGAAGGGTTTTGCATTAAAATCCGTCTTGTTTACCAACAGCTTGTTACCATTCAGTGAAATGACAATTATTCAATTTAAAGTTATTATATATAAAATATTCTACTGAATATATTAACAATTTCTAGAATCTACTCAAAGTAGATCTCTACAGAAATATGTTAGCCCAAGTTCCTATACCACGCGAACACATTAGAATGTTCGACGTTATATAATAGAAATGATAGTGAAAAGGATTAAAAAGTAAGTATACAGTTCGAGAAAGTAAAATAAAAAGGTTGTATGAAGGAATACTGGAACTGAGAATCTGTGTTGTTATGAACGATTCAATATGATGTCACCCAATTTCTGATTGTGTTGATCATATGTACTCAAGTCAGGTTGTTTTCATTTAATAATATTAGATCAGACCAACAATGACTTCATGGACTAATGTTACTCCATCGTTTGGCGGCCTCTATTATCCATTTTCCTATTAGTAGTAGTATTTTTTTATTCATGTATTGACTATCACAAATATTTGGGATATAAATTAAAAAGGTTTTACTAAGAATAAATCAACATTCAGTACATCAGAAATGTTCACATGAATCATTTGTATACAACTACGACTAACTAATCCGATCTTCACATGGAATCCTCAAGGTCAAAGGAAAAGTAGAAGACCAACGAACAAATTACGTCGAGAAATGGAGACAGACATGAGAAGAGTGAACAAAAATTGGATAAACCTGGAAAGGAAGGCCCAGGACAGAGTGTGTTGGAGAAAGCTAGTCGGTAGCCTATGTTCCATTAGGAGTAACAGGCGTAAGTAAGTAAGGAAGTAATTTTGTGATAGACCCTTATGTGAGGTAGTTCTTTTTTCTACATTCAGCATGGATTATTTTCTTTAGTAAATAGGAAATTTACATTGGGACTTTCCTAGTTGTTAACTTCTACTCACCAAAAATGTCAAAATCTATCAATATTGACATAAGTTGATACACAGAATTTTTCGAAGCTTAAATCAATTAGTCTAATAGATTGAATACTTAAAGAGAACCAATTGTTATTGAATAGTTGTTTTACCAGACTTTTCACCATTTAAGCAATATGCACCCATACAGATTGACAAGGATTTAAACTAAGATTTTCATGGAGTTTTGTTCTCTAAGTTGGATGGTTTGGTCGTGGAACTTTCATTGTTCTTCTGAACGACATGGTCAGCACAAACTTCAGGTATAAATGCAGTGAACAAACCATTCAGTTCAGATAACAAAACTCCATCCAAATCATCCACCCGAGCTACAAATCTTCTGCATCATTTCACTAATATTTTCAGATTTTGTAGTGTTTGTTATCTTTAGTTAGTTGTTTTAGAATCTATTAATTTATAATCCTAACTCCGCCTGGAGCTCCCCTGAGGTTACTGACGGTTCTAAGTCCGGATAAAGGAGGAGGGTTGAGCATGAAGTATAAAACTAACTCCCTAAAAAACCGCTAACCAGAAAACATTATTCAAACCATTTAAACACTGCCCTGGGAGTCAGAAGGTCTTCATTTAGAAGAGTTATGACGCCTCATAGTGAAAGCCGAGTTCCTTCGGAATTCACGAGGCTGGTGCTCCTTCTGGCGAACAGAAGCAACCATTTATTTAGGTAAATGGAATTCTCTTACTATGTGGGAGACTGGGAGAGTCTTCCGAATTGCTGCAAAAATTTATAATCTCAACCAATTTTTTTTTCATTTTATGAATGAATATCTGTTATCTTACTAACGGTAATAACAATAACACTTCATACACATAGTTCCTTTTATTATACTTGGAGTTAACAAAAGCAGTAGTTTGAGCAAAATAACATAGGCGAGACTATAATTTATGGATGAACCAATCATGTATAAGAAAACATAAATCGGATTTTGGTGCGAAATTCACTCATCCACTTGGATAAATAGAGTTTTGGTATTATAGATGATGTGCGTTCGTGATGAAACCCGTAAATCTAATTGCTAACCTTAAACACCAACTGTAAACCATAATTCTGATTCCTCACGCAATCTTATAACCGTCTTTTGGTCCTAGTTTTTAGGTGGACACTCTCAAGGTCAGTCCAGCGTCAATGATAAGTTATAATCTCATCTCGACACCCTCAGCACAAACTTCAGATAGAAGTGAAGTGTTCGAATTTCTCCATATGCGTTTCACAGCTTGTTCTGTACAGCTGTACAGCTGTTCTATCGTTCAGAAGAACGATGAAAGCTCCATGACCAAACCATCCAGCTCAGAGAACAAAACTCCATCAGAAAAAATTACAAGTTGTATTTACAATTGATTGGTTACTGGGTGGTGATTAATAACCTGTATGTCCCGATAATAAGATTGAGTGGTAATTTTGGGATCCATTTGGGGACCAATACTATACGTATATTTTACCGCATAATTGTTAATTAACTAAACTACTCTTATCAATTAAATGTTTAAAAATACTTCCATGGTTATATCGATTATATACATATAATTGATATATATATATATATATGTTTGAATTGTGTTTGTGGATCGCTGTGTGCTCGCTCGTTTCTGGCTGTTTGCAGAATATACTTCCCGTTCCAAGCTTGGACTTATCTCTCTAGTTAGCGGGGCTGGGACGCATCAAATAGCTAGCTTACTGGTCTTTGGTCACTGAGTCTTTGTTCTCGTTCACAGATTAAGTGAACTCGTGATAACTTCAACTCTAATACTTTCTTAGTGCAGATCAAATCCTATTGACCAAGTTGCAATTTGGCAACTAGTCTGAATGACTCGAGATTGCGTGCACTATGGCAGTTGGCTATCTCTAACCACCATTTTATTACAAGTTGTAAGCAGTTGAAGAAAATCTAACTAAATATAAATAATAATAATAATAATAATAATAATAATAACAATAGATTAGTATTACCTTCAGGATTACGAATTTTTACATTGATTGCACGATCACGTTGATGATTTGTTACTTGGATAGTTAATTGTGATAAATGAGAATCGACTGGGAAACTATAAGTTTTTGATTCGGTATTTAATGTATCTTGTTGAAGTATATGTACTTTACGTGCTTCAACAGCAGCTTCAACCACTTGCATAAACTAGAATATAAAAGTGTTTTTTTATTAATGGTACATTCATCATTAGTACATTTATTTACATTGTATGATGGTTGAATAAGATTACAATGGCTAACAAAGTACAATTTTACAATTTACATACTAAGGACAATTATCCGTATTACTAAAGTTTGATAATGCTCACTTTTTGGACTACCCAATAATGATTACTTACTTACTTACGCCTGTTACTCCTAATGGAGCTTAGGCCACCGACCAGTATTCTCCAACCCACTCTGTCCTGGGCCTTCTTTTCTAGTTCCATCCAATTCTTGTTCATTTTTCTCATTTCTATCTCCATTTCCCGGCTTAATGTATTCTTTGGTCTTTCTCTTTTCCTTTGGCCTTGAGTATTTCATGTCAGGGCCTGCCTTGTGATGCAGTTGGGCGCTTAACTCAATGTGTGTCCTATCCACTTCCACCGCTTTTTCCTGATTTCTTCCTCCGCTGGGATCTGGTTTGTTCTTTCCCACAGTTGGTTGTTGCTAATAGTGTCCGGTCAATAATGATTAATAGAATATATTTACATTTGTGAAAGTATGTACAGTATGAAGTTCGTTTTTTTTAATTTTTATTTCCCGATTACATAAGCTAGTAACTATCGGGACTCAGTAGTTCAGTGCTTAACCCTTTTACTTTCTACTTATTTACTTACGTACTTACTTCATTACTTGACAAAAGATGGTAGTTCAAAATGGGGTAAACACGATACCATTTATTATTGATCTTATTTGTTTAAATTTATCAGACAGTCATTTCCACAAGTACATGGCCAATAGTTATTACAGTATTAAAAGTTTTACAGTATTTATTCCTGAACGAAACAAGATCATAATAACGCTAAAATAAATAGAGAATTAGTATTAATACTGTTATAACTTGTGGCCTATCTGCCCTGTTAATGTATAACGTGATGATACTGCCAATTAGAGAACAGTGAATTATCGATCGGACCAATGACGTACAAAAAATGTACGAGCAGTCTAGAGTCCTTATCGGTCCTGCTTCCTGCCTAGCCCTAAATGCCTGTTGAGTCCAGAACACCAATCTCAGCCTCTACGATATAAATCGTTTATTTCAAACATACCGGATTTATATACCAACCAAACAGACCACATAGTATCATAAAATAGAAAACAACATCTGTACATGATTTAACCAAAATTGGCGGTGAATGTGGGAAATGGTATTTGATAGACCGTGCATAACTCAAGAATGGTAAATCGTATAATAATAGTTCATTGGTCAGAATAAAGCTTATGATAAGAGGGACACGAATATGAATAGTTTAGTTACTTAAGAATTACGTGATAACAATATACATATAGTATTAGTCCAGAAATAGATTCCAACAGTTACCTTCATTATTCTCATCGGGATGTAACAATTACTTCCATTAATATATTTTTATATATATACTAGGGAAAACCAGTTCCAATTCCTTCACGTTTCCATTTCTGTTTTCTTTAGTTCAATCTTCATTTTGATAGGCATTCCACTCTTTATCGGTTCACAATTGATTGATCATTGAGTGGTGGGTGAGCAATGTCGTGTGTGTTAGGTCCTTTTTAGTGCAGATCGAATGCTATTGACCATTACAGGAGATCTTTCACGGCTCGGACAGCTCAGTGATAATGTCTCTGACTGTGAAACTGTGTGACACGGGATCACATCTGTCAGGGAACACCAGTTCCCTCATTACTATATGCGCATCTTGCTGACGAGTGCCAAATAGCACGAAACCCGCGTCTAGGGTTTCCTGTTGACTACCTCCAACCACCATCTTAACTCTTGATCGGTTTTACATCCTACTAATGTCGACAGACACAATTAGCATACACTACAATACAACTTTATTTACTTTAACTTGACAAACTTTAATTTGTCTCATTCAATAAGAATGCTCATCTATTTCAAAAGTTTCAAGAACGAACTTTCATTCATTTCATTCAGATTACATTATTTGAAAAATGTAATAGAAATCCACTACTTCACTTACAGTATCCTAATATTATGCATATGAGATAGCGTATGTAAAGAAGTTTGTTCACTTAAACCCATTAATACTGTTTATCATATATAATTTATTGGGAGCAAACTTAAAAATATCAAGAATCATTGTGTAATCTATTTAAGAATAGATGTATATTGATCTAGAATTCAGGGTTTTTAATGTGAACGAAATCTTAGGGATATATTTGGCAAGTTCATAACAAGAAACAATCCACCCAGACACATTACGATTATCTTACACTAGAAAAAAAATGTTTTATTTATTTAACGATATAATGTAGAGTGGATAGAACTAGAAATGAAGACCCAGGACAGAGTGAGTTGTAGAATGCTGGTCGGCGGTAATAACTATGACTCTTTTAAGGTAGCCAAATGCCTCGTCATCTTTTGCCTCGTGACTCGTCATATATTTGGGCCTTTCGGGAATTATGTTACATGACGACTACCTCTTCGTGGTTCCCGGCTAAAAGGTAGTCGAAACCTTCGTGTCTCCAGTTGGGCTGTTGTGCGCCGGTAAAGGTGCCCGGTATAGTAATATGTAGCGGGTGCGCATGGTCACATCTGACTTCTACGCATCTTGCACTGGTCCATCTGGGCTAGTATGGTAGGGAGTCTCAGTCTAGGTTGGCTCTAGCCGTTGACCTAGCTACGTGAAGTCATCCTTATGGTAACATGTATGCTCTGGAGGAACCTACCGTAGCTGGAACTGATCCTTTGACTGACGGTCACTTGCTGCTGGTTAACGTATGGCTTTGGTAGCCCGGTAACCCAGATGTGGCTCCGAGATTGGCCAGGTTAAGTCCGCCCTGCTGCCGTTGAAGATTGAGGTGTGAGTAGTGGCATGGATGGTAGGGACCGAGTTAATTTATAAGGTGTTTATCTGGAGTTGTCTCAGTATGTAGTGGCTGACTGGATGTCCGGTGATTGAGAAGGACAAAGCAATAAATGTGTATGCTCCTAACGTGAAGTGGAAGTGCGGTCGGAAACTGTGCGACTCCTTGTGCCGTGAAAACGGTACACATACATGTGCAGCTCTAGTAACTGGTGAACATCATCTAGCATTTGTTTGTTCGGAAAAAACCATCAATGGAAAATTAAGTTTTAATAGTTGAATTCATGAGTCAATTAAAGCTAGACTACCATGGAAAATCTGAAAGCACTGGACGGATGTTTCGTCCTAGTATGGGACTCCTCAGCAATGCGCATCCAATTAATTTTAGGAACAACCATTCACATTTTACTTCATAAATTTCAATCCAGACCACAATTACCATAAAATATAAAAAATGTAAACTCACTTGAATCTTCTCGTTGATGTTTAGGACTGCGATTGATCTGCCTCTCATTGGTATATGTACATCTCGTGTGGATTTCTTGATAGTGCCTTAGGTTACAAGCATTATCTATCTTTGCTTATAATGCTTATGAATTGAGACAGTATCAAGAAAGTACTACAGGATGCACATATGCTATTAAGAGATTGATCTATTGTAGTCCTAAACATCAATGTGAACATTCAAACAACCGGTACAAAGTGAATTTAAACTTTACCCCATTTCACATATTAGTGGCTATCACGACTCAATAACTAGGTGAATAACACAATGGCGTTTTAGGCGAACGTCACTGGGTTTCAGTCCTGGAGTAAACATCAGCTCTGAGATGTAGGTATATCCAGTTGATTAATCCCTGATAAGACGAAACACTCGTCCTGGATTCCACTGCTAGCCACTATCCATCTTTGTTTATATAGAAGATATAATTTCAACAAGAAAGTGATAATGAAAATATCGGGAAGAAATTATCATTCACTCACTTCATTAACTTGACCTTTACCAATAATATAAAGTTGACCAGAGCTAACTGTAGCAATTTGACGATATGCTTCAAAACCAGGTTCATCCGTTGTATTACAAAATCCAGTTAGAACAAATACAACCTTAATTATAAATAATAATGGTAAATTGCAACTGAAATATTGTTAGAAATGTTTAAAATCTTGTTTGAAATACTTTAATAGGAGAGAAAAATAAATAACTTCGCTATTCAGTGTCTGTTTTATGTACTTACTTATGCCTGTTACCCCTTCTGGAGGAGCATAGGCCGCCCACTAACTGTTTTATTTAGTTACTATGGAAGAAAGTACAAATAATAATCACGAATACAAAATGAGTAGTGCTAAAGTAAAAATCAGTTGCTGCTGTAAATGTACATACATAGCGTTAATAGTGATCAAACTCAAACTGTTTATATCTGGAACTGTACACTATACTTTCGTGTCAATGAGCTAAAATCATCTGAACAACATGCACAACATTATTAAGTGTAAAATTTCAGTTAAAACTCTCATTAAATACTGTTGATGAGTAACTAATACACTTGTAATTTCATCTACCAAACAGAATCGATCACATAGTCAGTCAGTCAGTCATTAACAACCAAGATCCTGGGATATTTGTACATTGATTCAAGTTGCCACACTGCATAAGCTCAATATGAGGTCAGAATAACAGAAGTAATAGCAATATCAGTAACAGTGGAGAAGATTAGATGTAGACAGTATGATATAAGAAAATACAAATTTATGGAATAAAAAACTACTCAGATAATTTTGTCATTCTAGATTTAAGGAGAGTGTTTATCTGTGCCATTGTAAATGATTCCAGCCTCTTCAACAGTTGTTTATGATAGTCACAAAGATTCAAATGAAGTAGTCTACATCTATCAACATGGCTCATTTCAACAGTCAATCACTTCATTGACGTCTTGGTTTGGTTACTTCTACATTTCTCTCAGTATACTCTCACAATAATCATTATCATGTACCAATGTAGATGGTAGTTAGCCATATCTAGAGTATATGCGAAATCAACTCAATGAGAGTATTTCAAAAGATCATTATCATTCACTAATTATTGAGGGCAATTTATGGAAGGTTGATTATGAATACAGTGGTCTTGAGTGCTGTTAGAGGTATGAGGGCGGTTATCACTTCCCGGCTGCTCACACCGTGGACGGGTTGTTCTGGCGGTACCTGTCTTCCCTTAAACTAAAAGATTAAAATCGCTTCATATCTTTCTTTCTACGAACTAATTCTTTCTTCCTGTACCATATTCTTATTTAAATCTTTCTTTTATATATTCCCACCATTGAATTAACTACTTTTATGAATCCGGTGATCATCTTGTTGTGTTAATGAGGTATGGCAACTTGGACCGATGAATATATATGCCTGGTCCTACGTTGTAGCTGACTGACTGACTGAGGGCAATTTATAATATGGAATTTAAATGTATCACCTTTGTACTTAAAACTATCAGTCAGTCAGTAACAACGTAGAACTTCGTACGTACGTACATCAGTTCGAGTGTGGAAAATTAGGTGAGATGTTATTAAGAGTATAATACAGTGAAATAAATTTGGAAAGAGAAAAAAGAGACAAGGAGGAATCAGGAGATTAGAATTTGGGAGAACACAAAGAGTGGATGCACCTGCGCCATTGCAAACGATTTTGAGCCATGTCATTCAAGGTCTCTAACCACCGGTTGCTATCATCTCGCGGTCCCCAGCCAGGTAGTCTACACCTACCAACATGACTCAGTCCACTTGTCAGTAACTTCATGGACTTGTGCCATGTTTTGGTCTGGCCGCCCCTAGCTTTCTTCCAACCTATTCCTACACCATTGAGCACTGCACGTCGAGGCAGTCGGTGGTTGGGCATACGTAACACATGTCCCAACCGTCTCAACTGATGAAGTTTTACTACTTCATCAATTGCTTTGCCGTTTCCTAACAACCTCGTTACTTACTCGATGGTCCCAGGATATACGAGCAATATTTCGATGACACCTATGATCGAATACTAGTAACTTACGAATATCCTCTACTCTTACCGGCCATGTTTCACTGCCATAAAGTAGGATGGAACGAACTGCCGCACAGTAAACTCGTCCTTTGGTTGGTAGACGGATATCTCGTCTACATTATAGTGTACTATAGTATAGGGACGAGCATCAAAAAGCAACGACGAATTTCCGGCTAGTTTCTAGCCAGTCAGAAAACAGTTCTCATCAATACGTAGTTGATGAGAAATAAAACAATAATTCTACATAGTGTAAACAAATTTTTAATCAATAATGAGCCCATAGTTTACTCTAACTGCAGATTTTTAAAAGCCCCTAAAGTTTTTTTTAGTTCGGGGTTAGGTATTTTAAGTTAAGATCAAGTGGTGTTATCTGTTTAGTTCTCTCATAAAATGTAGTTATACCAAGTTTAAGTTTGTTTCGGAACTAAGGGTTAGAATTTAGGGTTAGTTTCGATTTGCCTGTTGCATACTATCTTCAGAAATAGAATTAGGTATTTGATACGTTTAACAGTATGTTTTTTTCACTTTATGGTTATGAAGAGTAACTTTTCACTATCATTTTAAACATTTTGAGCACTATACAAAGGTATTTTTACTGCTTGCTATGCATAACATGGAAAAACTTGAAAGCCTCTTTCTCGTTTCTGATTGGCTCGTCCCTAAAGTACACTTTTTTAGTGGCTCGTTGATCTGACTCCGTTCTATGTATACGCCGTGATGATAGATCATCAACTTAACTTCGTATATTACACTAGGGTAAGCCTGTTTGTGCGATGGTATTAACAAGATACCAAATACGGTTTGGGGTGACCAAATTTATTTCGAACACTCGTTTATTAAGGTTGACATTGAGAATGAGAAGCGAGAGAGCGGAAGCGGAGAAGGTGAACATACTAATTCATTTTAATAAATTGTGACTCAATATTTATAACTAGACAAAAATAGGCTAAAGACATGTGATGAATAGGATAATCGATACACACATACTCTCAAATAAAACACTCGAGGTTATAGGGTAATAATTTCTAAGGTCAAAGTACTACTCGAAGTGATCAACTTAATTGATCTGTTCAGAAGCTAAAGTAGCCCATGTGGGTTTGACATATTACTACATATTACACTTTTACCGACTTTCACTCACTGCCTTCTCGTGGCGTGAGTGTTGTTTACGGAACTGAGAGGACGCAAAGCGAATATCCGGCGCTTTAACCCGGTTGGTAGACACGGAGGGTTCACCCAGGGGAATTGGACAGCCCTGATTCCAAGCCAATGGTGCACATGGGGTCCAGTATCCTGCGGGAACAAATGGAGTATGAACCAGTTGTTGATCATCGACTACTATGGGACTGCATCTCCTAATGATGCTCCGCTGCATTGTGGATCAGACCTTTAGGTCGAACGCAGAAGGTGTGGCATACTAAGAAAACCACCTGCTTCAGTTTGATACCCGGTTAGCATCACAGCCCTCGCACAAATCAGATGTGATTTGTGTGGTGCATATGTATCTGGTGCCCCCCCCCATTGTACCAGTATTTATGTGTCTAAATAAACAAATTAAAATAAAACATAAAACCTGCGTGAATAAAGACTATGATTTACAGTTGTTGGTCAGGGTTAAGAATCATATTCAGGGTTCTCATCACAAACTAACTTGATCTATAATGCCATAATTCTATTTATCTAAATGGATGAGTGAATTTCTGACCGAAATTCAAGATTTGTTACCCTAAATTTGATTGATTCGTTCATAAATTATAATCATACTTAATAAATTGATCAACTTACTTGACTTTGTTTTTGTTGTATTAAATTGAGTACTTTCTCTGTACGATTATAATCTTTAGCGCTACTATCTGTAAAAACATAAATTAATGAATTTGGTCTAGATGCTTCCAATGCTAATTCAATGCCAGTTATTGTCATTTCTGGACAATCACCACCACCTTGAGTATAAACATTATCTAAATATTCATAAAATGTTTTAGTGGATGTTGTCACTTTAGCTGGTCCAACATCTAAAATTAAAATTAATATGAATACATGAAGAAGAGAAAATGATAAAGATAACTTGAGAAATATTTATGAAGTCACTAAATGATTTAGATTGGGAGAAACATGAAAACTTACTTACTGACTTACTTACGCCTGTTACTCCTCGTGAAGTAACATAGGCCGATCACCAGCATTCTCTATCCAACCCTGTACTGGGCAAACCATTCCAGCTCTTTCCACTTGTTATTCATCCTTTTCATAACTGCTTCTATTTCCCGATGTAATGTGTTCTTCGACCTTCCACTTTTCCGCTTCCATTCAGGATTCCAAATTAGGGCTTCTCTCGTGATGCAGTTTGATGATTTGCGTAATGTATGTCCTAAACCTAGTCTTTTCCTAATTTCCTCTTCATCTGGAAGGTTGTTTGTTCTCTCCCGGAGAAGGCTGTTGCTGATGGTATCCGGCCAATGGATGTTGAGTATCTCGCATGGACAACTTTTTATAAATACTGATACCTTCTTAATGATTGTTGTAATAGTTCTCCAAGTTTCAGCTCCATCATGAAAACTAGGGGGCACTAAATACTACTCATCGTCTATGAGTACAGGGATTATAGATATTGTTAGATTTAAGTTAGATAATCATTGAAAATCTAGAAAGACTAGATGATCATATTTCGTTAAACAGTTGTAGATCCAAACTGTTAAAGAGATCCATACTGAAGTGAAACAGTTGTCATATTGTAGTTCGAGAATTTTCTAGCAGTGCTTATTCACAATCATATTTAATGCTTGAGGTCAACAATATTTGATACCATGGTAAGGATGGTATGTTTAGATTACTGAGTTGAAATTCAGTAGTTTATATTTTTAACTTTAACCAGGATCTGTCATTACCATTGAACAATCCTTACAAATCTTCTTCTACTTTGACAGTTATGCAAAAATGAAGGATTAGATACATTTATATTTACGTCTATTTACATGGTAGAATGGTAATTTACTTAATAATCATTAATAAATAATTCCTTAATATATCAATGGAGAGAACAAACCAGATCCCAGTGGAGGAAGATATTAAGAAGAAGCGTTGGAAGTGGATAGGACACACATTGAAGAAAGCATCCAGCTGAGTCACAAGGCAAGCCCTCACATGGAATCCTCAATGCCAAAGGAAAAGAGGAAGACCAACAAACACATTACGTCGAGAAATGGAGACAGACATGAGAAAAATGAACAAAAATTGGACAGACCTGGAAATGAAGGCCCAGGACAGAGTGTGTTGGAGAGTGTTGTTCGGCGGCTTATGCTCCATTAAGAGTAACAGACGTAAGTAAGTAATTAAGTAAGTAATATATCAATGTAAATATTTAATTTTGTTTTCAATGAATTCATCATATAGCTGTGCAGTTAATATCTTCATAAAGGTTAGAATAAGATGTACATTAATAAGGCGTATTTAAATCGGACAATGTTATTGCATCAAAATAATAAACATTTAGTTCAGTTTTATTTTATTTGTAAGATGAAATTCATCTCCGTATCACCACATATTTGCTATCTGAATTCTGTAGCTTGGTGGATAATGTTTGAAGTGGAAACACTAGGTTCGAGTCTTACAGTGAATACCAACATTAGGATCTAAGTAAATTCATATGACAAGTATCAAATAGGACAAAGCATGAGTCCTGAATTCCGCTGTTAGCCACCACTTAGCTTTGATTAAAAAACATTATTAAGTTGCTTATGTAACTGCAAAACAAGTAGGTTCTTATTATAGATTGTGTAATCTGATTTGTTTTTGTAACTGTTTTAAAGTAAACTAGCACAATCCATTATGTTTATCATTTCAAGTAGTGTCTTCATTCAGGGTAACGAAACTCCAGAATTTTTTCCTATCCGGTAGAATTTTACAAATTCATTGGTTTTATTATAGATAAGTGAATAAAACATTGTCATGATTGTCTAGTACTGAATACTGTTCAGTTTCTAACGATCATGTTGCAATAAAGCCACTATTCAGAGTGACTCTACATTGGGTGCACTATGATACATTATTGGAATCAGTAGACAGTAAACTCTGAACTTACATTTCGTGTCAGTTGGTGCTCGTTATTTAAAGCGTACCTGCAGTCTTGAGGGAACTGATGTTCCCCAGGCGATTTGAACCCGTGTCAAAAAGCTTTTCATTCTTAGACTCGATCACTTGAAATTGGTTAACACTAAACGATTAACCAACGTAAAAATCTCGATTATATGGGAGGTCAGTTACACTCTGAATAGCTTAGCAGTAGTGTCGCAGAATGTGTAGCTTACTAAAGGATATTCAAATTCTATGATTAGCAACATTTCTCTCAAGATCATTGATACATCATGATGAATTTGAATTCCAACAAAACATATATCTTACTGTTTACATCCAACTACCTAGTGTCTAGAATATTGATAGGAACGATAACATAGTTACCTGATTAAAATTGCTAATTTGATATTTAGAAATTTTCATTAGATCATTAGTCTTGTTAATATTGTAAAACTTTTTAGACAAGATGAAGATTTATGGTTACTAATTAGCTATGCTTTGTACAGTTACATGTATTCATTATACCAGGTGAAAAAAAACTCTACCCACTATGATACAGCTTTCTACATAATAACAGTAAATTAACTGTTTATCCATCAACTTTTTGCCTGTATTTGACTTTATTTTAGGTATCTAAAGTCAAACATGATATCTAGTTAATTATAAACACATGTTGTTGATGGAGTTTTGTTCTATGAGCTGGATGGTTTGGTCGTGGAGCTTTGATGAAAGCTCCTGAGATACAGATCTTCTCTATCATCTCATAACCACATTTTAAAATCCGTTGAAAAATTACTGATTAATAACGTGTGGGATTTTTGGAGAATGTTGAATTTTACAGTGGTTTAAAGACTAAACATTATCTGACGGACCTGAAAGTTTTGTATTCGATCCTCGATGGGGAGGTCGTAATGACGAGAGGAAATCCTTGTCCAACCCTCTCTGGTTTTCAAAGATTGTCTAAGATGATTTCATGATTTTGAATATACAGTTACTAATTACCAGTAACAACTAAATATATTTCGTGAAGTTATCAAAGATGTACACTTACAAAGCTACACATAATCCTTGAGCCTAATACTATCACTTTCAGAAACCTGAGTCCACATTTTCAAATTATAAACTACCAGTAGTGATATTTGCTTCAACCCAGATATATTTAAAGTTAATCAATCATTTTCTTTAAACAGGACTTTGAAATTCTTACTGGATTCTTAGCTTAAAACTAGGTTAAGATAACTCTTCAGTTCGTTTTAATAGTATTCGAATTGATATCTCCATATAATCAAAACTAATTTCATTGTTTGACAATCCTCACAAACTACTTAACACTGGTCTAGTGACTGTAATTGTTAGACATTCATAGCAATATCTGAAGGTTGTTTGTAAAGTGTTGGATATCCACAACTGAGTAATCTTGTATTACAACAAAATAAAATTCGATCTGCAATAAGAAGGACCTGACATACATGAAATTTCTCACCCACCACCCAGTGATCAATCAATTGTAAATACATATCAGTCCTACAGGAGGTCATTCGTGGCCCGAATAGCTCAGTGATAACATCTCTGACTGTGAAGCTGGGTGACGCGGGATCGAATCCGTCATGGAGCACCAGTTCCCTCAAGATTACAGGTACACCTTGCTGAAGAGTGCCATGTAGTATGAAACCTAGGTCCAGGATTTCTTGTTAACTACCTTCAACCACCATCTTATATTATGTCTTTAATATTCTCCGAATTTATGACAGCAAAACATTTTAGGAAAGGTAATCCATTATTAATCCTATTAATACATTAATCGCTGGGTCATAAATGACTCGATGATTTTCTCTTTTGATATAATTCTATAGATTTTTCAGGAAGTTTTCACTGAAGTACATTAATCTTGATTGTAAAAACAGTTTGACGTAAGATTCAGGAAATCGATTACAAATCTTCGAAAAATAAAGAGCCATATATATATAATAATGATTAATTGCAGGTTTTAGCGACAAATTCATGATTTCGACAGTCTATTTCTTCGTTATCGTAAAATTGTGGCTAAAATATGTTTTTAACAGTCTATCAGTTTATAGGTTAGTCTGATTCACCTATTCAGCTAACAAAAAAAGCTAATAATCCAGTAATAAAAATAGACAAGCAAAACAAAATGATGATAACAATCAATTAGACATAGCGTGAATAGGAAAAGCTACTAGTGATGGATGATCGTTGAGCGACGCTAAAGTGACGCTAGAGAATGTCCATCTAATAACCAGTACCAAACGAGAGTTATAAACTTGTATGAGGAATAAGAATTTTGATTTACAGTTGATGATTAAAGTTAAGAGTTAGATTTAGGGGTTTCATCATGAACTCACATCATCTATAATGTCAAAATTCTATTTAACCAAATGGATGATTCGACTTGACAATAGATTCACCTCTCTGCTTCAATTCGCTCAATGTATTTGTAAATTTTTTATCTATGCTATCCGCTAATAAATTGTAGTCAGCACTTCTTATAATGTTGGTTACCAAGGTGATTGATAAACGAGAAATAAAGAATTATCCCGGACTCGAGTCAGTACAAGATGGTTGAAGTATCAATTATTCATAAAGGTCTTTTATCTCTATGATCTCAATATTCCTTTTTTAGATCACAAGTTATGTTAATACATCTATTTGCTATTTCAAAACAATATCCTTTAGAATTACAGTACTTTTCTAATAATTTCTTTCTCTAATCAACTCTAATTTGATGTTAGATGTTGTCATCGTTAGTGACTTTACTACTTAAATATTTGAGATGTGTTTAGAATCGATATGTTTACATTAATTGATCATTTGTATACTTTGTGCTGAATGAGTAAAACTGTATAAAATCAAACAAATTACACTAATATAAAGTCATTTAGGTTAATGATTATATGACAACCTGATCGATAGAACCAGATCA